TTAATAATATTTACTTTTAATTATTGTGTACAGTTTGAAAATTTTGAATAAATTATGGAATGGTCAAATGACGTAATTTTATCATTCATAAATGAAATAGAAAAGTTTCCTATAATATGGGAGACTAAAGACCCTTTTTATAAAATTATTAGAAAAAAAACGATGCTTGGGAAAGTGTAGGCAAAACGTTTGGGATGTCAGAAGCTGCAGTAAAGAAGAAATTGCAGTCATAGATAAAAGAAGAGTATGATTGCAGTCTTTACAAGTAAATATTAAACTTGTTATCATACATAGACATTCAACATATATGTTGAGGATGAGAGTATGAAAATTGAGTATAGTTAGCTCAAGCCTGGAATGTTCAGCTTGCTCCGAATATGAATGCTGAGGAAAGAAAACGACTCAAAATATAAATATTAAATACAAAAACTGAGTGAAATTAATTGAATAATTTATTTACAGTATATTTACAAAATATACACGAACAAAAATCACACAAAAACCAGTGAAAATGCCGTATGATTAAAGCTTACATCCATATCAATAATAAAACTGACGTTTCACGGAACATCTACGAACAACGAAAATTCAAGCGCTCACTGCTTTTAAGCGCTTGTTCAAGTTCGTTTGGAATTTTTCGCGTTCGTTCGTGTTCCTGTTCGTTCTTCTTTGTATTTTCTTGTTCGACATGTTCGTTCGTGTTCGTTCGTTAGGTGTGGACGCACCTTTACATAAACTGTTTAGACTAAAGCTAAAAAATGGCTTCCACAGTCACTTTTGATTTAAAAATTTTTTTTTATTTAGTTAATATTTTTTATATTTTTTTAATTGACATTAATGAGGCATAGAATAAATTACTGTCAATTAAGAAAAAATTTATTTTCACATTAAATGTATAGTTTTTTAATTAATTCCAAAAAAAGTTGAAAAGGTCAGAAACTGGGCCAGGGTCAATAACTGGGTCTTTTACCTTATATAAACATTTACATTATTTGATTTTTTTTGCATAATTCACTTCTTCAAGTGTTTTATTACAAAAAGTTGTTTTTACAAAAGTTTGTGTCTGATAATGGCACTTTCGAAACGTCGTGCATAACATTTTCTCAAATTTTTCATATTGTATATATATTTATATGCTTGTATCAATTTCATCGTCCAATACACACTTCCGATGTCTATTCTTGTCTTTTTCTGACGGAACTTCCGGGTTTCCGGGGTGTCAGGCGCACCTTGAATCGTTCGGCTCGTTTCAGGATGATGTCGGCTTAAAGCCTATAGAAAGTCCTTTTCGGTTAAATCGCTGTGGACGCGGAAATTACGAAGGATCGTCGACAGGATTATCTTCAGTTTTAACATTGCGTATTTGCGACCTGGAGGAAAAGAAAATATACGGTTAGGCTAAGTTTTGGAGTATACCAAGTTGTTGTAGTATGTTGTGGTGTTAGACAATGTTGAATTTGAATTTAATTTTGGGCAAGTTTTTCGAATGTTCCATTTATTTTGCACAAATGGTTTAAAAGTTACGCGGACATACAAAACACTCACACATATCCATTTTTTCTGAGGAATGCCAAAATGTTCAGAAACCTTCAAGAGGTCGAGAAATGCAAAAAAAATCATTTTCGATTTTCGGCCCATTACTATAACCACCATACGGGAAGTTAATAAATTGAATAACAATTTGTGTTGATTCATTATTTTAAAACACATTGCAATTGTCGCATGCACCAAAGCACCCATTTTGCGATACAAATGCAGATGATCGATGACTTGTGTAGAATAAAAAATATAGGAAATTTAACTGAAGAACATAAAAGAGCATAGGAGTAGATACAATTACAGTTATATGCTGCACATTTTTATGAATATCATACAAAGTTTTACTGGAATCCATATAACTTCTATTTGTCATGTAATATAATATATAACTAACCAAATATGCCTTATCCAGCTTTCTCAAGTGCCGTTCATTACGAATTAAACAGTGACATAGCTCTGCAGTCAAATTACTTAAAAATGTAGAAGTTGCTTAGAAGCTAAAGCGTACAGAAATTTCTCTAGTTGATACTGTACGAGGATTTATTTGTGTAGCACAAATGCGAAATTAATTTGCCGAAATCATTTATACACACTGTCATTAAGTTGCTTGACTTTGCATATGCTTAACCGTTCCAGATTCTCGGCGAACGTTCGGCTGCTCCCTTCTTTGCATGTAGTAGACGGGGGCAACTAATTTCTCATATGAAGGTAAATCAGTATTTGTCGAAAACATTTTTCCCAATTTTTTTTAGAAATATGTATATGTTTAGTATAGACATCAGAAATGTTTTTGTAGAATAACTTTTTTAAACTGCTACTAATAAATAATGAAATTTTTCAGCTCTGCAATTGAAGAGTAATTATGATCTTATGGAAATAATATATATATATATATATATATATATATATATATATATATATATATATATATATATATACCTTGAATGCGATGCATGCGAAAAGTCAACACGAGATTTGGATATAAAATTTATAATATAGTTTTTCAATATCTTTAAAGAAATATATATTTTCTTTGCACCGTCTACTAATCTTTGGACAATACTTTTAAAATACGTTAAAAATTTAACTTTGAAATCTGATACACGATGTGAAATACATAGAATTCGGCTCTTACACTATTATTTAAGAGAAGTTTATGAAGCAATGTTAGAAAATTAAATTTAAAAAATCCAACATGAAATTATATATATATATATATATATATATATATATACCTTGAATGCGATGCATGCGAAAAGTCAACACGAGATTTGGATATAAAATTTATAATATAGTTTTTCAATATCTTTAAAGAAATATATATTTTCTTTGCACCGTCTACTAATCTTTGGACAATACTTTTAAAATACGTTAAAAATTTAACTTTGAAATCTGATACACGATGTGAAATACATAGAATTCGGCTCTTACACTATTATTTAAGAGAAGTTTATGAAGCAATGTTAGAAAATTAAATTTAAAAAATCCAACATGAAATTATATTCAAGAACTGTTTTTGCTTAGAATTATTTTTGCTCTCTTGCTTGGTATGATTTGCTCAATAAAACGAATTGCACCACAACAATCTGCAAAATAAATAAGTAAAATGTTTCAAATCCCAAATATTAATATTACACATGTATTTTAGAAACAATTGAAAATTTAAAAATATTTTTGCAAACAATATACTGAACTAAAATTTTTGTATATCATAAAATGGATATTTGGATAGAAAATAGGAATTTAAAAATAGATAAAATTTAAAGATACGACAATATGATTATGCATGAACAACCCGCGAATCGCCTCGATCATCTAAATAAATTTAAAAAATGTATTTTACACACTTTAAGATTATATCAAACTTTTTCAAAGTACATTATTGACTGAATGTTCTGGATCTTAAAAAAAATAAAGTATAAATTATTAAGATGTAGAACTAAAACATTCATATATAAAATTTTTAGAACATATTGAATTTATCAACTTTTAAATAAGCAAGAGTTCTTTGTAAAACTGAAATGAACAAACTAGTTGCATTAACTGTAAATTCTTTGAATTATGTTCAAGATTTTAAAAGAAATACCTATAACTTAATTTAGGAATTCATATTTTACATTAAAAATTAGTGTAAACAGTTCACAAAGTGGTAAGATTGAATGTCATATATTACTAATTTTATTTTCTGTTTGAAATTCTCATTGTTGGTGAATTACCTTTGCCTAATAATTCATTTTTCCTACACTGGTATCTTTATACAAATTTCTCTTTAAACGAGATATGAAAATGTTTTCTTCAAGCTTTATATTTATTGCACATCGCAAAATCTGCAAATTTATAAACAAGATTGAGAACGAACGCAGACGAAAGGATGTCCTTTGACTTCATCTTTACATCATAAATATAACCAAGTTATTTCATATAAAAGCAAAATGTAATTTAAATCAATGCGTTATTCAAATAAGAACAGTTTGAATAGACTCTTCTGTAAATTATTTGAAATTATGCACTCTGAAATGCCACACTAAGTACACTCAACTTGCTTGCTTTTCAATGCAATACTTTTATTATAAATACATTTTCGATTTATAATATTGCATTTTAAATGTCATTTTATAATTTGAAATTTTAATAATTTGAAACTGAAGATCATTTATTTAATCATTAAGTTAATTAATAATACGTATATGTTATTAACTGCAAGTTATTAAAACTCAATTGAAGTTTTGTATTTTTGAAAGTAATAATTCAATCCACTATTAACTTTTTTTAATTACTTATATTAAAAAAAGTTGCAAGAATAAATATAAAAGTGGAAGGTGGAAAAAGGAAGAAAGGGTGAGAGAGAGGGAGTGAGATAGGGGGAGGGATGGATGAAGGAAGGAAATATTGCTAGTAATACTATACTTTATTATTTATTATTACAATTCAATCATTTCTATTATAGGAGATTGCTAGAATCCAAAACTACAACATTCTGATTTTTCCTATCTTGCAGACTTTAGGAATGCCTCTAACTGGTCCTTTTACAATTTCACACAGAACCAAGCATACTGATCGTTTACACAAACTCCTATTGATGAAAATGAATCAAAAGAATCAGTCGACATCTTCAATAAGGTAGATGAAATATCTGAACGTGAATATTATAATGATAGCTACATCATTATAAGCAAATTGCCTTTTTAGAAGAAGGTACAACAGTGTATTTAAAGAGTAGTTTTAGTTATATGTGATACCTTTTATATTGACTTCTTATCAATTGAAGTTCAGTATTTCTCATACATGTCTTTGCAAAACTTTTTAAGAACTGTTTAAAACTGTTTAGAATAGTCATTTTCATACAACTTATGGTGTTCAAAACAATACAAATGCATTATTGAAATTTATATGGTAAATAATAATAATATAAAACTAATTTGCATAAAACATGTCTATTTATGTTTTAATCAAGTAATTTACATCATCTATCAAAAGTACTAGCATGTTGAGGCATTGAATATAATTTATGCAACAGCCTTTATGCAGCACCGCTTACTTCTTCTTGATTTTTCATTCCAGAACCTACAGGTCCATGACGACGTTCCCAAATCATGCGATGCTTTTGTTTCATATAAGCTCTACGTACATTATGATATCCACCCAAATCACCATCTAGATCATTAGATACATCATTTTAATACAAAATTTATAAACATGAAAAATATATATAATAAAACTTGTTGTAATTCAGTTTAAAAAATTATACTATAAAAAGAATTTCAATTTTCCTTTATGCCTTAAGGGGGGCGATACATGTAACAAGAAAAAAAAAATCGTTTTTTTTTTTTTTCATAAATCGTTACAATAACATCTCAAAAATATGCCTGTAAATATTCAAAACAAAATTATCATTATTTATACAATAAAAACTCATTTAAGTGCCACGCCTCAACTCTTATCTGTTCTATGTGTCAAAACTTTAAACGCGTTTTTCTCAAAACGACATTTTTGAAACTTGCGGGCGGGATAACTCAAAAAGTTCTCAACCGATTCCAATGAAATTTTGCACACATCTACTTTACAGTAATAGCTTCTAGTTAAACCTCAAACATTCCAAAAAATGTTTCAAAAATTAACCCTTTTACCAAAAAAACCATTGAAAAAAAGGTGAAAAATCGAACTTTTTTTTTCTAAGGTGTGCCAATTTACGATTTTGTGACTTTTTTAATTTTTTTTTGGTTTAACTAGAAGATATATGTTTTATGAACACGTACAAACTAATTTTTTTAAATTCAGATCACCGTACGAAAAGTGAGAACGCCCGCAAATTGATGGCGTTTCCCGAGAGGGTCTTGGCAGATTTATTTTTACGGCAGCCATTTAAAAAGAAAAAAATAAAAAAAAATTTTTTTTGTGTATTTTAATATATAATAAATAACCCTAAAAAAGTTCAAAAAGATTCAATCATTCCTTCCCAGTTTAAAAAGTCCTCAAAAAATGGTAAAAATTAAGGCGATTACATGTATCGCCCCCCTTAAGTGAAAATTTGTATATAAAAATTATATTTATATAATCAATTTTTAATATTAAATATATATATATATATATATATATATTATATATGTTAAGTTTTAATAATTTGGATATTGAGATATGTGAGATTCAGTCTTCAGGGCAATACATCAATTAAAAACTTGAATGAACTTATAACATTTTTATTGTTTCCATACATTTCGACACATTGTTTTGTATCATCTTCAGTGAACTCTAGTTTAAAAGCACAGATTAAAACTATTAATTAAAACTAATTTATAAAAAAGTGGTATGGTGTAAAAACTTACATGTAATTGTAGTAATCCTAATTATTTCTTAATAACAATTGTTCACAAATGCACAATGAAAACCATTCTTGTCACTACACAATAAAAAAATTTGTTTTAAAATTTTATATAATTGTTCAGATTTAAAGTGACAAGAATGGTTTTCATTGTGCACTTGTGAACAATTGTTATTATGAAATAATTAGGATTATTACAATTACATGTAAGTTTTTACACCATACCACTTTTTTATAAATTAGTTTTAAATTATAGTTTTAATCTGTGCTTTTAAACTAGAGTCCACTGAAGATGATACAAAACAATGTGTCAAAATGTATGGAAACAATAAAAATGTTATAAGTTCATTCAAGTTTTTAATTGATGTATTGCCCTGAAGACTGAATCTCACATATCCCAATATCAAAATTATTAAAAGTTAACATATATATATATAATTAGATATTAATTTGGAAATATGAACAAATAACACTCTTGTTTGCACTAATTTATTAAATAATAATTTTCACAAACGTTTTGAGATCCATTGGGTATACATTAAAACAAATCTTATAAACAAACCATCTCATTCATAGAATATTTTTTCTCCTAACTATTCAATTTCAAGTGGTTTTCAAGTGGTTAGAGAATGCGAACACCGACGACCGTTGGTGTGGCAGAGGACAGTATATCGAGCTACTTGTAATGGATAACACAAAATGCTAATTTAGGTTTCCATATTTTAAATTTTAAATTATAACACGCTGATGATGAGACAAACCTAGTCTCGAAATGTTTGTGAAAATTATTATTTAATAAATTAGTGCAAAAAAGAGTGTTGTTTGTTCATATTTCCAAATTAATATCTATTATCCACTCAGAATACATTTGTTATATAGATATATATATATATATATATATATATATATATATATATTACATTTGATGAACCAATTTGTAGAAGCTTCATTGTATTGATCTAATAAGGTCCTGCACTTTTCTGCATCATCAGGAGCTTCATATAAGGAACAGTCCTCAAAACGCTGTCTAAGTATAGTCAACACCTCACTATCAACCATCCTAAACAAAAATTTTAGTTATAAATTAAAATATAATGGAATCTGCTGCATCATTAATACTACTTGTCTCTAATAAACTGTTGATTGGCCTCATATTCACAAACTGGATCGTCAGTGTAACAAGTATCTATTGTAGGCACTCTGCGTAGTTTTTGATGATACCAAGGATAAGATTTTTGATTCGGTACTACAACACTCTCTGCAAAATATGTTTGAGGTTATATTACATAACTGAAGATAATTTCAACTAAACTAAGGCAAAAGAAACTATACTTTTTATATTCATTACAGAACTGACAAAATTAATTTATCTACACTGGAATTTAACATATATTTTAGTCGGTAATACCTCGAAACCAAATAACAGGAGCTTGAAGTGTATCACTGACAGCATTAACAAATCTTTCTAAAGGATTTCTACCCGTATTATTAGACATTTTCCTAACAACCTACGCAATATTTCTTAATTTACGCGTTTTTATGTATTTACAGAAAATATTATTACGGATTATAATATTTTGACAGTTTTACTTGTTTCGTCACATATTCCACAAGTGCAGCAATAGAGGGGTCTGCTCATAACTAATAGTGAACTAATGAAAAGAGAAACATTAAATTAAAAAACAAGAAAAATTTTTGCTAAACATGATCAATAATTACGTAATAATAATTAATAATTTAATAAGTAATCAATCTTTTTATAATTTTTTTTTTATTTGAAAATCTGCGATTTGACGATTTGACGTTGGTAACAACAGTTAATCATTCCAATAACTTTCTTCACATGTGGCAATACGATTATTTCCGGCATCACGTGACTGAGGTATAAAAGCATTGGTAAGGTCAGTGAATCGTCCATTTTGTTCTTGCATCTGTTTTGGCAATGGTGAGTGTATAATCTGTTTTAATCTTCTTTTCACGTGGCAATCTATTTTACTTTATTATTGCAAAAAGTGTGTGATGTTTTATTCTGTAAAACCAGTGTTTAATTTTCATTATATTCGTTCTATTTTATGAAACTTCTATTCAATTTTTAATACGCGTTTTTGGTTAAGGGGGGCGATACATGTAACAAGAAAAAAAAAAACGATGTTTTTTTTTTTCATAAATCGTTACAATAACATCTCAAAAATATGCCTGCAAAAATTCAAAACAAAATTATCATTATTTATACCTTAAAAACTCATTTAAGTGCCACGCCTCAACTCGACGCTCGAGTGCAATTGTACTCTTATCTGTTTCTGTGTCAAAACTTTAAACGCGTTTTTCTCAAAACGACATTTTTGAATACTGCGGGCGTGATAACTCAAAAAGTTCTCAACCGATTCCAATGAAATTTTGCACACATCTACTTTACAGTAATAGCTTCTAGTTAAACCTCAAACATTCCAAAAAAAATTTCAAAAATTAACCTTTTTACCAAAAAAAACAGTGAAAAAATGGTGAAAAATCGAACTTTTTTTTTCTGAGGTCTGCCAATTTACGATTTTGTGACTTTTTTAATTTTTTTTTGGTTTAACTAGAAGATATATGTTTTATGAATACGTACAAACTAATTTTTTTGAATTCAGATCACCGTACGAAAAGTGAGAACGCCCGCAGATTGATGGCGTTTTCCGAGAGGGTCTTGGCAGATCTATTTTTACGGCAGCCATTTAAAAAAAAAAAAATAAAAAAAAAATGTTTTTGTGTATTTTAATATATAATAAATAACCATAAAAAAATTCAAAAAGATTCAGTTATTCCTTCCCAGTTTAAAAAGTCCTCAAAAAATGGTAAAAATTAAGGCGATTACATGTATCGCCCCCCTTAACATTTAATTCATTTAGATGATGATTTCCTAATTTATGTTTATGGTTTACACTGAATTTGTTGTGGATAACCTAGGGCGGTCTGAGCAATCTTGTTATTGTAAACTTTTTACGCTGTTTATTCGAAGTGTACAATAAAATTTTCTTTTGTTAGTCGCACCGTAAGTTTTCCGCGCCGAGACATGGCTCCATGGGGTTCTACCCCAAGAAGAGGTCCCAGCGTCACCGTGGTAAAGTAAAGGCTTTCCCTAAAGATGACCCTAGCAAACCAGTACATTTAACTGCCTTTATTGGTTACAAAGCTGGTATGACCCACGTGCTTCGTGAGGCAGACAGACCTGGATCAAGTATGTATATTTGAATTTGTTATTATCGACACTATTTGACAAGTTTAATCTTGTTCAGAGAGCCAGCGGAGCCACTAAACAATAGTGGTGACCTTTGGCAGTGTCGTAGATCAAGTGTCCATAGGACCCATCGGCATATTCCATAAACCTTCTGTAGCCCCTGGGCAAAGATCATTGGGATAAACCATGTTGATGACATTCCCTCTTTAATGAATTAAAGATTTCTGTTAAAACTTCTGTATTGAAGTAAATTAAAATCTACTTGCTCTAATTTTGTTTATGAAAACTTTCAATCAATGCTTTCTTTTTTAGAGATCAACAAGAAAGAAATTGTTGAAGCCGTAACTATTTTGGAAACACCACCCATGGTCGTGGTTGGAGCTGTCGGTTATATTGAAACTCCACATGGTCTACGGGCATTGGTTACTGTTTGGGCTGAACATTTGTCAGAGGAATGCCGCCGTAGATTTTACAAAAACTGGTAAGTATTCAATGAATACTTAAATTTTATCCAAGGCATATGATGATTTCCTAGTTGTATGTTTATGGTTTTATCCTGAAACATAATGTGGATAACCTAGGGCGGTCTGAAATGCAATATGTACATATATACTTTATATGTCAATATATGTATCAAATTACTAATTCATGGACATAGTTCTCCAATCAATGATTTTCATTGCATGAGAACTTTTGTATAAAAATCGGTCTCCGCTCAAAGAAGAGACTGGTTTTATGATTTTAGATTCTGATATACATTATTCTTCTGCAAATAAGGTATAAGAGCAAGAAGAAGGCTTTCTCTAAGTCCTCCAAGAAATGGCAAGATGAGCTTGGTCGCAAATCAATTGAAAGGGATTTGAAGAAAATGGCCAAATACTGTAAAGTTATTCGTGTTATAGCGCATACACAGGTACTCATTTAACAATTAATCTTCTTAATAATCATTTTTAGTGCTTTTTTTAAAACTATAAATTCTTTCAATTAGATGAAACTATTGAAACAACGTCAAAAGAAAGCACACATTATGGAGATCCAATTGAATGGTGGTACAGTTGAACAAAAGATCCAATGGGCTCGTGAACATCTTGAGAAGCCAGTTCCAGTTTCCCAAGTTTTTGGACAAGATGAAATGATTGATGTTATTGGTGTCACTAAAGGAAAAGGATTCAAAGGTATTATTTTTATTAACTACATATAAATATCTTTCAGTTACATGATGAGAAACCATGTGTGCCTTATCTGAAAACTTTTGAACGATATAACCATGTTGCCTTCCTTCTGATAATCATTTCATTTACTATAAATGAAATGTCATGTGAATTTGACTATAATTATGTTCTCTCCTTCTAGGTGTAACTTCTAGATGGCACACAAAGAAGCTTCCAAGGAAGACACACAAAGGTCTGCGCAAAGTTGCTTGTATTGGAGCTTGGCATCCTAGCAGAGTCTCATTCACTGTGGCTCGTGCTGGTCAAAAGGGATACCATCATCGTACTGAGATCAATAAGAAAATCTATAGAATTGGTGCTGGTCTCCACACTAAAGATGGAAAGGTTTGTGTCAAATTTATGTATATTAACTTCCTTCCAAGTGAGCATGACACATGATGAATTTTTGTAGAGCCAAATACAAATTATATGATTCATATATGACATTTAAATGATAGGCCTGATATAGTTAATTACTAATCATTTTTCATCATCCTTTTTCTTTTAAAAGGGAAACTAAACAATTTTCATGTTCTAGGTCATCAAGAATAATGCATCCACTGAATATGATTTAAGTGAAAAAAGCATTACTCCCATGGGAGGCTTCCCTCATTATGGTGAAGTTAACAATGATTTTGTTATGCTCAAGGGCTGTGTCATGGGACCCAAAAAGCGTGTTATCACAATGAGAAAGGTATCTATAATTTACAGTACATTTCATAATTAATCAATGATGATCCCCATCCATTTAATCCATTCAATGATACACATATGAATATAACTTTTGGATCTGACTTTTACTCTTTATAACTTACAACGTAAAATTCAAATTTAATTTAAACTAATTAAAATTCTTTTATTTCAGTCTCTATTAGTCCACACCAAACGTATTGCTTTAGAGAAGATCAATTTGAAATTCATTGATACTTCATCCAAATTCGGACATGGTAGATTCCAGACTCCTGCTGATAAATTTTCTTTCATGGGTGTTCTCAAGAAAGATCGTGTTAATGAAGAGACAACTGCTGCTCAACCCACAGCTAGCACATAAGTTGGTTTCTGTTACATTTATTCATGAGGAATAAAGTAAATTAAAAAATATGTTAATTTTTTATTTATGTAATTCTTTGTTTTGACTTCCAGATTATTTTCTTAATTAAAATACCTTTTAATTTCAAAATAATAAGTTGCTTATTTTAATTCAAATGTTAACACCTTAAAACATAATTATTAATGATCATATTTATAATATTTATAAATCTTGCAAAGTAACACTCTACTGTTATTTAAACAAAACTTAATCAAATAATGAAACCTTAATCAAAAATGTAAAGCTTATGAGTATGAAATAAATAAAATTATCTAACAATAATTAAAAAAAAAATTAAAATGTTATCTTAATTAGTATTTCCATCATAAACATTCCCTAATTTTAGTCAATTTACTTATAGTTTAAAATCTTTAATAGTCAACCAAATAACTTCTTACCTTTTGATAATTTGTGATATCTGATAATGTTTTACATTCCTTAAAATATATTAAAAATTTCATTCCAAACATTATTTGTTTGTTTAGTGAAAACTAGATAAAATTTACTAAAATCCTAGAAACTATTATTGGAATATAACTTGGATATTGAAATTATAATTTGAAACTATAATTAAAAAAAAATAAGGAAAAGTGATTCAAATGTTATCCTAATTAGTATTTCCATCATAAACATTCCCTAATTTCAGTTAATTTACTTATAGTTTAAAATCTTTAATGCTCAACCAATTAACTTCTTACCTTTTGATAATTAGTGATATCTGATAATGTTTTACATTCCTTAAAATATATTAAAAATTCCATTCCAAACATTATTTGTTTGTTTAGTGAAAACTAGATAAAATTTACTAAAATCCTAGAAACTATCATTGGAATATAACTTGGATATTGAAATTTTGAATAATTCGTAGTAACAGACTATCTGATTCATTGCAGACTTTAGAATGTTGATAATCAGCAATATGTGAATTTGGAATATATTTTACTTTTCTTTAAATAATTTTTACTTCGTATTTTATAATTTATTTACATAATTAAATACTAGGCAAAATTTACTAAAATATAGTAAAAACTGCTGTGTTTAAGAATTTGCCTTTAATGGGAATTTACACTAGAGCGCGCTTTTCATTGCCGAATTTCTTGATCGCTTCACTTGGCCTGTTTGGGGGTTAAGATTTCGTTATGTGCAACAATAAATTATTTTTTCTTGTGATATACTGTGTAGATCTTAAAATAACATTAAGAATTAAATTAAAAATGACATATACAGATTTAATATTTTTTAGTTCAAGCAAGTTAATTAAAAAAAGTAACTTTTTCAGTTGTGTTTAAAGTAAACAAACTCATTGTAGTGGAGGTTCTCCAGAGTATGAGAGGGAAAAAGCATCTACACATTAAACATGTAAGTAATTATTTATGTCTTACTTATTAATTTTGAAAATTTATGTTGTCAGTCATAAATATTTTAGATTAACAAATTATTAAACCATGAACTGAATTGAAAATTTACATTTACTTGAATAAAACACATTAGTGTAAATTTTTTATATGGTTAATAGTTTTATTAAACAAATGACATAAACCAGCTAAAGAGGTTAAATGAATATTCAAAAAAATTAAACATGTGCATGTGCAATGCAAAATATTATTTCAATATTTAAATCTATATAAAAATTTAATCAAAGCTAATCAATTCAGCTGTTTGTGTATCAGTGGATGTTTGAGGGCTCCCTGGAGGAGCAGAACTTTGAACGGCACCTTGTGGATTAAATTGCATATTAGATTGTCCGGCAATATTAACAATTGGTGGTGGCATATTTATTCCGCCTTGATTCATGACAGGGGCTTGAGGAACATGCTGCTGACCCCCCATAGGAATGCCTTGAGAATGCATTTGTATCACTGGATTTTGATTGTTGGTCATATGACCCAGCTGTTGTGGATTTGGTATATTGGGATTTCTGGGACCCATAGCCTGTGAATTTGGTACAGTATTTGGCACATTTTGTTGGTTGATCATAGGACTTTGTGTGATCTGTTGTTGACCAGGTGGAATTGCTTGGCATTGTTGTTGATGATTGGACTCCATTTGCGAAGGATTATTAGGTCCTACTGCAGGATGAATATTAATTGAGCCATGCATACTAGTTGGTGGACCCATCATATGCTGCACGGGAATTCCTATAGGCAGTCCTGGCCCTGGCATTTGCATCATAGGTTGGAAATGTGGAACAAAATTGTACTGCTGACCAGACACAGGGTACTGTGTATGAGCTGGAGAATTCTGATTGAATCCAAATTGGGGTCCCATGATATATTGCTGTTTCTGTTGCTCTTGACGCATTTGCATTTCTCTTTCCTGCTCTTGTATTTTTTGTAATGCCAACTGTCTTTGATATTGCAAATACTCTTGCTTCTTTTTACGCATGATATCCAGTTTATGAGCCATTTGCATTTGTCTTTGTCTTTCTGCTTCTTCAGCTAATTTTCGAAGTTTCTCTCTATGTTCCTCCCTAAGGACATCCAAAGCAGCTCGAGAATCCTTGACTTGAGTTAGTTTATCCTGAAAATGTAAAAATTCAAAAACATTAAATTTTACATTCTAAACTGTACTGTAGCTGATTTATATATATTGTAATGATATACTACTAACTTGTAATCCTTCAAAGTGAACATGGGCATCATCTTGTTGTTGAATATACCGTAAAAGTTTAGAGTGCATTGCAGTTAGGTTCAAGAATAGAGTTTGTACTGAACTATCATTTGCAATAGAACGCCCTCTGCTTGAATTACTTTTCATTCTATTAACAAATATTTCAATTTGTGATTTAAGTGCTGTTGTAAATTCATCTAGTTCCTTATCCTGTGCTACATTTTGTGGTCCTGAAAAAAATAAATGTTAGCAGATAATGAAACAACTTGGCTATTATTTTTTATTTTTCTTCATGCCTGATGGTGATTTTTGTAAAACTGAGTCAGCTACTGACACAATAGGCATTGGACTAGGAATCGGAGCTGGTGCAGAAGGGCTGGGCGCAATATCTTGACTAATGTCTTGTCGTTGTTCCCAATATCCTAAAAAAACAAATAAGCATGTTAAATCTGTTTATATTTTTTAAAATTTGATATACAATTACTAACCTCTATTCAAATATCTAGCTAATTCTGGATCAGCTGGTATCTCCTCTACAGGACTTGAATTATTTTCTTTACTCAAATCTTTATGTGGTGAGAACTCCCTAGGCTGCCTTGGCATAGTACTGTTACGCTTTACTTCAGCTTCAGATTGACTTAATGCCAAAGCTAGTTGCAATTCTTCCTCTTCCTGTAATTCCTGAGCGGTACGTCTGGTTGGTGTTTGATTTTGTTGAGCTAGGGAACTAGTTAAATATTCAACTGGAAGATCATTATCATTTTGCAAACTTGGAGATTTGGATCTTGACAATGGTCTATTTACTTGATCATAGCAAGCATCACAAACTCTGACCTATATAGAAATATTCAATACAATTAAAGGGGCTAGTAGTTTTTAGACTAAGATAAGGTATAGTATTTACTTCTTTTTCTATTCCAAATTTGGGCAAAGTACTAGTTTTACCACTGCACTGATTACATACAACTTGGCCACAGGCTCGGCAATGATGCTTTCGTTGAACTAGAGAAAATGCAACTCTGCATCGATTACAGACTTCACCATCTGCCCATTCTGGTGCACTATGAGCACTAAACATAGCATCACTTTCCTTCAACGCAGGAAAAGTACGACCTTCAGATTTTAAAATATTCATGGTATCCTAAACACAAAAGATCATTGTTATTAGATCATGAATAAAACAAATAAATATAATTTTAATAATAACTCTGTTAAGAATTTTGATTGTATAAAGTTTTATCTTACTTGTACTGCTCTGTACTTCGGATTTTGACGGAATGCAAAAGCCCAAGCTTGAATCAGTTCTAACATCTTTGTGCGGACATTTTCATGCTGTGATGTGGTTACTATTTCTCTGAACATTTCACAATTTGCTTTAGAAGTAATTTCGTCATGGATTATAGAACCTTTATTTGAATAAAATAAACAGGTTTCATTATCATTATATTATTTATTTATTTATTATTTATTTAATTATACTAACCGCAATTTTTAACGACACTCTCCAGAACTAACATAGCAAACATTGCTTGGTGCGGATTAGATGAATATAGTTTCTTTTTTATTGAAGCTATGGCATATTTGGGGCTACAAAAGTAAAATATGTTTATTGCAGAGTTAAGGTACACACATTAGATTTACTTACGTGCAGTCATTCTGCCTGATTAAATCACATATTTGTAAAATTGCAGGCCAGTCTGGATCAAGACGCAAATTGCTAGTAGCCTTATCTGTAAATTATAAAACATTTTATATCTGTAATATATAAAACATTTATAAAATATATTTACCTAAAAGTTTGTCAAAATTTCCAGCAGAACGAAACATTGTAGTCAAAATATGCAGAAAATAATTAAAATCGAATCAATACAATTACTACACAGTTGTCAAATACGAGACAATGACGGACAATGACAGCACTATTATTTGAAGGGCAATTTGACGTTTTGACGTATGACTAATGAGCATAGATTTCTTCCAAAATAGAGTAGAAAAAATATTCACTGCAATTTATAAACGTAATAATTACCACTGCAATAATTGAATAATTTATAGTAGATATGATGTTATAGCACGAAAATAAATTTTCTATGATGAATTTACGTATTTAAAATTGTTGATTCAAAACTAATAATGGAAATAAGAGCGACGCAAATAAGTTAATGCAAATATGTTGATATTTGAATTTATCCGTATCTCTGGAGCAATTGTATTAATTTTATAAATTTAGACTTGATATCAATTGATATGATTATTGTCATTGTTAAAGTATGAAATTTCGTGTTATATTTTAGTGTGGTAAAAAACTGCCAGTGTAGTCACAACTCTCGTTGTTCCTAATCTCAGGCAACACTTCAAAAGAATTGGTTGTTTTGACAATTTGTATGTTTTCGTTTAGCAGATGATTCATCATGGCAGTGGAAAAAAATAAATATAAGAAATATTTGATTTATGTGTTTGACTGTGATTATATTTAACGTGCGTTATAACTCACTCAGACTTATATTTAACAATTTAGTGATAGTTGTCATTGTTGACATGTTAACAAAAATGAAATGCATTTACCAGTTATATCTGCGTAATTAAATATTTTGGTGTTGCAGCTTCATTGCAATAAAACATTAATCGAATAACTCATAATGATTTTATGAAAAACTATTTGTTGTGAACTTATGATGTGATTAGAAAACAGACTTGTAATAAATTGTGATCTTATTTATATTTGATATTTCTATTGCATGATGGCAAATTCGGCTCGCACAAAGTTTGAATACTCCCTTGTTGCTGAAGATTCGGCCCCCATATCAAAACTACTGCCCAGAGAATTATTGCTAAGGATTCTTTCATACTTGGATGTTGTGTCTTTGTGCAGATGCGCTCAAGTATCAAAGCTGTGGAATGTATTAGCACTTGATGGGTCTAATTGGCAGCGTATAGACTTATTTGAATTTCAAACAGATGTTGAAGGTCCTGTTATAGAAAATATATCGAGGCGCTGTGGAGGATTTCTAAGACAGCTATCTTTAAGAGGTTGCCAGTCTGTTGGCGATGGTTCTATCCGTCAACTTGCACAACACTGTCCAAATATCGAAGATTTAAATCTAAATAAATGCAAAAAAGTCACTGATATTAGTATACAAGCATTAAGCAGATGTTGTGCAAAATTAATATCCATAAATTTGGATTCATGTGCAAATATAACTGATATGAGTTTAAAGGCTCTGTCTGATGGTTGCCCAAATTTAGTGCACATTAACATTTCATGGTGCCATCTGGTTACAGCGACAGGGGTAGAAGCACTTGCACATGGCTGTCCTAAGTTGCAAACATTTATAGGAATAGGTTGCAAAGATGTGAATGATAGAGCTGTTACTTCCTTAGCAAGATTTTGTACAGGTTTGCAAGTGTTAAATTTACATGGCTGTGATTCTCTAACTGATGAGTCTGTTTGTCAAATAGCCGAGCGATGTCTCGGTTTGAGACAACTGTGCTTAACAGGGTGTGTTGGATTGACTGATTTGACTTTAAGCACTTTAGCTCAGAATTCTCATTATCTGGCTACATTAGAGGTTGCTCAATGTTCTCAGTTTTCAGATATAGGATTTCAAGCGCTGGGCCGCAACTGTAGACTGCTTGAGAGAATGGACTTAGAAGAGTGTGTTTTAATTACAGATTCTAGCTTGGTGCATTTGGCAATGGGCTGCCCTAGATTGGAAAAATTGACTCTTTCCCATTGTGAGTTGATTACTGATGAGGGAATAAGGCAACTTGCAGCATCTCCTTGTGCTGCAGAAAATTTATCAGTCTTAGAATTAGATAATTGCCCTCTTATAACTGATTCAACATTAGAACATTTAACAGCCTGTCACAATCTACAAAGAATAGAACTATATGACTGCCAGTTAGTCACAAGAAATGCTATTAGGAGATTGCGCAATCATTTGCCAAATATAAAAGTCCACGCATATTTTGCTCCTGTGACACCACCACCTACTTCAGGTGGCCCGAGGCCTAGGTATTGTCGTTGCTGTGTTATTCTGTAGTGAATATAAATATATTAATTTTAAATAAATGAATATAATAATGTATCACATACCCCCTATGCTTAGTTCTCAATTTGCATATGCTTGGCACAGCTTGACTATAAGTATTTTAATGATTTTATTCAATATGATATAATGAACTTTAAGAGAAGATTTTGTATTTGTGTATTTTAAATAATAAATAATATTTTTGTGTTTTAACAAAACTTGATTTCATATTATTTATCAATGTCTTTCTTTTCAGTGTATAAAACATAATTATTTAAAGAAAACACGCACAATGAACTAAAAACTTATATAATGGTCAGATAACAAATTATATAAAAATTGTATATAAAAATTTATATACAAAACATTTAAAATGATGACAGTCTAAAATTAGATCGGATATTTTTGAACAATTTGTTCAAAGATAAAGAAATTGATATATACTTACATAACATATTATGTATAATATAAAATTTAGTTTGATTTAAAGTTGACATAAAATTTAGGTAAAAAGTAGTAGGTAACCATTTTTAGAAAATTCATAAACCATACTATATTATAAGCTTTGAAATTCATTTATTGTACTATCTTACGATATGTCTAAGGAACAGAAAATGACTTACATAACATTTATTGCCTAGGGCTAACTTGTAAGGCATTCTGTCAAGGTGTATAAGTATATTAATATTTATAATATATAATTGTGCCTTAAGGAAAATTGCTGGAATTTTCCGTACCGTAACGAAATGTTCGAGGAATATTAAATGTTTTCAAATAGATTATTATAAATATTGTAACATTGTCTGATATTTATAAGAATTATATAAACTGAATATCTGTATCTAAAAATTATTTGTTCAAAGTGTATTAAAACTTTAGTCAGAATTATTTTCCATATACAAAAAAAAATTCCAAAAGCAATTATTTTGTTAAAACAAGCAGAAAGTTTTTTGAATCATTCAAATCGGACGCTTAGTTCTCTCAAAAACTGCCATTTTTTGCGCTATTAACTCTGTATCTTTGAAATGGCTGGACCTGCCTTTACCAAAAACTAAACACTTCTCTCAATTATTACAAATTGACTGTTTTTTTGGATCATTCAAATCGGATACTCCGTTCTCTCAAAACCTCGATTTCTATTTTCTGCACTCTTTGCTCCGTATCTCCGTAAGGGCTAGACCTGATTTTGTCAAAAACTAATCAGCACATCTCCCTATCCTTAGGAATCGAGTGTTTTTTGAATCATTCAAATCGGTTGATCCGTGCGCCCGAAAACGTGGACGAAAAATGAGGACGTACAAAACACACACACACATCTATTTTTTCTGAGGTATGCCAAAATGTTCAGAAACAAGCGTTTTCATTTTCGATTTTTGGCCTATTACTATAACTACCCTACGGGAAGTTAATAAATATTATATGTAAATTAATCTAATCTATTCGCGATTGCGAACAGCAATGTTTTTTGCATTGTCGTGTGTGTCGAAATGTTATTGGTTCAGTCACAAAGAATTTAATGATATGAGTATTGTTAAACAACTGTGAAAAACAATTATGAGATTATGTCTAAATTAATAGCAACATGAAAGATTGGGTTTTGAGCGGATAATTAAAATTGTATATTTTAATTTAGCACATATATTATTTTTTGCGAATAATATATAATTATATAATATATAAATATCCGAAACATTATATAAATGCAAAATTCATGTTAAGATCACATATCTCCTCCGCCTAAATCCAGTATTGGTAAATCTGGTTCATCGGTTTCCGCAACCGTATCCTGCGGTTCGTCAGTATCTTGTTGTCTATCTTCATCCTTTTTACTAGAATTGGGCTGTTCTTTCTCCTTTTTACGTTTTTCAATTTCGTATTCCATGCGTGTTTCAATACCGAAATGTGGATCAAGGATTTCATGAGGTTCATCAGCTATGTCATGGGGTAGAATATCCTGGTCATGGTAACCATCAGGTTCGTCATAGCGGCTATCATCTTCGTCATAGGGCTGCGGTGGGGGGGTGTCTATAGGAGGAATTGGGGGTATATCACTGTGGGTTGCTGAATGATGGCTATCACGATCGTCTGCATTTGGGTCTTCATAAGTATCATCTTTATCTGTATCTTGAACAGCTTCTTGGTTTATGAACTCATCTAATGGTTTGGAATGCGGATTTGTTTTCTCAGGCTTGCAACCACCTTCTTCACAGGAGTCGTCAAATTTTGCAAGTTTGGGTTGAATTTTAATACTTCCTAATTGAAGGGGGTTTTCTTTGTTGAAGATATACCATCCGAACCTTAAATATTTTGTATCTAAAATTAGTTTGTTCTATTTCAATAGCACAGATTTCACGATCTATTGAGTTTACATTCTTTTTTGGGCCTCTTCGAAATTAATTTCATGCTAACTTATATTTTTTTAATATTTTTATTCATATTATTATTAGATTATATATAGTGCACATAAAATAACTCGATAAGACACTAGCCCTGATTAGTTTTACGCGACGATTGGCAAAACAACTTTTTTATAATTATCAGAAAAGTACAATTTTTTTTGTGCACGTTTTAGCCAGAAGTCCTGAACCAATTTTAAAAACAGATCTTAAGATCTTAGTTGGAAATCATGCTATAGTTTGACCGGGTCATTTCTTAATACTTAATTATTATATTTTTGATGATTGGATGGCGATTGAGTTTATTTTATTTTTACGATATTATTGTTTATTTACATAGTTTGAATTAGTTTCAATACTTAAAAAAATCATAAACCTTAATGAAAAATTCATTAGACTGTTATTGGCATTGCGTTCGATGATAAAAATGGATAAATTTACTATTTTGCTTTGCAGAACTGATGAGGTTGTACTACATTTGCACAAACATGCAATATTTTGTCAATATCTGTATTGAAAACTATAAATATTATTTATAAATGAAATAGATATAATTTATAGTATTATCAGAAACTGTGTGTTATTCGATAACGAATTTCGGCAATTCGCTTTTTTTTAGTAAGGAAAATGAACTTTAGCAAGTTAATTTTGATGCATAGTTTACGGAATTGTAAGGAAGAAGGAAGTATTATAAGATCGTCCTAATTTAGTACGAGAATTTACCATTTGGTTTGAGATTCCAATTCTTCTTCACTGATGCATTTTGTGTTTTCTTGATTATTCAATATTGTCGCAAGTTGACTATATTTTGTTAAGAACTGTTTAGTTTTACAGCTTATATATTGATCAGGATTCAGTTTTGAATTATGCCCAAGCTCATTAATCAGGAAACTAATTAAAAAATTAAGTAACAAATAAAACGTCATTGGTATAATTTATTAGAAAGGGAACACTTACTCATGAATTGATATTTTGGCATAATGTTTGACATTATGGCTGATTGTTCTGTTGTATGTAACAAAATTCAACATTTAGCTCTTAAAATTATAAAATAAGAATAATTTTTTTTATAAAACTTCTTAAAAAAATAATTTATATAAAAATCATTGATATTTTTTGTACATCAAATTAATTTGTCATTGCATTCTTTTGTTTTCTTATTTAATTACATCTTTCATTTTAAAGTAATGGTGTTTACAAATACGAGTCTGCTCATTGTGAATTGCAATTGTCTAGCTCATTGTAAATGATAAGATTAAAATTAAAATATTGAACGATAATGAGTGAATAATAAAACAGAACTTTGTTAAAATGAAATATATTTTTTCATATGTTTATACATATAGGAATATATGAAATTTAAGATAATAATAAAAGCTAATTTGCAATAAGTAAGAACATCGTTAACAACGCAATTTAATAACAATAACATATATTCATAACTTTATAGATTTACAATGGGCATGTGTATTCGCTATCAGGAACACAATGTTTTTGAATTAAGTGGTACACAGTGCCATTTGGACATTGGTGGTCAATTCTGACTAATTTTCCTGGTATTTGTACGCAATTGTAATAAGCCATGCAATGCGGTACATCTAAATTAATAAATGATCCTGCCATTTTACATGTAGAACTAGATTGAGTAGTGGTTGGAGCCAAAGTTGTTGAAGTAGTTTGAGATTCGCTTGGCACACAACTAGACATGGTAGAATGAATGCATCTCTTATAAAATTTACTGAAGTATGTTGTTCCAGGACATGCATAATGACCTTTCTGCAAATTTCCATTGCCATCGCGGACGCACAGGTAATACCTATAATTTAATAATGATTTAATAATTAATAAATTCACAGATAAAATTACTATTATAAAATTTGCAAACAAACCATTTGCAAGTTGTGTCTAATTCGTCTTTAAATCTGCCTTCTTTTATGCAAGTAAATTCGGGAATTTCTGTAGTGTGTGATATATCAGTGCTAGTCGGTGATGATTCTGTAGTTGCAATGTCTGGCTTGCAACCGGAAAGCTCGGCTTTAACGCATCTACGATATCTTTTACTAAACAATGTTTCACCAGGACAACTATAATGTCCGAGATTAAATTTACCATTGCTACCTAGCACGCACAAATAATACCTAAAACATTGAAATTAAAAAAAATTAATACTTTATGTAAATAACTAAATATGCTGCACTAATATCGCATACATTTTACAAGTGTCATCTTCATCGTCTTTGAATCGTCCTTCTTTTACGCAAGTAAAAGAGGATGACGGCTGTGTAGTGGGCTCATTTGTAGAGCTATTTGTGGTAGGGCTTGTTGGAACATCTGTTATAGAACTTGTAGGATTATCTGTTGTGGAACTTGTTAATATAGTTGTTGAACTTGTAGTTGTTGTACTAGTAAATGTTGTTGTTGGATTTGGATTAGGTGTAGTTGCTGGTATGCAGTCTGATGTAGAAGCCTCAACACATCTTCTGTATCCGAAACTAAAGAGTGTTGTTCCGGGACATTTGTAATGACCTTTCTGCATTATGCCTTCGGCACTGAGTACACATAAATAATACCTATGCAGTTGAAAATGAATTTAAATAATTGCTTCAAAACTGTTATTGTAATACAATAATACAATCTTTACCATTTACAAGTTAAATCTTGCTCATCTTTAAATCTTCCTTCTGATTCACAAATAAACTCTGGCGGTGGTGTTGTGGGATTTGATGTGGTTGGAATGGGCGTTGTTTCTGTCGTTGCAACTGATGTAGTTGAAGGCACACATTCAGAAAGTTCAGCATTTACACATCTTCGATATTTGATACTGAATAATGTTGTACCAGGGCAACTATAGTGACCCAAATTGAACTTTCCGTTTTCACCAATGACGCACAAGTAATACCTAATATCAATTCAAATAATAATATCAATAACAGTTATGTGAATATGTATATCTATATTAAAGTTTTTACATCTTGCAGCTGTTGTCTTGTTCGTCTTTAAATCGACCTTCTTTGCTACAAACAAATTCTGGAGCATCAGTGGGTTTATTGGTTGGAATATTTGTACTTGGATTTGTTGCTGTATTTTCAGTAGTTGTTTCAATTGTAGGTCTCGTAGAAGATTCTGTCGTTTGAGAAGTAGTATTTTCGCTTGGTGTCTGGGTTGAAACATCGGTTGTTGTATCTGTTGACCCACTTGTAGGTGTACTTGTTGGTAAATCAGTTGGTGCAGGCGTGACTGGAATACAATCAGAACTAGAAGCTTGAACACATCTTCTATACCCAGTGCTAAAGAGTGTTGTCCCAGGGCATTGATAGTGTCCCTGTTGCATAATTCCCTTTTCGCTAAGTACGCACAAGTAATACCTAAATTTAATTTTAAGCATATAATATAAATTTTACTAATTGTCTTTCATAAGTTGTATAAAGTTACGCTGACCATTTGCAGGTTAAATCTTGCTCATCTTTGAATCTGCCTTCTGATGTGCATACAAAATCAGGCAATGCCGTTGTAGGCATTTGTGTAGTGGGTTCCAGGGTGGTAATTGGTGTTGTCAAAGGTTCACATTCAGAAAGTTCTGCGTTTACACATCTTCGATATTTGATACTGAATAATGTTGTACCAGGACAACTGTAGTGGCCTAAATTGAATTTTCGATTATCGCCAATGACGCACAAATAATACCTATTGAACATTGAAAAAATATTAATAGTAGATTTAAACTGCAGAATTAATTTAGAGTTATATTTACATTTTGCATGTATTGTCTTGTTCATCTTTGAATCGCCCTTCTTTGGTACAAACAAATTCTGGAGCATCAGTTGGTTTATCAGTTGGAGTATTTGTACTTGGGTTAGTTGCAGTATTTTCTGTAGTCGTTTCAATTGTAGGTCTCGTAGAAGATTCTGTCGATTGAGAAGTAGTACTTTCGGTTGGTGTCTGTGTTGAAACATCGGTTGTTGTATCTGTTGACCCACTTGTAGGTGTACTTGTTGGTAAATCAGTTGGTGCAGGCGTGACTGGAATACAATCAGAACTAGAAGCTTGAACACATCTTCTATACCCAGTGCTAAAGAGCGTTGTCCCAGGGCATTGATAGTGCCCCTGTTGCATAATTCCTTTTTCGCTAAGGACGCATAAGTAATACCTAGAAATAATTTAGTGCATTTAAAACAAATTTCAACAATTTTACTTCAAAAGTCATAAAAAGTGACGCTGACCATTTGCATGTTAAATCTTGTTCATCTTTGAATCTACCTTCTGATGTGCACACAAAATCAGGCAACGCCGTTGTCGGAATTTGTGTAGTGGTGGGTTCCTCTGTTGTAATTGGTGTCGTCAATGGTTCACATTCAGAAAGTTCTGCGTTTACACATATTCGATATTTGGTACTGAATAATGTTGTACCTGGACAACTGTAGTGGCCTAAATTGAATTTTCCATTATCGCCAATGACGCACAAATAATACCTATTGAACATTGAAAAAAAATATTAATAATAGATTTAAACTGCAGAATTAATTTAGAGTTATCTTTACATTTTACATGTATTGTCTTGTTCGTCTTTGAATCGCCCTTCTTTGGTACAAATAAATTCTGGAGCATCAGTTGGTTTATCAGTTGGAGTATTTGTACTTGGGTTAGTTGCAGTATTTTCAGTAGTTGTTTCAATTGTAGGTTTTGTAGAAGATTCTGTCGATTGAGAAGTAGAACTTTCGGTTGGTGTTTGGGTTGAAACGTCGGTTGTTGTATCTGTTGACCCACTTGTAGGTGTGCTTGTTGGTAAATCAGTTGGTGCAGGCGTGACTGGAATACAATCAGAACTAGAAGCTGGAACACATCTTCTATACCGAGTGCTAAAGAGTGTTGTCCCAGGGCATTGATAGTGCCCCTGTTGCATAATTCCTTTTTCGCTAAGGACGCACAAGTAATACCTAGAAATAGTTTAGTGCATTTAAAACAAATTTCAACAATTTTACTTCAAAAGTCATATAAACTGACGCTGACCATTTGCATGTTAAATCTTGTTCATCTTTGAATCTACCTTCTGATGTGCATACAAAATCAGGCAACGCCGTTGTCGGAATTTGTGTAGTGGTGGGTTCCTCTGTTGTAACTGGTGTCGTCAATGGTTCACATTCAGAAAGTTCTGCGTTTACACATCTTCGATATTTGATACTGAATAATGTTGTACCTGGACAACTGTAGTGGCCTAAATTGAATTTTCCATTATCGCCAATGACGCACAAATAATACCTATTGAACATTGAAAAAATATTAATAGTAGATTTAAACTGCAGAATTAGTTTAGAGTTATATTTACATTTTGCATGTATTGTCTTGTTCATCTTTGAATCGCCCTTCTTTGGTACAAACAAATTCTGGAGCATCAGTTGGTTTATCGGTGGGGGTATTTGTACTTGGGTTAGTTGCAATATTTTCAGTAGTTGTTTCAATTGTAGGTTCTGTAGAAGATTCTGTCGATTGAGAAGTAGAACTTTCGGTTGGTGTTTGAGTTGAAACATCGGTTGTTGTATCTGTTGACCCACTTGAAGGTGTGCTTGTTGGTAAATCAGTTGGTGCAGGCGTGACTGGAATACAATCAGAACTAGAAGCCTGAACACACCTTCTATACCCAGTACTGAAGAGTGTTGTCCCAGGACATTCATAGTACCCTTGTTGCATAATACCCTTTTCGCTAAGGACGCACAAGTAATACCTAGAAATAATTTAGTGCATTTAAAACAAATTTCAACAATTTTACTTCAAAAATTATATGAAGTGACGCTGACCATTTGCATGTTAAATCTTGCTCATCTTTGAATCTACCTTCTGATGTGCATACAAAATCAGGCAACGCCGTTGTAGGAATTTGTGTAGTGGGTTCCAGGGTGGTAACTGGTGTCGTCAAAGGTTCACATTCAGAAAGTTTTGCATCTACACATCTTTTATATTTTGTACTGAATAATGTTGTACCGGGACAACTATAGTGGCCTAAGTTGAATTTTTCATTATCGCCAATGACGCACAAATAATACCTAATAAACATTTAAAAAATATTAATAATAGATTGAAATTATAGTAAATAAAAGTTATTTTACATTTTGCAGGTATTGTCTCCTTCATCTTTAAATCGACCTTCAGTAGTACATACGAATTCTGGAGCATCAGTTGGTTTATCGGTTGGAGCATTTGTACTTTGATTAGTTGCAGCATTTTCAGTAGTTGTTTCAATAGCAGGGCTTGTAGTAGACCCTGTCGATTGAGAAGTAGCACTTTCAGTTGGTGTTTGGGTCGAAATGTCTATTGTTGTATTTGTTGAATCGATTGTGGTTGTGCTTGTAGGTATTTCAGTTGGTGCTGACGTAACGGGAACACAACCAGAACTAGACGCTTCAACGCATCTTTTATACCCAGTGCTAAAAAGTGTTGTTCCAGGACACTGATAATGCCCTTTTTGCATATTTCCTTTTTCGCTAAGTACGCACAAGTAATACCTAAAAATAGTTTAATGCATTTAAACTAAATTTCAATATTTTTACTTCAAAAGTTGTATAAGTAGGCGCTAACCATTTACAAGTTAAATCTTGTTCATCTTTAAATCTTCCTTCTGATTCACATATAAACTCAGGTGATTCAGTTGTGGATGCTTGTGTGGTCTGTGGAGGATTGGTTTCTGTTGGTGTGGTTGTAGAAGTTAAAGGTTCACATGCCGAAAGATCTGCATTGACACACCTTTTATATCTGATACTAAACAATGTCGTGCCGGGGCAGCTATAATGCCCGAGATTAAATTTTCCGTTGTCACCTATCACGCATAAATAATACCTGTAGATTAAGGATAAATATCATATAATAAAACCAGCTGCTAATTTTAGTTGATTCGTACAATCTAATATTTACACTTACATTTTGCAAGTGACATCTAATGCATCTTTGAAGCGTCCTTCTTTGGTACATGTAAATGGTAGTACATTTGTGGGTTTAATTGTTGGTGGGACAATAGTTGTTGGTAAAGTGGTTGCTGTTGTTTCTGATGGCAATGCCGTTCCAATAAAACAGTCGGTTTCTCCTATTCCTACACAGCCATGGTGGCGATAACTAAAATATGTTGATCCTGGACACTTCTCATGTGATTTTTGTAAGGAACCATCCCTGTCATGCTTACACCGATAATACCTTTTGATAGATATTGATATTTAAATCTGTTTGCATTAAATTATTTTAAAAAATATGATGATATATATCTATTATTCATTGGAATATATAAAAATGTATATAAAGGATTTTATAGGTTCTACTGATATGCAAAATGTTAGTTTATGTATTAAAAATGTAAATGTACTTACCATTTGCAAGTAATATCGTTTTCGTCTTTAAATATGCCTTCTACTTCGCATTTAAATTGAGGTTCAGGTATATTAATTGGTTTATATTCTGATATATTAAATTCAACACATTTTTCTAACAAATCGCTGTATAGTTTTGTTTTCTTGAACTGTTCATGAGCCAGTTTGAGTTTACCATTATTTGTTTTTAAGGAAAGATAATAACTAAAATCATAATAATAAATTACATATTTTATAGAATAAAATCAATAGTTATTAGTGTAAAACTTACGTTAATCTGCCGCCAAATGCAGGTGCTTGCCAATAATGAAGCTTAAGCAAAAGTATTCTAGTAAAGTTCAGCAAATACTTTCTCGCAAGTCAGCTTAAATTCTTTTTATGAAGCTTTTGAAAAACTATAGCTATATATTCCATTCGAAGCATGTTTTTGCGCATCAAGCATCTTATGAATATAAAAACTATACCAATAACCAGCATATAATAATTTTGAAGTATGTTGCAAGATATTTTCAATACAAAAATGTAGTCCTGTGAAAAATTTTCAGACTTAATAAATAAAAAATGTTTATATATGAGAGGGGTGTTTTTTAGCCAATTAATCTGAGAGCAGTCAGTCCCTCTTCGATATTATTAAATTTGATATTTCAATATTTGATTTTTTTTCAAATCGACGACAAATGTAGATAGGTTGAGGAAAATTTGTGTTTTAAAGCCAATAGATGACTCGAAAGTCAATTTAATATAAACATAGGCAATTTAGCATGAGCCATTATAAAAAACCATTGAACTAAAACAGTCAGTTAGGAACATCAAAAAATATAGCAAAATATTTCATATTTGAATGAAAAAAAAGCGAATAAATAAAGCATTTATTGTTTTTTTACAAGCATAAATAAAATTTCTTAACTTAATAGCGCAAGAAGCATATTGTATAAAAAAAGCTTTTGTATAAAGTTCTTATTTTTATTTTCATATTGTGCCCTAATAAGATTTATACTTAAAACAATAAAAAATGCGTTTTATTAAAAGTTGCAAGCAGTTAAATAAAATGTTGAATAAATAATAGTGATAAATCATTGCATAATGATGCAACTCATAATTATTAAGTAAATTGTCTATAACAACTACTACATTATCAGATCTATCCGTCACTTCTTAATATTCAATAATATTATGGATATCAGGCCTCTTATCACTTTATAGATTTTTAATTAATCTATTTAATATTAAATAAAAAATAAATTTAAAACCATTAAACCGATACATTGCCTTTAAATGAAATAAATCACCATAACCTTTATTAAGCTTGTATGTAATATGCAATAGCAATTTCATATAACACACTCACTAGGTACATGTAGAATTTAAATCGTCTTTAGAAACTTCTCCTTTTGTACATTTAGTTCCAGTTTTTGTTTGCATATCAAGAGATTTTCGGCCAAAAGGAAATCCTGCTGTTGGGGAAGATGTTGGCAAGGTTGGGAAAGATGGTAAGGATGGTAAGGATGGTATGGATGGGGAAGAAGTGACACTTGCACCTAAACAGTCTGACTGGTATGCAGGTACGCACTGCTGCAGAACGCTGTTGAAATATAACTCAGCTGCACAAGCATATCGGGCCACGTCGAATACACCTTGAGCGTTTAATGTGCACTCGTAGTACCTGTAAAAAATTAAGTGGACGTTATTATAGAAAGAGCTTGCCTTGTTATATTACTGCACGTTTACCGAAATATATGAGAAAGATGAAGAAATCTTAGATATGTCTACATCTAGTCTAGCAATTTTGGGTATATTTTAAGCATTAATTATTTACTTGCTGTTTCTTAAGGTATGTATGTGAACAGGTTTATTGCCGTAAGTCGACGTTTTCTCGAAAACGGCTGGGCCGATTTCAAAAATTTAAAAGCCATTCGATGTATCTCGACGAGACTATCGTTTTTGTGGGACGATCTGCCGAGACGTTTCTTTATAAATAGCAGAAAAGTGAAACATTTTTCGTCCACGTTTTAGTCCGCAATTCTGAACCGATTATGAAAATTTAAAAACCGTTCGAAAGATATTGTTTGGGAATCGTGCTGATTAGTTTTTGGTAAATATCGGCCGGGCCGTTTTCTTGTAATCAAGTGTTAAAATTTTTTTCCGACGATTTTTATTATTATTTTTTTTACTGTAGATACTATAGTCTTATAGATCATACTAAAATATTACGGCCCTGCGACAATTGGTTTAACTTCGAAAATTTGTCAAAGTTTGCAAAAATTGGTATCGTTTTTTTTTGGCATTTGTCAAAATTAGACGTTTTCAAAAATGCCTGAACTGATTTGAGAAATTTAAAAGTTGTCAGTTTTGTGCGACGATCTGCCAAGCCGTTTCTTTGTAATTTGAAAAAAAGTGTTAAACTTTTTGTCCACATTTAAGCTCATCCTAACGAAACTATGTTAAAAAATCAAAATTGTTCGAAAGATATTAGTTGAGAATGGTACTGATTAGTTTTGTTGAAAAAAAACATTTAAGCCGATTTTTATGGAATTTTTTTAGCGATATATATCATGGTCTTATAGAACTTACTGTAATATTACGGCCTTACGACAAAAAGTTTAATTTTAAAAAAATCATCAAAGTTTGAGAAAATCAGTATTTTTTTGGCGTTAGCTAAAATTAAAATTAGACGATTTACTTGATATAACAATATAGTACTTGGTCTTAATAAACATACTAAACTATTAATATCCTACGGAAGCTGGTTCAAATATAATAATTGTTGATTTTTGAAAACTTGCTTTTTGAAAATACTCCTAGTTAACGTGTTCGTTCGTTTTCAATTATGTGTAATAAATCCACTCATAAATTAAATTATTTTTTATTGATTAAGTCGATTATTTACACATATCGGGAAGTTCATGTAACTTGCCTCAAGGCTAAATACCAATACCAACTAGTTTTATCCTACGATAAGCAAGAAGTAAGAAAAGAATAACCCAATAAATAATTGCTCGTGTGATGTGAAATCATGCTCATGCTGAATTTGGCAAGCAATATAAATCAATAATCGAAAATTATTTATTGTAGTACATATTATTTCGGTAATTATTACCATTTGCAAGAATTATCAGTGTAATCCAAAAACAATCCTGTCCGCACGCAAGCAAAGGGTTGCGATGGTCCTGGTCCTGGTGGCGGTGGTGGAGGTGCAGCTGTCGCCAAGCACTCGGATAAAGGCGCTTGCACGCATTGTTGGTAAAGCGCGCTGAAGTATGTCTGTCCGGCGCATGTAAAACGACCCACGTTGAAATTTCCTCCAGAGAGTCTCACACATTCAAAATATCTGATAAGAAACAGATCAAATTTAAATCAGATATATCAGATCAGCTATATTGAAAATAATTTTACTTTCCATTGACGAAATTCATTAACTGATATGTTTGGTTAAAACCAATTAGGAGGCGTCCATTAATCACGCGAGTTTTTTAGAGGGAGGGTGGGGCATACAAAATCACGAAATAAGACGTGAGCGAGGGAGAGATATAGTAAGATATCACGTGTATGTATTTTTTAGCTAATTTTTTTTTGAAACATCCAAACATTTTCAAAACACATTGCAAAATACACGAAATTTAAAATCTTCATTAATTAAGAAAATCGACGAGGGTAATTAACCTGAAAAACTCGGAGTCATGTCCGGGCGGAGTTATATCCAGGCGTAGTTATATATGGCCGGAGTCATATCCGACCAAAATATAGAAAGCACATCCTAAAGTTTAAGGATGACATGGTGACATAGAAATCTTGTGTGCAATTATATGGCGGTGATTATATATCAAGGGCAAAAATGGAATTTTTGGGGATATAAATATTTATATTTACTGTATTTACTACGTAGCGCGTGCACAAAATCAGTTTAAGTAAAGTTCCAATTAATTTTTTTTTAATAATGAAATGAGTGAATTTGTTTTATTGAAAATTATTAGTTATCATAGCTGCTAAAAAGAGGCTATTTAATTTTTCTACTCTTTTACATTGTGCAATATCAATCTATATAAAGATTAAATATTAACATTTCTAAATTTTATTATAAAATATTTAGTTACTAATATGATGAATCATGATTAATATCAAATACCATTTTATGTTGATATTCATATTGCAAGTTAATGATGTTGCATTCTTAACAAGATCGTGTATCCATTATTTTTCTACCTTATATAATAAAAAATACGATTAATAATGTATAATATCAAATACCATTTTATGTTGATATTTATATTGCAAGTTAATGATGTTGCATTCTTAACAAGATTGTGTATCCATTATTCTTCTACCTTGTAAAATAATCAAAAATACGAAAACAGATGTACTTTAAAATGTGAATGAAATATATGTAAATAACTTATTTATGACTTACATATACGCGATTTTTTAGGGGTACCGCGATTTTTACCCGTAGGGTAAGTTATAGTAATTGCAAAAAAATCGAATATGAAAATTTTTCTTCACGTTTCAGAGGTTTCTGAACATTTTGGCTTAGAAAAAAGTGGGTGTCTGTGTCTGTATGTGTGTGTGTGTGCGGATACAAATTTTCTCGTCGACGATTTCGGGAACACGGTTCAACCGATTTCAATTATTCAAAAAACATTCGATTCTCATTAATAAGGACGTGCTGATTAGTTTTTGGCTAAAGCAGGTCTAGCCGTTTTGGAGATACGGGGCAAAAAGTGCCAAAAACGGCAATTAAGTTTTTAAGATGTTGCGTCCGATTTTAATAATTCAAAAAACATTTCACATTGACAAGATGAAAAACTGATTAAAATCAGCTAAAGGAGTACGATTACTTTGAAAAAAAAAAATCAAAATTTTTAAAATATTTCAAAACAAAGAATTTTTTTTCAAAAATTTAAAATTTCTCCAAAAACCCAATTTTTTCAAAATTTAGAAAAAAAATTAATCTTTTTAAAAAAATAATAATTAAAAAAAACGGGAAGTTCTAGCAATTTGCCTTAAGGCACGATGCCATGCACCACTAGTATTGTATTTTTAGTTGATACTATTATGTTCGTAGGGTGACTTTACATTTCTTATACCTCCGCAATTATATAAAATATTTATAATATTTAAATAAAAAATGATATATTTACACTTTGCATGTTTTGTCTGCTGGATCTGCAAATGAGCCGCTCTGCACGCAGTTGTATATGGGCGGCGGCGTAGGTGGTTGCCAAGGCGCTGGAGGATTTCTTAGGCACTCCGAAAGGGAAGCGACCACACATTGCTGATACGTGCTGCTGAAGTAAGTAGAACCAGGACAATTGTAACGCGCTACACTGAATCCTCCGCCTGCTTTCAAAGCACATTTGTAGTATCTGAAAATTTTTATACAGTTATTAATAAAGGTCCTGATTGGATATAATACAACAATATTGGATTTTTTTATTATTAAACATGATTTTATTTGGTTTTATTAGTTCTACCTCATGGTAAAAGCTCTGGTCTTTCAACAAAAAGGTTCTGGTTCGATGTCCACTCGGACAGCGTAATATCGATCAGTAATGATATCGGTTTGAAAATATAGATCGCATATTTGCAATATATTTTCTGATGAAAAAGTATTTCGGGTCGTTACTGCAATATCATAGTTAGAATCGACGACCGTAGGGTTGCTTTCTAATAGCGTTCAAAAATAAATAAAGCTCTACCTTAGTTAGTTAGGTACTTTAGGAATACGCATTGTTCAAAACAGCTCATGAAAAAAGTTCTGAATGCTGTTAAAAATGAATTTTATATAAATCTTTAATCGCTTTGTCCATATCCAACTATACTTCATTCATAATTCATCGGCCTGGATACAAACGCTATAATTACTGCGTATTTTATTTCTCCCCATATAGTAATAACAAAAGAAATATATTTTGAAAAAATTGCTTATCCTTTTCACCAAACTTTATTATTTATATCAGTTAAAAAATAATATGGAATTGAATTCGTTGATTATTTTTCAAGATTTAAGTAGAACGCTAAGTACGATGAGCTTAAAAATTGGCTTGAGATATTAATACTTTCTATTAATTTCAATCATCAAATGCAATTGAAATAAGTTGTTTCTAGCTAAATAAAAAATTTCCCAAATGTGATTTAGATTAAAATCATATTGTCATTTTATAACTTATATCTTGAATTTTATTTGAAGGTAGATTATCATGTTTAATTACGATTCTTATCGTATATAATTATATTTTTGAAACCATTTAAAAAAGTTTCTCGAAAATATTAGATAAACTTTATTGCTCTTTAAGCTGTTTATGTTATACAATTAAATATTTGGACACACATTTTCACTATTACAGAAGCATTAAAATGGTGACATGCACGTGATTTATAAATAAGTTTGCACTTTGAATTACTAGTTCATGTTTTAATAAATAATATAATTATAATTAGTGATATTTTTGTTAATATCATTTATTATAAATAATAGTACCAAAGTTATAATTAAATAGAATCGAACATCGTTTCAAATCTTTACAGCAACAATTGTAGCACTTTTATTTTTTATTACAGTAATTCAATTTGAATATTTTGTTTTGCATTACGTTAATTAACAATACACCTCGCAGGTACGAACAAGTAGATACCTGTTGAACTTAGCACTGTTTTCTCTTGATTTACAAGAGAAAAAATACGGTATTGACTCATATAACACGTTAAATGCTAAGCTGACTTTATTTTCTTAACTTAATATCTTCCGCAGTTTAATGAAAATAAGTGTCTATTTTCGTAATGGTAGAGATTTTATATAAATTATAATTAAGATCATTTGCGTGTTATTTTAATTGAAGTTTTTGGTACTTAAACATTAGTATGTATTATTTATTACAACTGGTTTGTCAAAATGTATTTATATTTTATAAAAATCTATCCATTTAAAACAAACATTCGCTTGCTCACTATTTATTAAACATAAAAATATTTATAATTTGTAACTTTCCGTAGGTTAGTTATAGTAATGGATAATCGAAAATGAAAATTTTTGCATTTCTCCACGTTTTGAAGGTTTCTGAACATTTTGGCATATCTCAGAAAAAATGGATGTGTGCGTGTGTTTTTTTTGTGTCCGCATTTTCTCGTTCACGTTTTCGAGCGCACGGATCAACCGATTTGAATGGTTTAAAAATCATACGATTCCTATTGATAGGAAGATATGCTGATTAGTTTTTGGCAGAGGTAGGTTCAGCTGTTACAGAGATAAAGAGCAAAAAGTGCAAAAAATAGAAATCGAGTTTGTTAGAGAGCGAAGCATTGGATTTGAATGATCTAAAAAACATTCACTTTGTAATAATTGGAAGAAGTGGTGATTAGTTTTTGGCAAAGATAGGTCCAGCCAATTTGAAGATACCGAGCTAAATGTACAAAAACTGGCAGTTTTTGTGAAAAATAAGATTCCGATTTGAATGATTCAAAAAACTTTCTGCTTGTGTTGATGAAACAATTGCTTTCGAACAAAAAATTTCTTTGGATTTTTGTTTTATTATTTTGTATATCGAAATGGTTAAAGTTCTAAAGCTCACCTATATACTTTAAGTGAATAATTTTAACTTTGTAATTCAGTTTATATAATTCTTACAAATATTAGACGATATTACAAAATTTATAATGATCTATTTGAAAACATTTAATATTCGTCGAACATTTTGTTACGGTACGGAAAGTTCCAGAAATTTGCCTTAGGGCACGATACCATACACAACTAGTTTTATAATAATCAATGATGACAATACAAAATGCGCAATTTATTTTAGTTTTATAGAAAGTTAATAATATTTATATTTCATGCTCACCCTTTGCAAGTGCTGTCATAGGGATCTATAAACATCCCTTCCTGCACGCATGAAAAAAGAGGCGGCGGTGCTGGTGTAGTTGTCGTAGTCGTAGTAGTCGGAACAATTGGAGGAGGCAGAGGTGTAATTAAACATTCCGAATATGTAGGGCCCACACATCTTTGGTAAAACTCACTTATATACAAGTTCCATGGGCATAAAAAATGACCGCTTTGCAGAGCACCATTTAGACCAAGTTTGCACTTGTAGTACCTGGGGGATAAGATAATTAAGTCAAAAACTCATTATCTATCACAGAATTATTTTGAAATTTAGCAATAAATATTTACAACTTGAAACCAAATTTGAATCAATCTGCTTTGGCTCTATCCTATTTTTTTCTGAAATGTATTTACTTAAGGTTAATTTTATAACTCAGTTACCTAATTTGCTAAATATAAATTAATACTAGATAGATATGTATAATTCTGACAATAATTATTTCGTCAAAAATTAGTGCACAATTTTCTATAAATGGAATTATTTGTTATATGTTGATGAAAAATCAGCGAATTTACGAAATGCATATTAGTTGAGTCATTATGATAAATTCACCTCGGAATTCGAGACACCCAACTGTAAGTCTGTAGATACTCTGTAAATACCCATAAAAGTTTTGTCAAAACCTATATATGGTAGGGTGTACGTACCATATGTAGGTTTTGAAACTCTACATATGGTAGAGTGAACATACCATATGTAGGTTTTGAGATAACTTTTATATGTCAATATACAAGTATTTACAGTCTTACAGCTGGGTATCTCGAATTTCGAGATTCTTATTTAATTTAAGCTTAAATGACTGGACTATGTTCAAAGTGTTTTTTAAACTCTACTTAATTGTTATGAAAAAATCGGCTTTCAATACTTTCTTTAATACAAATATCTTTCGAAATTGGGTTCAAAACCTTGTGTATCATATATATTTTAACCGAATTATATGAGTTAATAGACGCTTTATGTTTGATATAAGAATGAAGATAATTTCTATACATCAATATATGTATTTTGCACGAAAAGAAATACTTTTTGCATATACGTTATACCAAACGAAATTTTTAAAAGCAACCAAATTTACTTATTATTTGTTTATAACGATTTGTGATTTAAAAGTTATAAAATCTCTTAATTGTAAACAATGAATTATAAATATAAATAATAATTATTTTATTTTCAGAATATGTTCAAAATATTTTTTTTATTTTCTACTTTCTTTACAACTGTTCAGTTAAGGTCATTTAATAAATTAGTGGAATTTACAATTGTCAGCCGTAAAGACAATTGTAAATGACATTGTATACTAAAGGGGTATGTAGGAAAACAACCCAATAGTTGTTTTTGCTTTGAACAAGTGCTGTAATTGAAGCTGGTGCTGATTAGATTAATCTGAGTATATAATTTACAGTTGAAACACCTTCATTACAAAGCATTTGCATTTTTTTTAATATTCGAACATTGTTATTATCATAGATTGAAAACATGCAATTATTTCTGTCGACCCCATGTCATAACATTAAACCGTTAAACTGTTTAATAATGATATTTAAGAAAGTTCATCAATTAAAACAATAAATAATTATGGATTAAAATTGATGTAATTATAAATATTTTAATTTCACCTTTTGCATGTAGGATCCAATGGATCGCGAAATAGTCCAACTCTTGGACAAATGAATGGTTGCTGCCAAATACGAACGCTGCTGGAATTTGTTTCAACTGGAATTAGTTCTTGAGACTCCAAAGACAATGTACACGAGAAGGTAGCCTATAAAATATTTATAGTTTAAATTTTTATAGAGAATGTTCATTAATATGTGAGGTCAGCATAGGAAATACAAAAGTATAATAATCTATCACGGAAAAAAGAGAATGTTACTAAAGTTTATTCTCACCTCGAAATGTTTCAACAACAAAATTTTATTTTTAATACCTACAATTTGTTATTTAATTGTTAAGGAAACTTTCAATAAAATTAAAGAGAACGTTGAGGACTCACTTTCAATTTAACATACAAACGTAACTGGATATAATTTTGTACTCGCATGATATTGACTTTAAATATATATTTTTTTACCACATTAGGTATGAAAATTTTAATAACAATCGCGATATTTTTGTATCAGTATATATAATAATACTTTAATAGTTAAATATTCCTAATCAACATGAGTTAAATTACTTTAAAGTCTTTGATACCACTGTCTCCTTAAATTATTAAATTTAACTTAAAATCATTCTGCTGGCTATATACAGTTTGTTAAATTCGTCAAAACATGCGTTTTTAAAACAAAAACTAAACCAAATCAAAATTGCGTTAGAGGGAAATTTGTGTTAATAATTGATACGTTATCAACATAAATAAAAACGTATCAATATATCTGTAAAATATATATATCTATATACAAAAAATGAAAATGCGGAAGATAGATAAAGTTGAGTGTGGTTGTATGAACTTACATGCATATACAATAAATAAATATAAATAATAAACGCACTGTTATAAGAAAAAAATCTAACAATAAGTATTCATTAGGTTACAAATATTAAACAATAAGGGTGGCTAAACTTTATACTTTAGTAAAATAAAATAATTGGCAATAAAAAGGATGAAAAATATATGAAAAAAACATAGTATTTACCAAGAGCACTAAAAGCAGTTTCATCGTAATGAAACGCGATTTAACAGATTCCACTTTAAAATAAACAATTTTTTTGATAATGATATTGTACCAAAAATTTGAAGTTACTAAATCGACTTCAAAGATTAATCGCATTATATATCTCTGCTCAAAATTGGTTATCTACGTAATCGCAATTTTGATGCGGGCTATTTAGATTACCTTTGTCGTAAATCAATTAAATACTTAAAAGCATAATCGGGCTTTAAACATGTACCATTGTGCATATACTATATTTTTATATTATTTTAAATGCTCAAGGTAGATATATATATATATATATATATATATACATATGAATATACATGTATATATATATATATATATATATATATATACATATGAATTCAAACACCTATTTGATGAAGTTAATTCATATATTATACCTTATCTAATAATAAAAGTTTTGAAACGAAAAGTAAATACATTTGTTTGTGAACGTATATATGCCCACATCTTTCAGGATAGTATAAAATATTAAAGTGGTATTATTAGTAAATAATTTTCGCCAAATATCCAAAGAAAGGTTAAAACTATTTGAATATTTGCAATATAATATTCTTCGAAGTGTAACGACTCCCGAAAGTTAATTTGCTTATTTTGTTTGACTGATTCTTATATTTGATTTTTACTATTTATGTTTTTAATTTTCTTATATATTGTTGTCAATAATAGCAAGTGATAAATAATTTAATTGATGTTTTCAGCTTTCGATTAGTATTTTTTTATTCGAACGTTTATGAAATGACGCTTTGAATTTGATATCAACAAACATTATTGATATCAGTTAACGCACTCTGATTATAATTATCTAAATCTTAAATTTTAAATCCAATTTCTGACTCGCATAATATTTGTAGTAAATCAGAATTTTATCTCACATATTTTTGTATTTAATCATGGATGTAAAAAGAATCAATAGAAATGATTGAATTTAGTTAATGAAACATTTATATAAACTATAAATAACATTCACATTTTTATTGTTTATTACATCTTATTTAACTTCTTTGGGCTTTATGTGATGTTACCATCGCACGGGTTATTTGTCAATGACATATTAAACTTAATTATAATTTTTATTTTAGTTAAAGGTTACGTCATAAATTATTAATATATTTACTATAATATTATAAATTTTTATTAAAATATTGGTTGTAAATAACATACGAAATAAATTATTTGCCAATAATAATTATTATTCAAACACGTATACTCATTGTTATATATAATTAAGCATGAAACAATAACACTTATAAAACATGACTAATTAATAACAACAAACAAAATTAAAATAACATAATTTTGAGTTATTAATATGAAAATTATTTTCTAAATATATGCAATACAAACTATTTAACAGAATATAACTTTTAATATCCTGAGACTCATTCATTTTCGTACAGATCACTTAGGATCAGATCTTCAATTTTGCAAACAGCTAGCATTTTCAGAGCAACGTCTATGTTTTGCATCAAATCCTTGCCCTCTGGGGCAACTATGCTTCCATTTGTTGTACTCTCCTTCAAACTTTCTTAAGCATAAGTAGTAACTGTTACAGTCTTTGGGGTCGCTAAACATTCCCGTAGATGTACAGACGAATTCATTGGCTGGACATAGATTTTCAATATCTTTCGTACACCTTTTCTTCTTTGGATCGTATGCCATTTTTTGAGGACACCTTCTATGAATTTTAACTAAACCAGCAAATGGCATATGTTTACATACATAAAATGATCTGCAATCAGAAGGATCGGCAAACTCTCCACTCGTTTTGCATACAAATTCAGGAGTTTCAGTCACTGGAGGCACTGTAGTAATAGGAGCTTGAGCTGTTGTAGTTGTAATTTCTGTTGGAACTGAAGTAGTCGGAGCTTGAGTTGTTGAAGTTTCTGTTGGCACTATAGTAGTAGGAGTTTCAGTTGTTGTAGTCGTAATTTCTGTTTCAGAAGTTGTAGTTTCTGGAATAGCCGTTGTAGTTATATTACAAAGTCTTTCTTCATCAAAAGAACACATTCTGAGTTGGGGATCATAAGCCATATTTTTTAGACATTTCAAAGGAACAGCGGTTAATCCTTTGAAGGGGAACCAAAAGCACCAATAGTATGATCTACAATCATTAGAATTGGGGTAATTGCCCAATCCTGGACATTTGAAAACTGGCGGTGCAGCAGTGGTAGCAGGTTGGTCAGTGGCTGGGTTTTCTGTTGTGATTGGAGCATCGGTAACTGAAACACCCGTTGTGGTTGTCGCTGATGATTCTGTAACTGTCTTTTCCGTAGTTGTTGAAACATCTGTTACAGGCTTTTCCGTTGTTACTGGTTTGTCAGTGACTGGATTTTCAGTCGTAACTGGATCTTTCGTGGTAGTCGGTACATCCGTAACATCCGTAGTCGTGGACGTGTCAGTTGCTGGTTTGCTTGTTGTTATAGATTCTACTGTACTTGTTGGTGTTTCTGGTGCTACTGTTGTATTGCTAACCGTTTGTGTTGTAGAAAATGCCGCACATAATCGCTCATCATCAAACGAACATATTTTCCACTTTGGATCATATGCCATATTCCATGGACATTTTATAGCTACAGCATGGAATCCTTTGACAGGTAACCAAATACACCAATAATATGATCTGCAGTCATCAGGATTAGGATAATTACCACTTCCTGGGCATTTGAAATGAGATGGAGATTCTGTAGTTGTAGGCTCTTCGGTTGTTGTAGTCACTGGAGCATTAGTGGTCGCCTCTGTCGTTGTTGAAGGCACGTCAGTTGTAGTGGTCACTGGAGCATCAGTGACTGTGTCTGTCGTTGTTGAAGGCTCTTCAGTCGTTGTGGTCGGAGCATCAGTGACTGCCTCTGTCGTTGTTGAAGGCTCTTCAGTTGTTGTGGTCGGTGCATCAGTGTTGACCTCTGTTGTTGTTGAAGGTTCTTTAGTCGTTGTGGTCGGAGCATCAGTGACTACTTCAGTAGTTGTTGATGGCTCTTCAGTTGTTGTGGTCGGAGCATCAGTGGCTGCTTCTGTAGTTGTTGAAGGCTCTTCAGTCGTTGTGGTCGGAGCATCAGTGGCAGCTTCTGTAGTTGTTGAAGGCTCTTCAGTCGTTGTGGTCGGAGCATCAGTGACTGCCTCTGTCGTTGTTGAAGGCTCTTCAGTTGTTGTGGTCGGAGCATCAGTGGCAGCTTCTGTAGTTGTTGAAGGCTCTTCAGTAGTTGTGGTCGGAGCATCAGTGACCACTTCAGTAGTTGTTGATGGTTCTTCAGTCGTTGTGGTCGGAGCATCAGTGACTGCCTCTGTCGTTGTTGAAGGCTCTTCAGTCGTTGTGGTCGGAGCATCAGTGACTACTTCAGTAGTTGTTGATTGCTCTTCAGTCGTTGTGGTCGGAGCATCAGTGACTGCCTCTGTCGTTGTTGAAGGCTCTTCAGTTGTTGTGGTCGGAGCATCAGTGGCAGCTTCTGTTGTTGTTGAAGGCTCTTCAGTAGTTGTGGTTGGAGCATCAGTGACCACTTCAGTAGTTGTTGATGGCTCTTCAGTCGTTGTGGTCGGAGGATCACTGACTGCCTCTGTCGTTGTTGAAGGATCTTCAGTTGTTGTGGTCGGAGCATCAGTGGCAGCTTCTGTAGTTGTTGAAGGCTCTTCAGTTGTTGTGGTCGGAGCATCAGTGGCAGCTTCTGTAGTTGTTGAAAGCTCTTCAGTTGTTGTGGTCGGAGCATCAGTGGCAGCTTCGGTAGTTGTTGAAGGCTCTTCAGTTGTTGTAGTCGGAGCATCAGTGACTACTTCAGTAGTTGTTGATGGCTCTTCAGTCGTTGTGGTCGGAGCATCAGTGACTGCCTCTGTCGTTGTTGAAGGCTCTTCAGTTGTTGTGATCGGAGCATCAGTGACTGCCTCTGTCGTTGTTGAAGGCTCTTCAGTTGTTGTGGTCGGAGCATCAGTGACTGCCTCTGTTGTTGTTGAAGGCTCTTCAGTTGTTGTGGTCGGAGCATCAGTGACTGCCTCTGTCGTTGTTGAAGGCTCTTCACTTGTTGTGGTCGGAGCATCAGTGGCAGCTTCTGTAGTTGTTGAAGGATCTTCAGTCGTTGTGGTCGGAGCATCAGTGACTACTTCAGTAGTTGTTGATGGCTCTTCAGTCGTTGTGGTCGGAGCATCAGTGACTACTTCAGTAGTTGTTGATGGCTCTTCAGTTGTTGTGGTCACTGGAGCATCAGTGGCTGACTCTGTCGTTGTTGAAGGCTCTTCAGTTGTTGTGGTCGGAGCGTCAGTGGCTGCTTCTGTCGTTGTTGAGGGCTCTTCAGTCGTTGTGGTTGGAGCATCAGTGGCAGCTTCTGTAGTTGTTGATGGCTCTTCAGTTGTTGTGGTCACTGGAGCATCAGTGATTGACTCTGTCGTTGTTGAAGGCTCTTCAGTTGTTGTGATCGGAGCATCAGTGGCAGCTTCTGTAGTTGTTGATGGCTCTTCAGTTGTTGTGGTCACTGGAGCATCAGTGGCTGACTCTGTCGTTGTTGAAGGCTCTCCAGTTGTTGTGGTCGGAGCGTCAGTGACTACCTCTGTCGTTGTTGAAGGCTCTTCAGTTGTTGTGGTCGGAGCATCAGTGGCAGCTTCTGTAGTTGTTGATGGCTCTTCAGTTGTTGTGGTCACTGGAGCATCAGTGGCTGATTCTGTCGTTGTTGAAGGCTCTTCAGTTGTTGTGATCGGAGCATCAGTGGCAGCTTCTGTAGTTGTTGATGGCTCTTCAGTTGTTGTGGTCACTGGAGCATCAGTGGCTGACTCTGTCGTTGTTGAAGGCTCTTCAGTTGTTGTGGTCGGAGCGTCAGTGACTGCCTCTGTCGTTGTTGAAGGCTCTTCAGTTGTTGTGGTCGGAGCATCAGTGGCAGCTTCTGTAGTTGTTGATGGCTCTTCAGTTGTTGTGGTCACTGGAGCATCAGTGGCTGACTCTGTCGTTGTTGAAGGCTCTTCAGTTGTTGTGGTCGGAGCGTCAGTGGCTGCTTCTGTAGTTGTTGAAGGCTCTTCAGTTGTTGTGGTCGGAGCATCAGTGACTGCCTCTGTTGTTGTTGAAGGCTCTTCAGTTGTTGTGGTCGGAGCATCAGTGGCAGCATCTGTAGTTGTTGAAGGCTCTTCAGTCGTTGTGGTCGGAGCATCAGTGACTGCCTCTGTTGTTGTTGAAGGCTCTTCAGTTGTTGTGGTCGGAGCATCAGTGACTGCCTCTGTTGTTGTTGAAGGCTCTTCAGTTGTTGTAGTTATATTACAAAGTCTTTCTTCATCAAAAGAACACATTCTGAGTTGGGGATCATAAGCCATATTTTTTAGACATTTCAAAGGAACAGCGGTTAATCCTTTGAAGGGGAACCAAAAGCACCAATAGTATGATCTACAATCATTAGAATTGGGGTAATTGCCCAATCCTGGACATTTGAAAACTGGCGGTGCAGCAGTGGTAGCAGGTTGGTCAGTGGCTGGGTTTTCTGTTGTGATTGGAGCATCGGTAACTGAAACACCCGTTGTGGTTGTCGCTGATGATTCTGTAACTGTCTTTTCCGTAGTTGTTGAAACATCTGTTACAGGCTTTTCCGTTGTTACTGGTTTGTCAGTGACTGGATTTTCAGTCGTAACTGGATCTTTCGTGGTAGTCGGTACATCCGTAACATCCGTAGTCGTGGACGTGTCAGTTGCTGGTTTGCTTGTTGTTATAGATTCTACTGTACTTGTTGGTGTTTCTGGTGCTACTGTTGTATTGCTAACCGTTTGTGTTGTAGAAAATGCCGCACATAATCGCTCATCATCAAACGAACATATTTTCCACTTTGGATCATATGCCATATTCCATGGACATTTTATAGCTACAGCATGGAATCCTTTGACAGGTAACCAAATACACCAATAATATGATCTGCAGTCATCAGGATTAGGATAATTACCACTTCCTGGGCATTTGAAATGAGATGGAGATTCTGTAGTTGTAGGCTCTTCGGTTGTTGTAGTCACTGGAGCATTAGTGGTCGCCTCTGTCGTTGTTGAAGGCACGTCAGTTGTAGTGGTCACTGGAGCATCAGTGACTGTGTCTGTCGTTGTTGAAGGCTCTTCAGTCGTTGTGGTCGGAGCATCAGTGACTGCCTCTGTCGTTGTTGAAGGCTCTTCAGTTGTTGTGGTCGGTGCATCAGTGTTGACCTCTGTTGTTGTTGAAGGTTCTTTAGTCGTTGTGGTCGGAGCATCAGTGACTACTTCAGTAGTTGTTGATGGCTCTTCAGTTGTTGTGGTCGGAGCATCAGTGGCTGCTTCTGTAGTTGTTGAAGGCTCTTCAGTCGTTGTGGTCGGAGCATCAGTGGCAGCTTCTGTAGTTGTTGAAGGCTCTTCAGTCGTTGTGGTCGGAGCATCAGTGACTGCCTCTGTCGTTGTTGAAGGCTCTTCAGTTGTTGTGGTCGGAGCATCAGTGGCAGCTTCTGTAGTTGTTGAAGGCTCTTCAGTAGTTGTGGTCGGAGCATCAGTGACCACTTCAGTAGTTGTTGATGGTTCTTCAGTCGTTGTGGTCGGAGCATCAGTGACTGCCTCTGTCGTTGTTGAAGGCTCTTCAGTCGTTGTGGTCGGAGCATCAGTGACTACTTCAGTAGTTGTGATTGATGCTCTTCAGTCGTTGTGGTCGGAGCATCAGTGACTGCCTCTGTCGTTGTTGAAGGCTCTTCAGTTGTTGTGGTCGGAGCATCAGTGGCAGCTTCTGTTGTTGTTGAAGGCTCTTCAGTAGTTGTGGTTGGAGCATCAGTGACCACTTCAGTAGTTGTTGATGGCTCTTCAGTCGTTGTGGTCGGAGGATCACTGACTGCCTCTGTCGTTGTTGAAGGATCTTCAGTTGTTGTGGTCGGAGCATCAGTGGCAGCTTCTGTAGTTGTTGAAGGCTCTTCAGTTGTTGTGGTCGGAGCATCAGTGGCAGCTTCTGTAGTTGTTGAAAGCTCTTCAGTTGTTGTGGTCGGAGCATCAGTGGCAGCTTCGGTAGTTGTTGAAGGCTCTTCAGTTGTTGTAGTCGGAGCATCAGTGACTACTTCAGTAGTTGTTGATGCTCTTCAGTCGTTGTGGTCGGAGCATCAGTGACTGCCTCTGTCGTTGTTGAAGGCTCTTCAGTTGTTGTGATCGGAGCATCAGTGACTGCCTCTGTCGTTGTTGAAGGCTCTTCACTTGTTGTGGTCGGAGCATCAGTGGCAGTTCTGTAGTTGTTGAAGGACTTCAGGAGTCGTTGTGGTCGGAGCATCAGTGACTACTTAGTAGTTGTTGATGGCTCTTCATCGTTTGTGGTCGGAGCATCAGTGACACTTCAGTAGTTGTTGATGGCTCTTCAGTCGTTGTGGTCACTGGAGCATCAGTGGCTGACTCTGTCGTTGTTGAGGCTCTTCAGTTGTTGTGGTCGGAGCGTCAGTGGCTGCTTCTTCGTTTGTTGAGGGCTCTTCAGTCGTTGTGGTTGGAGCATCAGTGGCAGCTTCTGTAGTTGTTGATGGCTCTTCAGTTGTTGTGGTCACTGGAGCATCAGTGATTGACTATCTGTCGTTGTTGAAGGCTCTTCAGTTGTTGTGATCGGAGCATCAGTGCAGCTTCTGTAGTTGTTGATGGCTCTTCAGTTGTTGTGGTCACTGGAGCATCAGTGGCTGACTCTGTCGTTGTTGAAGGCTCCTCCAGTTGTTTGTGGTCGGAGCGTCAGTGACTACCTCTGTCGTTGTTGAAGGCTCTTCAGTTGTTGTGGTCGGAGCATCAGTGGCAGCTTCTGTAGTTGTTGATGGCTCTTCAGTTGTTGTGGTCCCTGGAGCATCAGTGCTGATTCTGTCGTTGTTGAAGGCTCTTCAGTTGTTGTGATCGGAGCATCAGTGGCAGCTTCTGTAGTTGTTGATGCTCTTCAGTTGTTGTGGTCACTGGAGCATCAGTGGCTGACTCTGTCGTTGTTGAAGGCTCTTCAGTTGTTGTGATCGGAGCATCAGTGGCAGCTTCTGTAGTTGTTGATGGCTCTTCAGTTGTTGTGGTCACTGGAGCATCAGTGGCTGACTCTGTCGTTGTTGAAGGCTCTTCAGTTGTTGTGGTCGGAGCGTCAGTGACTGCCTCTGTCGTTGTTGAAGGCTCTTCAGTTGTTGTGGTCGGAGCATCAGTGGCAGCTTCTGTAGTTGTTGATGGCTCTTCAGTTGTTGTGGTCACTGAGCATCAGTGGCTGACTCTGTCGTTGTTGAAGGCTCTTCAGTTTGTGTGGTCGGAGCGTCAGTGGCTGCTTCTGTAGTTGTTGAGGCTCTTCATTGTTGTGGTCGGAGCATCAGTGACTGCCTCTGTTGTTGTTGAAGGCTCTTCAGTTTTTGTGGTCGGAGCATCAGTGGCAGCATCTGTAGTTGTTGAAGGCTCTTCAGTCGTTGTGGTCGGAGCATCAGTGACTGCCTCTGTTGTTGTTGAAGGCTCTTCAGTTGTTGTGGTCGGAGCATCAGTGACTGCCTCTGTTGTTGTTGAAGGCTCTTCAGTTGTTGTGGTCGGAGCATCAGTGGCAGCTTCTGTAGTTGTTGAAGGCTCTTCGGTTGTTGTGGTCGGAGCATCAGTGGCAGCTTCGGTAGTTGTTGAAGGCTCTTCAGTTTTGTGTATCGGAGCATCAGTGACTACTTCAGTAGTTGTTGATGGCTCTTCAGTCGTTTGGTCGGAGCATCAGTGACTGCCTCTGTCGTTGTTGAAGGCTCTTCAGTTGTTGTGTCGGAGCATCAGTGGCAGCTTCTGTAGTTGTTGAAGGCTCTTCAGTTGTTGTGGTCGGAGCATCAGTGGCAGCTTCGGTAGTTGTTGAAGGCTCTTCAGTTGTTGTAGTCGGAGCATCAGTGACTACTTCAGTAGTTGTTGATGGCTCTTCAGTCGTTGTGGTCGGAGCATCAGTGACTGCCTCTGTCGTTGTTGAAGGCTCTTCAGTTGTTGTGGTCGGAGCATCAGTGGCAGCTTCTGTAGTTGTTGAAGGCTCTTCAGTTGTTGTGATCGGAGCATCAGTGGCAGCTTCTGTAGTTGTTGAAGGCTCTTCAGTTGTTGTGGTCGGAGCATCAGTGGCAGCTTCGGTAGTTGTTGAAGGCTCTTCAGTTGTTGTAGTCGGAGCATCAGTGACTACTTCAGTAGTTGTTGAAGGCTCTTCAGTCGTTGTGGTCGGAGCATCAGTGAGCTTCTGTAGTTGTTGAAGGCTCTTCAGTCGTTGTGGTCGGAGCATCAGTGACTGCTTCTGTAGTTGTTGAGGCTCTTCAGTTGTTGTGGTCGGAGCATCAGTGGCAGCTTCTGTAGTTGTTGAGGCTCTTCAGTTGTTGTGGTCGGAGCATCAGTGGCTGACTCTGTCGTTGTTGAAGGCTCTTCAGTTGTTGTGGTCGGAGCGTCAGTGGCTGCTTCTGTAGTTGTTGAAGGCTCTTCAGTTGTTGTGGTCGGAGCATCAGTGACTGCCTCTGTTGTTGTTGAAGGCTCTTCAGTTGTTGTGGTCGGAGCATCAGTGGCAGCATCTGTAGTTGTTGAAGGCTCTTCAGTCGTTGTGGTCGGAGCATCAGTGACTGCCTCTGTTGTTGTTGAAGGCTCTTCAGTTGTTGTGGTCGGAGCATCAGTGACTGCCTCTGTTGTTGTTGAAGGCTCTTCAGTTGTTGTGGTCGGAGCATCAGTGGCAGCTTCTGTAGTTGTTGAAGGCTCTTCAGTTGTTGTGGTCGGAGCATCAGTGACTGCCTCTGTCGTTGTTGAAGGCTCTTCGGTTGTTGTGGTCGGAGCATCAGTGGCAGCTTCTGTAGTTGTTGAAGGCTCTTCAGTCGTTGTGGTCACTGGGGCATCAGTGACTGCCTCTGTTGTTGTTGAAGGCTCTTCAGTCGTTGTGGTCGGAGCATCAGTGACTACTTCAGTAGTTGTTGAAGGCTCTTCAGTCGTTGTGGTCGGAGCATCAGTGACCGCCTCTGTCGTTGTTGAAGGCTCTTCAGTTGTTGTGGTCGGAGCATCAGTGGCAGCTCCTGTAGTTGTTGATGGCTCTTCAGTTGTTGTGGTCACTGGAGCATCAGTGACTGCCTCTGTTGTTGTTGAAGGCTCTTCAGTTGTTGTGGTCGGAGCGTCAGTGGCAGCATCTGTAGTTGTTGAAGGCTCTTCAGTCGTTGTGGTCGGAGCATCAGTGACTGCCTCTGTTGTTGTTGAAGGCTCTTCAGTTGTTGTGGTCGAAGCATCAGTGACTGCCTCTGTTGTTGTTGAAGGTTCTTTAGTCGTTGTGGTCGGAGCATCAGTGACTACTTCAGTAGTTGTTGAAGGCTCTTCAGTCGTTGTGGTCGGAGCATCAGTGACCGCCTCTGTCGTTGTTGAAGGCTCTTCAGTTGTTGTGATCGGAGCATCAGTGGCAGCTCCTGTAGTTGTTGATGGCTCTTCAGTTGTTGTGGTCACTGGAGCATCAGTGGCTGACTCTGTCGTTGTTGAAGGTTCTTCAGTCGTTGTGGTCGGAGCATCAGTGACTACTTCAGTAGTTGTTGAAGGCTCTTCAGTCGTTGTGGTCGGAGCATCAGTGACCGCCTCTGTCGTTGTTGAAGGCTCTTCAGTTGTTGTGGTCGGAGCATCAGTGGCAGCTTCTGTAGTTGTTGAAGGCTCTTCAGTCGTTGTGGTCGGAGCATCAGTGACTACTTCAGTAGTTGTTGATGGCACTTCAGTCGTTGTGGTCGGAGCATCAGTGACTGCTTCTGTCGTTGTTGAAGGTTCTTCAGTTGTTGTGGTCGGAGCATCAGTGGCAGCTTCTGTAGTTGTTGTAGGCTCTTCAGTTGTTGTGATCGGAGCATCAGTGACTGCCTCTGTCGTTGTTGAAGGCTCTTCAGTTGTTGTAGTCGGAGCATCAGTGACTACTGCAGTAGTTGTTGATGGCTCTTCAGTCGTTGTGGTCGGAGCATCAGTGACTGCCTCTGTCGTTGTTGAAGGCTCTTTAGTTGTTGTGGTCGGAGCATCAGTGACTGCCTCTGTTGTTGTTGAAGGGTCTTCAGTCGTTGTGGTCGGAGCATCAGTGGCAGCTTCTGTAGTTGTTGAAGGCTCTTCCGTCGTAGGCTCAGTGACTACTTCAGTAGTTGTTGATGGCAATTCAGTCGTTGTGGTCGGAGCATCAGTGACTGCTTCTGTCGTTGTTGAAGGCTCTTCAGTTGTTGTGGTCGGAGCATCAGTGACTGCCTCTGTTGTTGTTGAAGGCTCTTCAGTTGTTGTGGTCGGAGCATCAGTGGCAGCTTCTGTAGTTGTTGAAGGATCTTCAGTTGTTGTGGTCGGAGCATCAGTGGCAGCTTCTGTAGTTGTTGAAGGCTCTTCAGTCGTTGTGGTCGGAGCATCAGTGACTGCCTCTGTTGTTGTTGAAGGCTCTTCAGTTGTTGTGGTCGGAGCATCAGTGACTGCCTCTGTTGTTGTTGAAGGCTCTTCAGTTGTTGTGGTCGGAGCATCAGTGGCAGCTTCTGTAGTTGTTGAAGGCTCTTCAGTTGTTGTGGTCGGAGCATCAGTGGCAGCTTCTGTAGTTGTTGAAGGCTCTTCAGTCGTTGTGGTCGGAGCATCAGTGACTACTTCAGTAGTTGTTGATGGCTCTTCAGGCGTTGTGGTCGGAGCATCAGTGACTGCTTCTGTTGTTGTTGAAGGCTCTTCAGTTGTTGTGGTCGGAGCATCAGTGACTGCCTCTGTTGTTGTTGAAGGCTCTTCAGTTGTTGTGGTCGGAGCATCAGTGACTGCTTCTGTCGTTGTTGAAGGCTCTTCAGTTGTTGTGGTCGGAGCATCAGTGACTGCCTCTGTTGTTGTTGAAGGCTCTTCAGTCGTTGTGGTCGGAGTATCAGTGACTACTTCAGTAGTTGTTGATGGCTCTTCAGTCGTTGTGGTCGGAGCATCAGTGACTGCTTCTGTCGTTGTTGAAGGCTCTTCAGTTGTTGTGGTCGGAGCATCAGTGACTGCCTCTGTCGTTGTTGAAGGCTCTTCAGTTGTTTGTGGTCGGAGCATCAGTGACTGCCTCTGTTGTTGTTGAAGGCTCTTCAGTCGTTGTGGTCGGAGCATCAGTGACTACTTCAGTAGTTGTTAAAGGCTCTTTGGTTGTTGTGGTCGGAGCATCAGTGACTGCCTCTGTTGTTGTTGAAGGCTCCTCAGTTGTTGTGGTCGGAGCATCAGTGGCAGCTTCTGTAGTTGTTGAAGGCTCTTCAGTTGTTGTGGTCGGAGCATCAGTGGCAGCTTCTGTAGTTGTTGAAGGCTCTTCAGTTGTTGTGATCGGAGCATCAGTGGCAGCTTCTGTAGTTGTTGAAGGCTCTTCAGTTGTTGTGGTCGGAGCATCAGTGGCAGCTTCTGTAGTTGTTGAAGTTGTTGTGGTCGGAGCATCAGTGGCAGCTTCTGTAGTTGTTGAAGGCTCTTCAGTTGTTGTGGCCGGAGCATCAGTGGCAGCTTCCGTAGTTGTTGAAGGCTCTTCAGTTGTTGTGATTGGAGCATCAGTAGCAGCTTCTGTAGTTGTTGAAGGCTCTTCAGTTGTTGTGGTCGGAGCATCAGTGGCAGCTTCTGTAGTTGTTGAAGGCTCTTCAGTTGTTGTGGTCGGAGCATCAGTGACTGCCTCTGTCGTTGTTGAAGGCTCTTCGGTTGTTGTGGTCGGAGCATCAGTGACTGCCTCTGTTGTTGTTGAAGGCTCTTCAGTTGTTGTGGTCGGAGCATCAGTGGCAGCTTCTGTAGTTGTTGAAGACTCTTCAGTCGTTGTGGTCGGAGCATCAGTGACTGCCTCTGTCGTTGTTGAAGGCTCTTTGGTTGTTGTGGTCGGAGCATCAGTGGCAGCTTCTGTAGTTGTTGAAGGCTCTTTGGTTGTTGTGGTCGGAGCATCAGTGACTGCCTCTGTTGTTGTTGAAGGCTCTTCAGTAGTTGTGGTCGGAGCATCAGTGGCAGCTTCTGTAGTTGTTGAAGGCTCTTCAGTCGTTGTGGTCGGAGAACCAGTGACTGCCTCTGTTGTTGTTGAAGGCTCTTCAGTTGTTGTGGTCGGAGCATCAGTGACTGCTTCTGTCGTTGTTGAAGGTTCTTCAGTTGTTGTGGTCGGAGCATTAGTGACTGCCTCTGTTGTTGTTGAAGGCTCTTCAGTTGTTGTGGTCGGAGCATCAGTGACTGCTTCTGTCGTTGTTGAAGGCTCTTGAGTTGTTGTGGTCGGAGCATCAGTGACTGCCTCTGTTGTTGTTGAAGGCTCTCCAGTTGTTGTGGTCGGAGCATCAGTGGCAGCTTCTGTAGTTGTTGAAGGCTCTTCAGTTGTTGTGGTCGGAGCATCAGTGGCAGCTTCTGTAGTTGTTGAAGGCTCTTCAGTTGTTGTGGTCGGAGCATCAGTGACTACTTCAGTAGTTGTTGATGGCTCTTCAGTCGTTGTGGTCGGAGCATCAGTGACTGCCTCTGTCGTTGTTGAAGGCTCTTCGGTTATTGTGGTCGGAGCATCAGTGGCAGCTTCTGTAGTTGTTGAAGGCTCTTCAGTTGTTGTGGTCGGAGCATCAGTGACTGCCTCTGTTGTCGTTGAAGGCTCTTCAGTTGTTGTGGTCGGAGCATCAGTGGCAGCTTCTGTAGTTGTTGAAGGTTCTTCAGTTGTTGTGGTCGGAGCATCAGTGGCAGCTTCTGTAGTTGTTGAAGCTCTTCAGTCGTTGTGGTCGGAGCATCAGTGACTGCTTCTGTCGTTGTTGAAGGCTCTTCAGTTGTTGTGGTCGGAGCATCAGTGACTGCCTCTGTTGTTGTTGAAGGCTCTTCAGTCGTTGTGGTCGGAGCATCAGTGACTACTTCAGTAGTTGTTGATGGCTCTTCAGTCGTTGTGGTCGGAGCATCAGTGACTGCTTCTGTTGTTGTTGAAGGCTCTTCAGTTGTTGTGGTCGGAGCATCAGTGACTGCCTCTGTCGTTGTTGAAGGCTCTTCAGTTGTTTTGGTCGGAGCATCAGTGACTGCCCCTGTTGTTGTTGAAGGCTCTTCAGTTGTTGTGGTCGGAGCATCAGTGGCAGCTTCTGTAGTTGTTGAAGGCTCTTCAGTCGTTGTGGTCGGAGCATCAGTGACTACTTCAGTAGTTGTTGATGGCTGTTCAGTCGTTGTGGTCGGAGCATCAGTGACTGCCTCTGTCGTTGTTGAAGGCTCTTCAGTTGTTGTGGTCGGAGCATCAGTGGCAGCTTCTGTAGTTGTTGAAGGCTCTTCAGTTGTTGTGGTCGGAGCATCAGTGACTGTCTCTGTCGTTGTTGAAGGCTCTTCAGTTGTTGTGGTCGGAGCATCAGTGGCAGCTTCTGTAGTTGTTGAAGGCTCTTCAGTTGTTGTGGTCGGAGCATCAGTGGCAGCTTCTGTAGTTGTTGAAGGCTCTTCAGTTGTTGTGATCGGAGCATCAGTAGCAGCTTCTGTAGTTGTTGAAGGCTCTTCAGTTGTTGTGGTCGGAGCATCAGTGGCAGCTTCTGTAGTTGTTGAAGGCTCTTCAGTCGTTGTGGTCGGAGCATCAGTGACTGCCTCTGTCGTTGTTGAAGGCTCTTTGGTTGTTGTGGTCGGAGCATCAGTGACTGCCTCTGTTGTTGTTGAAGGCTCTTCAGTTGTTGTGGTCGGAGCATCAGTGGCAGCTTCTGTAGTTGTTGAAGGCTCTTCAGTTGTTGTGGTCGGAGCATCAGTGGCTGCTTCTGTAGTTGTTGAAGGCTCTTCAGTCGTTGTGGTCGGAGCATCAGTGGCAGCTTCTGTAGTTGTTGAAGGCTCTTCAGTTGTTGTGGTCGGAGCATCAGTGGCAGCTTCTGTAGTTGTTGAAGGCTCTTCAGTCGTTGTGGTCGGAGCATCAGTGACTACTTCAGTAGTTGTTGATGGCTGTTCAGTCGTTGTGGTCGGAGCATCAGTGACTGCCTCTGTCGTTGTTGAAGGCTCTTCAGTTGTTGTGGTCGGAGCATCAGTGGCAGCTTCTGTAGTTGTTGAAGACTCTTCAGTCGTTGTGGTCGGAGCATCAGTGACTGCCTCTGTCGTTGTTGAAGGCTCTTTGGTTGTTGTGGTCGGAGCATCAGTGGCAGCTTCTGTAGTTGTTGAAGGCTCTTCGGTTGTTGTGGTCGGAGCATCAGTGACTGCCTCTGTTGTTGTTGAAGGCTCTTCAGTCGTTGTGATCGGAGCATCAGTGACTACTTCAGTAGTTGTTGATGGCTCTTCAGTCGTTGTGGTCGGAGCATCAGTGACTGCCTCTGTCGTTGTTGAAGGCTCTTCAGTTGTTGTGGTCGGAGCATTAGTGGCAGCTTCTGTAGTTGTTGATGGCTCTTCAGTTGTTGTGGTCGGAGCATCAGTGGCAGCTTCTGTAGTTGTTGAAGGCTCTTCAGTCGTTGTGGTCGGAGCATCAGTGACTGCCTCTGTCGTTGTTGAAGGCTCTTCAGTTGTTGTGGTCGGAGCATCAGTGGCAGCTTCTGTAGTTGTTGAAGGCTCTTCAGTTGTTGTGGTCGGAGCATCAGTGGCTGCTTCTGTAGTTGTTGAAGGCTCTTCAGTCGTTGTGGTCGGAGCATCAGTGGCAGCTTCTGTAGTTGTTGAAGGCTCTTCAGTTGTTGTGGTCGGAGCATCAGTGGCAGCTTCTGTAGTTGTTGAAGGCTCTTCAGTCGTTGTGGTCGGAGCATCAGTGACTACTTCAGTAGTTGTTGATGGCTCTTCAGTCGTTGTGGTCGGAGCATCAGTGACTGCCTCTGTCGTTGTTGAAGGCTCTTCAGTTGTTGTGGTCGGAGCATCAGTGGCAGCTTCTGTAGTTGTTGAAGACTCTTCAGTCGTTGTGGTCGGAGCATCAGTGACTGCCTCTGTCGTTGTTGAAGGCTCTTTGGTTGTTGTGGTCGGAGCATCAGTGGCAGCTTCTGTAGTTGTTGATGGCTCTTCAGTTGTTGTGGTCGGAGCATCAGTGGCAGCTTCTGTAGTTGTTGAAGGCTCTTCAGTCGTTGTGGTCGGAGCATCAGTGACTGCCTCTGTTGTTGTTGAAGGCTCTTCAGTTGTTGTGGTCGGAGCATCAGTGACTGCCTCTGTTGTTGTTGAAGGCTCTTCAGTTGTTGTGGTCGGAGCATCAGTGGCAGCTTCTGTAGTTGTTGAAGGCTCTTCAGTCGTTGTGGTCGGAGCATCAGTGGCAGCTTCTGTAGTTGTTGAAGGCTCTTCAGTTGTTGTGGTCGGAGCATCAGTGGCAGCTTCTGTAGTTGTTGAAGGCTCTTCAGTCGTTGTGGTCGGAGCATCAGTGACTACTTCAGTAGTTGTTGATGGCTCTTCAGTCGTTGTGGTCGGAGCATCAGTGACTACTTCAGTAGTTGTTGATGGCTCTTCAGTCGTTGTGGTCGGAGCATCAGTGACTGCCTCTGTCGTTGTTGAAGGCTCTTCGGTTGTTGTGGTCGGAGCATCAGTGGCAGCTTCTGTAGTTGTTGAAGGCTCTTCAGTTGTTGTGGTCGGAGCATCAGTGACTGCCTCTGTTGTCGTTGAAGGCTCCTCAGTTGTTGTGGTCGGAGCATCAGTGGCAGCTTCTGTAGTTGTTGAAGGCTCTTCAGTCGTTGTAGTCGGAGCATCAGTGACTGCCTCTGTCGTTGTTGAAGGCTCTTCGGTTGTTGTGGTCGGAGCATCAGTGGCAGCTTCTGTAGTTGTTGAATGCTCTTCAGTTGTTGTGGTCGGAGCATCAGTGACTGCCTCTGTTGTCGTTGAAGGCTCTTCAGTTGTTGTGGTCGGAGCATCAGTGGCAGCTTCTGTAGTTGTTGAAGGCTCTTCAGTTGTTGTGGTCGGAGCATCAGTGGCAGCTTCTGTAGTTGTTGAAGGCTCTTCAGTCGTTGTGGTCGGAGCATCAGTGACTACTTCAGTAGTTGTTGATGGCTCTTCAGTCGTTGTGGTCGGAGCATCAGTGACTGCCTCTGTCGTTGTTGAAGGCTCTTCGGTTGTTGTGGTCGGAGCATCAGTGGCAGCTTCTGTAGTTGTTGAAGGCTCTTCGGTTGTTGTGGTCGGAGCATCAGTGGCAGCTTCGGTAGTTGTTGAAGGCTCTTCAGTTGTTGTGGTCGGAGCATCAGTGGCAGCTTCTGTAGTTGTTGAAGGCTCTTCAGTCGTTGTGGTCGGAGCATCAGTGACTACTTCAGTAGTTGTTGATGGCTCTTCAGTCGTTGTGGTCGGAGCATCAGTTACTGCCTCTGTCGTTGTTGAAGGCTCTTCGGTTGTTGTGGTCGGAGCATCAGTGGCAGCTTCTGTAGTTGTTGAAGGCTCTTCAGTTGTTGTGGTCGGAGCATCAGTGACTGCCTCTGTTGTTGTTGAAGGCTCTTCAGTTGTTGTGGTCGGGGCATCAGTGGCAGCTTCTGTGGTTGTTGAAGGCCTTTCAGTCGTTGTGGTCGGAGCATCAGTGACTACTTCAGTAGTTGTTGCCGGCTCTTCAGTCGTTGTGGTCGGAGCATCAGTGGCAACTTCTGTAGTTGTTGAAGGGTTTTCAGTTGTTGTGGTCGGAGCATCAGTGGCTGCTTCTGTAGTTGTTGAAGGCTCTTCAGTTGTTGTGATCGGAGCATCAGTGACTGCCTCTGTCGTTGTTGAAGGCTCTTCGGTTGTTGTGGTCGGAGCATCAGTGGCAGCTTCGGTAGTTGTTGAAGGCTCTTCAGTTGTTGTGGTCGGAGCATCAGTGGCAGCTTCTGTAGTTGTTGAAGGCTCTTCAGTCGTTGTGGTCGGAGCATCAGTGACTACTTCAGTAGTTGTTGATGGCTCTTCAGTCGTTGTGGTCGGAGCATCAGTTACTGCCTCTGTCGTTGTTGAAGGCTCTTCAGTTGCTGTGGTCGGAGCATCAGTGGCTGCTTTTGTAGTTGTTGAAGGCTCTTCAGTCGTTGTGGTCGGAGTATCAGTGGCAGCCTCTGTAGTTGTTGAAGGCTCTTCAGTTGTTGTGGTCGGGGCATCAGTGGCAGCTTCTGTGGTTGTTGAAGGCCTTTCAGTCGTTGTGGTCGGAGCATCAGTGACTACTTCAGTAGTTGTTGCCGGCTCTTCAGTCGTTGTGGTCGGAGCATCAGTGGCAACTTCTGTAGTTGTTGAAGGGTTTTCAGTTGTTGTGGTCGGAGCATCAGTGGCTGCTTCTGTAGTTGTTGAAGGCTCTTCAGTTGTTGTGATCGGAGCATCAGTGACTGCCTCTGTCGTTGTTGAAGGCTCTTCGGTTGTTGTGGTCGGAGCATCAGTGGCTGCTTCTGTAGTTGTTGATGGCTCTTCAGTTGTTGTGGTCACTGGAATATCAGTTGGGAGTTGCGTTGTTGTTATTGGTGCTTCAGTAGTGATAAAGATTGCACATTCAAAAACAGATGCATTGTTGCATCTGGTATATTCTGGACATGGCTGAGGCGTATTGTCTATCGTACTCGTGGAACCTGTTTCATCTTCAACACATATAAGAAAGTGAAGGTCATCTGTACAAATAAATTCTCGTCCATCGCAATCTATTGGATCATCATTTGATGTGTACCGCGCTACTGCTGCTCTGCAGCTTGCTAGTGCTAAACACTGAAACATGTTAATCACATTATTATTGTAACATAATATTTAGTAATCTAGTTTTAGAGGTATTTGTCAAGATAAGATTAAACTATTAAATGAAATATATTATTTGGGAACAGTTCTGATTACATGTGGACAAAAATCGACCGAGCCGTTTTAAAGAACATTCTAAAGTCCATAAAAAACATACTAGCATAAAAAATCATGAATGATTAAAGAAATAGAGCCGAAAGTCGCTTTTGATATCACATCACAAATTAACATTGCGAGAAGTTCGGCCAAGTCTAATGGGTTTGGCCTTGAAAAAATTATGTGAGTCCTTAAAACTTCTTTATTTGTGTAAGAAATGTTACCATTAATTCAACTGATTAAATAATTATAATAATCCATTATATATGTAGTCACGCCAGTATTTTCTTATAGCATATGATTAATATTTCACGAAATAATTTATTAAGTTTCTTAAGAAAAATGTTACGACGTTTTTCATGAAATTTAAGATGACGATAAAGTTAATACACTAAACAGTCTTACAAATATTGGTTGAATTATATATATATATATATATATATATATATATATATATTAATTAATTAAAATTGGGAATAATAACCTATAATTTTAATACATACACGCACATGTTTGCGCACTCTAATTAATATTATTACGGATATTATAAATGTTACAGATACTTTAAATTGCGAATAAAAATTATATAAAAACTCTAGCGAAATAAATGTAAATGTGTAGTAATACCAACATAAATTGAAACTAAACTTTTAATTTTAAAATATTAATATATGAAATTACTATTGCGAAATTATTGATATTTGAGATTTCCATATTTTATGAAATCTTTTAAAAGTTTAAAAATATAATAATTTGCACAAAATTAGAATTTTGTCTAATACAGATCTATGCATTTTTTATAATTTTCTCAAAGGCGGAGAAGGCTTTGCTGTCGCAGGAATATACGATCACCTAATTTTGCGTTTGCTCGACGTTTCACGATATTCTGAATTGTTTGGCAACTAAATTTTAAAGAGTATGTATGTGTATGTGTATATGATCCTAATTTTGACATTTTGGTGACATTTTCTCGAAACGACTGTATCGATTTGAGAAACTTAATAGCTATGTCACCAAACTCGAAAAGGACTAGCTTAGCTTTGCGAGACGATCGATCGTTTTTTTATAATTAGTGAAAAAGTACAATAATATTCGTATACTTTTTCACCAAAAATCTTGCACCGATTTTGAAAACTTAAAGCCGTTTGAAAGGTAACAGTTGGGAATTGTTTTTGGAAAAGATCGGCCGAGTCGTTTTTTTGTGAGAAATTATGGAAACTTTTTTCACAGTTATAAGGAAAATTACTAGTTAATTCTTGCTTTTGCTATATAATTCTTGAATCTGATAAAATATTAAAAATACATGGCTATTAAACAATTTGGTTGCATTACACCAGCAAAATGGTAAATTTATGAATTCAAGATTTTATTTTGCATTTAATCATTAAAAAAATTAATTAAACCATAAATAATAAATTAAATTAAAGTGCAAATTATTTACACTATGATAATTTTTACTGATTGATTTTTTTTTCATACCGAAGAAATAAATTTTACAGTACCAAAACAGTCTTCAAAAATTTTAAATCAATATAAATCACCAATTTACTTATTTATATATTCTTATCATATATATATATATATATATATATATATTTATTTATTTATAATTATATTTATTATATTTGTTAAACTTGAATCACTTTTCTTTAGCACTATATTTTTATAACGATAAACTTATTATTTACCGTTGACAGCACTAGCAATATTTTTTCCAATTGCGCCGTCATTACACCTTTAATGAGATAATTATTTGCAAAATTCGTTTATATATGAAGCCCAACATTTTTTTTATCTATTTACGCTAATTATATCCCATAATTCGCAAGGAAAATATGCGAATCTTGATAACGATTTAAGAGTAAGCATCAGCATCAGTGTTGATTTTTCATTTACCAATTTCAAGAAATATATTTTATCTAACACAGACAAATACATTTGTTTCTTGTATTTTTCAAATTTTACCATGAGAGATGAATATGATTATTATACAATGTCCCTTTACAGCTGACAATTGTAAATTCCTTAAATTTATTAAATGTCCTTAACTGGGCAGTTGTAAATAAAATAGATAACTAGTGGGGTGTATGGCATCGTGCCTTAAGGCAAATTGCTGGAACTTCCCGTACCGTAACAAAATGTTCGAAGAATATTGAATGTTTTCAGATAGATTATTATAAATATTGTAACATTGTCTAATATCTATAAGAATTATACAAAACTGAATTGCAAAGTTGAAATTATTTGTTTAAAGTATATTAGAACTTTAGTCAGAATTTAAAAAAAATCTGAATTATTATCGACAAAAAAAATTTATTTCTGAAAAAAAAATTTTGAAACGAATTTTTTTTTTCGACAGCCAATTTTGTTAAAACAAGCAGAAAGTTCTTCTTAAATCGGATGCTTAGTTTCCTCAAAAACTGCCATTTTTGGCACATTTAGCTCTGTATCTTCGAAATGGCTGGGCCTGCCTTTGCTAAAAATTAATAACCACTTCTCCCAGTCAGTACTAATTGATCATTCAAATCGGATGCTCCGTTCTCTCAAGAACTCGATTTCTATTTTCTGCACTGTTTGCTCTTTATCTCCGTAACTGCTGGATGTGCCTTTGCCAAAAACTAAACAGCACATCTCCCTATCAATAGGAATCGAACGTTTTTTGAACCATTCAAATCGGTTGATCCGTGCGTCCGAAAACGTTGTATACATACATACATACACACACACATCCATTTTTTCTGAGGTATGCCAAAATGTTCAGAAACCTTCAAAACGTCAAGAAATGCAAAAAATTTCAATTTCGGTTTTTGGACGATTACAATAACTTATCCTACGGAAAGTTAATAAAAAAATGCTTCTAGTGCAAAATTTAGAAAAATGTAGGAATTTACTAGTCCTTCACATATTCTAAAATGTCTATTCTAAAATTATAGATTTATAAAAAAATCTTTCACATAATCATATTGTATTCTATACCTGATCTTATATTGTATTTAAACTAAGAACATTTAAATATTTAAATCTATTAATTAATTACGCTTTATATTGTAACTTTTAAACCAGGATTAGATATATTAACTTTCCGAAGAGATTCCGTTTATGTTTTAGCCAGGAAATAAAAGACTTACTCATTTTATGTTTACTCGACGTTCCAAGTTATTCCAAATCGTTTGATTCCAAAATTGAAAAAATATTCAGTCTGAGAGTATAAGTATTTGAGCCAAAATTTGACCTTTCTTCGAGGTTTTTTAATAACGCCTGAACCGATTTCAAAAATTTTAAATTAAAAAGTATTGATTAGTCTAGCATAATGATCGGCACTGCCGATTCTTTATAATTAGCATTGCACTAAAAGAAAACTTTGCATATTGTCTGTGATGAGTAACTTTCGGCTAATTTAGTATCATTTAACATTTGAACTTGAATGATTTGCATTCAGGTAATTTTAATATTTATTTATTATTATTATTATTTTGTTATTCAGACAATCGGAATACATTGCTTCTATAAGCCTATGTGATGATGTTATATGGCGTTTTGGGGTCTCCGCCATTGAAGAGATTCTCTGCTAGAATTAATCTATATAGCTGTCTGTATATAATTTAATATTGCAGGTTCTTTGGCCATTTCTTTTTAAGTCTTTTTGTTTGATCCATTTTGGTGATGATTTGTATTTCAGCGTTCGATTGATCATCGATTTTGTTGTGGTATTATTTGTTTTTGATTCCATAAATTTCCTGCATTCTTCAATGCTCTTTTCCGTTCGTCCTATCTTTTGCAATTATTGAATTTATAAATTGACAGTAAATTTTTGCCATAATATAATAAAGGCAAATAATATAATAATAAAATAAATCATTTAAATAAAATAGTGTAAAAAGTCAAATAATAAACAATAATGTAAATAGTGTAAGTACTGCAATAAAAAATCAAATAAACCGCTTTTATGCGAATCAGCAAACTTCTCACTATTGCCTATGTCAGCAACATAACTTTTGGCCAACATAACTCTCTTCTTCATTTTATGAAATGGACATGAAGGTTTTCATTTTTGACAGTATAACATAATTAGTGATTTATTATTAAAAGTGATAGCATAGAATATTAAAATATGTGTGTGTTAAAATTCGACCCTTAGAAATACCTGTATGTACTTCATAATTGAAATTAGTGTTCATATTTTATAGTGTTAAAATGAACGATATCAATATGGCGATGGTGCCCGGCTAAATAAAAGTGTTATGTGTAAATGTTATATTCTAATCATGTAGGCATTGTATGTATGAAAATGAAAAGCATTTTAAGGCACAAATGCATTTTATACACAAAATTTATACTTGTTACTTTGCTTACTAGAACAGAATCATCTTAAAAAAACAAGTGGAAACAGAGGTCAGCAGGTAAGCAATAACAAAAGTAAAATCATGACAATGAATATAATAAATTCTTATATGATGAAGGTGCATGACGATGATCAAAAAGATGCCTTTTATAATACATATATTTTTCTTACAACTAATTTAATAATATTTCAAATGCATTTGTCTATACTCGTTAATCAACAAAAATTGCCATTTGTGTAAGCGTCTCCTTGTTTCGTATGCCTTATTTGTTCTTGCACGACGTCACATTTGCATTATCAAAATATTTGTGGATAAAGAACATTTTCACGTTTCAATTAGAGTATTAAGCTGCAAAGATAAAGAAAAGTGACGTAGTTTAATTAGAGATGCGTTCCATTACTTGTATTATTGAATAATAAAAACATAAAAAGTAATCTAGCTTGGTGATAAATTATGTCCGGTCATATTCTAAAGATTGCCAAATGATTTGAACATTTTTGCTATATGTGTGCATGTGAATGTATGTATGTGAACTTGAGGTTGATAATTTTATTTGATTTTGAGGTATTTGGGTAATTATAAGAGATAACACAAAATTGGTTACTAATTGGTATCAGAATTCAACTTGGTCAGGTAGATACATATTTTTTTTCCTTCATTCTTGTTCAGTTAAAATTTCTGTAATCATTTAATTATTCAATCATCAAGTGATAAGATGTTCTCATATAAAATTTAGATTTAATTCGATCAATTCCTAATAACGAGACCGTCGACATCGGTCAGCTCGATATCAGACAGCGTATCAAACTTCCACTTGAGATTATAGATATCAAATGAAAATCACCTTTCGGTGGAATAGTTGCAACGTCATAATTAGAAAAGCAAATAGACATTAGTATAAACTATATCTGTTAGTTAGGAATTTCGGAAGATAACCTTCTAATAGCTTCCTTTTATCTACCAGCGTTCAAAACAACTCATAGAACATCTAATTATTCTGATTGCTGTTATATAAGAAAATTCAATTTTAAATAACAATTTGATCTTTCCCATTCGATAAAAATTTGAATAACACAGACCAGGTTATTTACACATTATTATCTCTAATTTTTATGGTACCTTTTCTCTTTCAAACTCTTTTTTTGTTAAAATGGTCTTCATCTTATGTTAATTAATATAAATGTATTATTTCATTAAGTAAATTTTCTTATTTTTGAAAATAGTTATTTTCTGAAAAATATGTTCATATAAGAGATATGAAGAAAATGAATTTATCGTTAGATATGTTCCGCTGGCTAAAGAATTGAAAATTTTTTGTTTCGAGATTTTTTACTTTATTGATAACTCTTATTTATTTTTATTCAATAAATCTAAATATTATTTGAATTAAAATTGAATTGAATTGCTATGAATTATATAAATTCGGCTAAAATTTGGGTTATGATTTTTCATCGGTATTATTGATTGTTTGCTTCAAGTCATAGATCAAGATTTTGTTAATTCGCGGTATTAAAAATTATTAAATCTATTATTTTTGTACATGGTTTTGTTAAACCTATTATTGTACATGAATTATTCTTTCGTTATCGCTTTTAATCACACATTGACGAATTAAAATTGATTGAATTATAAATATATCAATGTTGGAACCAAAATGCATCTCCAATAAAATGTTATTTGTTTCAACAAAGGTCAGGGTATAAAACTGGAGTTTTCTACAGAAATCCACTCGAAAGAAAGATGATAGAATAACACTATTTTCCATAATTCTTTATAATGATTTCAACTTTTTTTATAATCATTATATTACACACCTGAAATTCATTTTTTTGTTTTTCATCTTGTCATGTTGATTTAATTCATCTACATGATCCCATGTTTACAATAATTTACCCAACAAAAAAACGCTTTTGCGACAGATGTTATAAAAAACGTAATTTTTTATTGCGCATGCGATTATTATTTAATCTCTTTTTAAATAATAGATTCAAATTAATACGAAATGTTCATAAAACATTGCTTTTATTTGCGCAAGCGTTTTTACTAGTGCGGCGGTGACTATCTGATAAGACTCGAAGATATATAGGCGATTTTTATATAATATTTTCAAGTTATTTGTATCATTCATTAACTTTTGTTAAATTTTGTACCGACGTATTTGACATTCAAATATTTGCAGTGTGTGAATATATTATTTTGCACGTTTTCACTTAACACAATATTTTTGATCAACTTTGTCAAATTATTATTGAATTTAAAAAAGATTCTACAAATTCATTTATTGAATTTAGTATTTAAATGTTTATTAAATCAGTTTTTGAAACCACCTGTTTTTAGTATCCAAGATATAACTATTAAATGTATTAATTTCAAATATTTTATTCATTCTTATTTCCTTTCATACTTTCGTTTACAATTAATATTTTTTTCTTTTTTTCATCTCTGTATGAGATATATTTTAGAATATACTAAATATTATACATTTTGAGTCAAGTCAAAATACAATCATTAATTTTTTTTATTAATTATCAAAGTATTATTAACTTCTGTAGGGTAAGTTATAGTAATCGCAAAGCAATCGAAAATGAAAATTTTTATATATTTACCTAAGACAAAAATGGATGTATGTGTGCGGATACAAATATTTGTCAGCGATTTTGGAAACACCGATCAACCAATTTGAATAATTCAATAAACATTCGATTCGTATTGATAAGGAGACGTGCTAATTAGTTTTTTTGCAAAGGCAGGTCTAGCAGTTCGTCTGATTTTCAAATTCAAAATTCAAAATTCAAAAAACATTTTACTTGTATTGAGAAGATGAGAAACTGATTGAATTATTTGGAAGGCAGGTCTAGCGGTTTTGGATATCTATTAAATCTTAAACTTAGAAATAAATATTTTCCAAAATATTTAAAAAAAACTTCCAATTTTTTTAAAATTTAAAATTTCTCAAAAATTTAATTTTTTCAAAGTTTAAAAAAAATTAATCTTTTTAAAAAAAATTAATTTCTGGTACGGGAAGTTCCAGCAATTTGCCTCAAGGCACAATGCTATATACTACTAGTTAAAATTATTACAATAAACGTTCAGTGCGCGAATCTGAGTGAAGCTTTCCTTTACATTTATTAATTTTTTCCTTTCTTCTTCAGATTTGTACGAGATTTTGAATATAGTAAATTTAATATATTTAAATCGAGTCAAAATTTATTCATATATTTTTTTCCTTGTTCTGGTATTGCTAACTTTTTTTACAATATGTAATAGTTCATTAATTATTTTAGCGCTGCTGTGTTAAAATTAATAATTTGAATTAATTTGCGAGTTTAGAGTCTCTTGTTTAAACATTTGCTTTAGTTCAAATTAATCTTGTGATATAACACTCGACACATGGCAAACAAATAATGTTTAATGGTCTGGCAAAAAATGATAACACTGTATAAATAAAGTTATTGAATGAACTAATTAAAGATTCAATTTATTGAAAATAGTATTTCCTGCCACAAATTTTAATTTATATAGCTTAATAATAATTATATATTTTTGACAACATATTTAATCATTATTACTTTTAAATTTGAGATGCAATATTAAAATTGCATCAGGTTTTCTCGATTCAACGAATTCAATCAATAATTTGAACGAATTGAGTTTATTTAATATTAAAAAGAATAATACAATAATATTATTTTACCAACAAACTCTAGTAGTTGATTTTATGATAATTGCATGTTATTATGCAAGAAGATTTGATTATCCTTTCAATGGATTATTAAAACAATAAAATACTAGAATTGAGTAATCATAATAAACAGAATATCTAAATTTTATATCTAAGAACAGAATTTGCTATCTAAGAACTCCTTTAAAATATATACATATGCAAACACTTTAACAACTTTGAAATGCCCCTGGTACAAATAGAGAGCATATTAAAAACGTTATTATCTATAGTTCAGGCTTAAAAATAAAAAAAACATGTAAATAAAATCAATAAACAAAATCTAAGTGAAATGATGTAAATTTACTGATTATTTTTATTTTTCGAATGTTTAAAACGGGAAGTTCCAGTAATTTACCTTAAGGCATCGAATGTTTTTTGAATCATTCAAATCGGCCGATTTGTTCTCTCAGAACTTACAATTTTTTGTACTTTTTGCTCCGTATCTTCGAAACAGCTAGATCTGCCTTCGCCAAAAACTAATCAGCACGTCTCCTTATCAATACGAATCGTAAGTTTTTTGAATTATTCTAATCGCTCGATCGGTGTTCTCGAAATCGTCCACGAAAATTTGTATCCGCACACACACACATACACATACACACACATATACATTTATTTTTTCTAAGGTATGTTCGGAAACCTTTGAATCGTAAAGATATATAAAAATCATTTTTGATTTTTTTGCGGTTACTATAACCTACCCTACGGGATGTTAACAAAATCTAAGTGACAAGATTTTTTGATTAGAGTGATTAAATGCTAATTCTATAATTTGTGTAAAATATTGAGTTAAAACTAGATATTTGCAGAACATTGGTTAATTAAGAAATTACTGAAATTAATGATTTATGGTAGTCATTTTAAAAAAGAATTTTCATTTATATATATATTTATTGAGATAACATAATTATTTTTTTACAATATTTTATTATCCTATTTCTTAAATTTGTTCATACTATAATACTAACTAGATATATAATACATAAACTTCTTAGAATACTCGTAGGTCACAAAAAGTACAGCTGTGGCAGGAATTGTTCTAACTAAAGTAGGTTTTAAACCATTGTATAAAGCAAAAATGCCTGAAAAATACAATAAGATAAATGTAAAAATATCAATTTTAATACAGACAGTTAAAATATATCCTTACCATCTTTTTTAGCAATATCCATTCCGACCTTTAACATACTATCTTTGCATCCACTGATCTGTACTCTGGATTTGATCACGTCTGCTGGAAAAATAACTGTCCACAAAATACAACCACCGACTGCACCAGCAATCATTGTTTTTACCCACCCAATATCATCTTTGGTTTCATTTGGTTTTCTGAGCATTTCTCTAGTGAGTTCATATCCCCCAAAAAAGAAGAAATAACCTGGCATTTCTCTGGCTATTGTTGCACCTAAACCAACAAATAGACCTCGAAAGCCATGCTGTTGTACTATACGTTTTGTTAATTTAATCGGCCCCATTCTTTCAATCATTTGTCCAGTCGAAGCCTTCTGAATTTGAGCTTCCTCCAAGGCTTGAAGTTGGCATTTAACCAATTCAGTTGGACATAATGTGAATGATGAAAAAAAGGCAGCGAGGCAACCAGCACTTGCATTACTAAAAGTACTTAATTTAGATACATCTTTTTCGCCAGTCAAGTAGGCAATGAATTTTTGGCAAGCTCCGTAGCCAGCGAATAATACAGAATTTTCAGCAACATTTGCTATTAAAGCTGGAGTCGTTCCTGCATATAATCCTTTGACAAATCCATCTCTTTTAACTGTCTTTTTTATACAATTTGTCATGCCACTATAAAGACTTGGAAAAGCTTGCATTTTCACTTTCACGGTATCCAAAGGTTGACCGACTAGCACCAATGCCACACCTCCTGTAAAATATAAATATCACATATGAACATTTTTCTTGTTTAAAAATTTAATGTTTGATAATGAAGTATAGAAAACATATAACACAATTACAGTATTATCGACATGTTTATGAACTTTATATTTGAATCGATTAATTTTAAAGGGCGCGAAATCAGTTCTTATCTTTGAACTAGAAATTATATCATTTTGATAGCGAAGTTTTTGAAATTTATATGTGACATATATATATATATATCTATATATATATCTATATATATATATATATATATATATATATATATATATATATATACTTAATAGCAATTACAATTAAGAATAGTTTCTTGTGATGACAATTCTTCTAAACCACGAGATTATTTCGAATACAACTCAGTGGTTATCTTTTTTCTAATAGTGCGGATATATCTTACTCAACTTTTGTAGATTGGTCCAGAAGGGCTATTTGAGTAATTCAATTTTTTTGTATACCGATTTTTATTCAAATGTTAAGATCTGAATTTGTGCTTAATTATGCAAGAAACGTTTATTTTTATGATAACTTTTATGACACTGTAATAATAAACATTCGATTCCTATTAATCGGGAGATATGCTGATTAGTTTTTGGTAAAGGCAGGCCCAGCCGTTTTAGAGATACGGAACAAAGAGTGCAGAAAATAGAAATCGAGTTTTTGAGGGAACGGAGCATCCGATTTGAAAGATCCTAAAAAACATTCAATTCGTTATAGCTTACATAAATCTGTTTGGCGCCTGAGTCAAATGGTAGCACCAGAAAATACTACCATCAAATATACAATAAATTGAATACATACAATTTTTTAAAATGAGATATTTATAATACCTTGATTAAAAATAAAAGTAAGTTAAAATATATCATTACAATTAGAGAAAAGTCAACCACTGGGCTGTATTCGAAACAACTACTTGGTTCAGGAGAATTATCATCACACAATTTTAGTGCTCTTAGGTCTGATTACTATTTAGAAAGATAGTAATTAAAATATAAAAAATTAAAAATAGTTATTTTATGGAATCTAATTATGAATCAAAATTATCTCACGAACATAAAATCTATCTAAATTGGTTCAGGCGTAAGAAAGTTCAATGGCTTGCACATGCGTAAAAAATTGTATGAATGTTTTCTAGCAAATTTGAAATCCATACGTTTCGGCTATTATCCTAGCCTTCATTCAATGGGATATACTATCAACTTTAATAACAAAGTAAATAATATTAGTATATTATTAGTAATAATAACTAGTGGTGAATGGCATCGTACCTTAAAGGCAAATTGCTGGAACTTTCCGTACCAGAATTAAGGAGTTCAAGCAAAAAATAATAATAATCAATAAATTGTGATCAATGATTAATAACAATTGTTTTAAATATTTTCAAAATAAAAATTAATATTACTACTATATATTTATTCGTTCATATAATATACAGTGACGATCTTATCGCTCAAAACACTTAATAATGTTTACATTAAAGAGAAGCCGAATGATTCCTTCTGAGGATATATTTCTTACGAACACACACATACATTCATTATTTCTGTAGTATGCCAACATGTTCAGAAACCTTCAATACGTGAAGATATGCAAAAAACTTTCATTTTTGATTTTCTTGCGATTACTATAACTTACCCTACGGGAAGTTAATAATGAACTAATCTAAAATCGAAATTATGCACTATAGTAAATTCTCGAACTATGGCACAATAGTGTATACAATTTGATATAAGGACACGAAATTGTACATGTTTCCCGTAGGGTAAGTTATTGTAATGGGCCGAAAATCGAAATTGAAAATTTTTACATTTCTCGACGTTTTGAAGGTTTCTGAACATTTTGCATACCTCAGAAAAAATAGATGTGTGTGTGTATGTATGTATGGATGCAAATTTCAAGTCACGTTTTCGAGCGCACGGATCAACCGATTTGAATGGTTCAAAAAACATTCGATTCCTATTGATAGGGAGAAGAGCTGATTAGTTTTTGGCGAAGGCAGGTCCAGCCGTTTCGGAGATACGGAGCAAAGAGTGCAGAAAATAGAAATCGAGTTTTTGAGAGAACGGAGTATCCGGAGATTTGAATGATATAAAAAACATTCAATTAGTAATGATTGGGAGAAGTGTTTATTAGTTTTTGGCGAAGGCAGGCCCAGCCATTTTGAAGATATGGAGCTATATATGTAAAAATGGCAGTTTTTGAGAGAACTAAGCATCTGATTTAAATGATCCAAAGAACTTTCTGCTTGTCTTAACAAAATAATTGATTTTGAAAAAAAAAATTTTGTTTCAACTTTTTTTTTTCAAAAAATTTTTTTTTGTATATCTAAAATAATTCAGACTTTATTTTTAATTCTGACTATACTACAATACTAATAATAATCTATTTGAAAACATTCAGTATTCCTCGAATATTTCGTTACGGTACGGGAAGTTCCAGCAACTTGCCTCAAGGCACGATGCCATACACCCCACTAGTTATTATTTATTTGTTACAAATTATTTACTTAGTTTAATTATTATAGTTGACAGTATATTCATCTAAACGAAGGCTAAGATAGTAGCCAAATTATACGGATTTCAAATAAATGTTTAAAACAGCATACATAGAATTTTTTCTTGATGAACGCCCTATATTTAAACTTCTCATATAACAAATTCTTTACGCTTGAACAAATATTTGCATGTAATAAATATATCAAATTATTTCCTGACTTACCCAAGGATCCTGCCGTGAAGTCGATACATCCATCTTTAAAACCATTTTTATTCTCATGCACGCTAGACATTTTTATACTACTGTAAAATTGAACTAAAAGCCACAATAGTTATCGTACAAACCTCATTATAACAATTACTGGTTTTTTATCACTGTACACATTACTAGCGAGAGAGTCAGCGAAATATCCATTCAAGTGATAAGAGTTTGCACATTGCGTTTTATCATGTTTAGCATCTTATCTTACGTTTTATTTATGATAAGAACATAATGTAAATCATATACACAAATTCGCGAATTAAATTTCTGCAAATTATGGAATATTTTAAAGTGGACAGCATGGTTTAGACTAGAGATTCTTTGAGGTTACTCTAGACCTCGCACGTGGCGTTGCGCTTGGTGTGCACGTTGACAAAGGGAATGGACGCGAAGTATCACGTGATGACTTTGTTGTGATTGTCACATTGTCAAGTTCAAAGGCGTGCACTAGATTATTTTTAGTACGATGATATTTTAAAATGACTATAATGTATTGCTGGTGTTAATTCGTCATTTGTTAATATTATTTTACAATTAAAAAAACATTTGGCGCTTTCTAACAAATTCTTGTTATTTAATTCAACTACGAAACCTACCGAACAATATAAAAGTTAGTGTCTTTAACACGGATTAAAAATTTCAAAAATTAAACTACGCAATGTGTTATTTGACATAATACAATATACAATACGCAAGGTGTTATTTGACATAAGTCGCTAGTGTTTTGTTTTGTTATTCTTGATTTAATTTAATTAATCATATGTTTCAATTTTACGAATATTGATTTGTTTTATTAACTTCCCCTAGGGTAAGTTATTGTGATCGTCCGAAAATCGTAATTGAAAATTTTTACATTTCTTGACGTTTTGAAGGTTTCTGAACATTTTGGCATACCTCAGAAAAAATGGATGTGGTGTGTGTATGTGTGCATGGATACAATTTTTTGTCCACGTTTTCGGGCGCACGGATCAACCGATTTGAATGATTCAAAAAACATTCGATCCCTAATGATAGGGAGATGGGCTGATTAGTTTTTGGCAAAGGCGAATCCAGCCGTTCTGGAGATACCGAAGTAAGTGTGCAACAAACAGAAATCGAGTTTTTGAGAGACCGGAGCATCTGATTTGAATAATCCAAAAAACATTCAATTCGTAATGACGGGGAGAAGTAGTGATTAGTTTTTGGCAAAGGCAGGTCCAGCCGTTCTGGAGATACCGAGGTAAATGTGCAATTAATGGCAGATTTTGAGAGAACAAAGCATCTGATTTGAATGATTCAAAGAACTTTCTGCTTGTGTTGACGAAACGATTGCTTTCGGGGATTTTTTTTTTAAATTTTCAAAAATATTGAAAATAATTTTAATTTTAATATTTTTCTAGCTAAATTTCTAAATCTCACTTATATACTTGATATAAATAATTTCAATTTTGCAATTCAGTTTATATAATTCTTATAAATATTAGACAATGTCTTTCATTTTAAATTCGATTGATTAATAAGATATATAAGTTACAGTATTTAGAATAATCTATTTGGAAACATTTAATATTTTTCGAATGTTTCTTTATGGAACGGGACGTTCCAGCAATTTGCCTTAAGGCGCGGTGCCATTCACCACTAGTTTATAGTTCGTTTTAACTCGTCATATGTTATTCTGCTTTTGAAGATATTGTGGAAATGACTCTCGTCATTTAATTTGACTACTAAACCAACTAAAAATTTGAGTGTTCATAAAATATGTTACCAATTTAGTAAATTAATTAAACAATATACAAGGTGTTTTTGTGTATTTGACATAATTCGCTAGTGTTTTGTTACTCATAAAGTTTTTATTTAAAAGTATACTTTAGGATAAAAATGCTTGGTAAAGTAAATCTATGTTCCAGTGTTATTAAAAGTGGAATTTTACCTTAAGGTAAGTTGCAAAAACTTCTCAATTTGTGTAAATAACGACTAAAGCAAAGAGAATTGAGATTTAACAACTTTAAAAAAAGGCCCTCCATTTTTCCAATCTTTGATGAATATTTTCACTTTTGGCCTAAAATTTTTGCTCACATGTACATACTTTTGCCAATTTCAATGTCAAACGATTTGGAATAGCTTGAAATGTCGGGAAAGCAACTTAGCATATCGGATCATCATCAATTAGCATATATTTTAACATCTGACATATTTTACATGATAAATCATTTGTCTGTAAGTTGTAAGTTTGTCTTTGTATTTTACTAATTGATGTCAGGTTTGCACAACATTAATTAACCAATTTTCTAATTGGAGATGTTTGAATATTTATTACCAGTTTGAATATTTATTATATTTAAATATTATTCAAATTCTAAATATACATACACATAATTTTCTGATTTAAAATTGCTGAATTGCACGAATCAAATTTTGAATTAGACTTTCATTTTAAGATTAACAATAAGATGTTATAAAGTAAAAGTAAGGATTTTAAATTGTTTTTAGAAATAACAGTCATGATAGGTTATCTGCTGACAAAACAATAAAAATATATTAATACAGTTCTTTAATTTAAAGTTACTATTTTTTATTCAATTGGGCATTAAATTTGTTTTATTATAGTCAATCTAATGTTCTATAGTAATAATCCATGATTTGTGCAGTCTGACCTCTATTATTGTTCGTATAAAAACAGTGACGTGCACTATTTGATAAATTTGCATAAACAAATCAGTTTAGCAATATATCACTTTTCATTGCAAAACCACAAAGGTCATCGGTTTTGTTTTCAATAATAAGTTTTTCAGCAAACTATTAAAACGTATATTTTATCTAGAGTTTTAAGAGATTCCAGACACCTTATAAAATTGATACGAATTATTTTGATTAACCAAGCCCTGTTAAGAATACGATATTCAAATATGGGTAATAGAATTCTATAAAACAAATATTTACCAATATTGTAGGATTTTTTTATTTCAAATGAGTGCTTTTTAAGTTGAAATATTTTTAGTGATAAGTAAGTAGATAAAAATGTACGCATTCCAATGAGTCATATAATTCTTTACACAAATCCATTGATTTCAAACTAAAATCTTGTTAACATTTTCAAACATTTAAATATTTCAATTATGGAAAATTAATTACGAAATAATATAAACGCGTTTTGTCATGCACAGATTGTTTATAGTTTTTTACTAATGGTATTTTACTCTCGCAATGGGTTATTATTACTATTTAATAAATTTAATATAAGAGATCAGGGCTTGATTTTTTTCTCGTCTAAAAACTACTTTTTATTCAATTTTGATTCATTTCATACATGATTTTAGATGAGTTTTGAATCGAAATAATTTCCGAATCAATTGTTTTCTGATTTTTAATTTTAATTTAGATTGGCAATAGACAACGGTAATAAATTCAATCCACATATACCAGCCAACCAAACAATAAAAGTATAGTGGTTATCATGTGCTTACAAATAAATAGTTGTATGTTCTTTCCAATTAATTCATAAAGTGAAAAATTCATAAAATTATTTTGAAATAATCAACGTAATATGAAGCAATTCAGCATGAATAGATTCAATAAAATCCATGAAATAAACGAACGTGCTTTATCTGTAAAATAGGCAAATTATATATATATGTATATATATATATATATATATATATATATATATATATATATATATACATATAATATGATATAATATAATATAATACAGATATTTATCATGATTCGCGGTTTTAAATATCATATCTTTACAGCCTTGAATTACCTATTATGAAATGAATGGCACATGTCAGATCCAAGTCTTACGTGTTATATTTTGTGCATAACTATATAGATTTTCCCACAGAGCCAAATCTGGTAATAGAGAATTATATAGAATAGTTTAAGAAAAAAAGTTGTAGAAAATTATACTTAATCTATTTAAATCTGTACCGAAGAAATCATAACGGATCTGCATAAATCCAAAGCGATCAATGTAAATTGCAAATTATAGCTTCTGTATAAAAATAGATTATCATATAAAATTATCCAGTGAAGCTATAAAGTCAGTAAAACATTTCATTAAACATTATACATTAAAAATAATTCAGATTTTACTTTTAATTCTGACTAAGTTCTAATATACTTTAAACAAATAATTTCAACTTTGCAATTTAGTTTATATAATACTTACAAATATTAGTCAGTGTTACAACATTTATAATAATCTATTCGGAAACATTTAATATTCCTTGGACATTTCGTTACGGTACGGAAAGTTCCAACAATTTGCCTTAAGGCACGATGCCATACACCACTAGTTGTTTTTCAATATTAGCCTCAGTTTTCTGGAACCGACACTGGGCACACACTTTATATGGACTTGCGAGGAGCTCAATGTGTTAAATGCAAATTGCTTTGCATATGCGAATAAATCCAATATAAGAATATGTGATGTCGATCAAATTCCGAAAATATATGTAAAATGCTTTGTTGCCTCATATTCAAAAATGTAAGAACTCACTGCTTTTTCTTAAAATCTTCCTATTCCTTTAAAGATTCCTATTAACGGTTTTCTCACACTCAATGAAATAGACTGAAAATTTCAATCAGTTATACTTCTACACGTATGCCTTGACATCTGTCTGTATAGATATTAAGTTCCCAAACTTTTTTGTGTCGTGGACTATTAGGCGATATCGATTTTTTTATAAATTTGTATTTGTACTAACGTTTAGTATTAAACATTTAAAGTTAAGATACTAATCCAAGGTAAGATATTTATTAATTGACTTCATAATATTAATAAAATAGATATTAACGAGCTTTGTTGTGATGCACTATAGGTCGTTTTTGATGTGGGCCCCTTGAAAGTTGTCATGAACCCCTGGGGGTCCATATGGAGTTATGGAGCACTTTGGGAATCACATGAGTAGACATAGATAGACTGAGATATGAAAATAATATATAAAAAAAGTCAATCATTTCTAAGTAAGAGTTTAGGGATTCCAACCACAACGTTTTATGGTCGTTACCCACCTCGGAAAACCTGGTAACGATTTGTAGTTGTATTCGTATTTACTTAAAAATATGATTTTAAAATGTTTTCTGATGGAAATAGCTTTACCTCATCCTTATCATCAATTTTATACATACTCCTTTAATAAAATACCAACAGTTGGGTTCAGCGGAAATATCAATAAATCAAGCCCTTATCATCAATTAAAATTAGTTATCTTAATTAATTAGATATCATAAACGATAAATACGCCAGCTGACGTTTGTACAAGATCTATATTAGATATAATATATGGTGTTCGAAAATGGATTTGCTTATGTTATCTGGAGAGCACATGGCGAGAAAATTTGCGATAAGCATATTAAGTTGTTTAAGCATTTATGATGATTAATTATAATTTTAGACACTGTTCAATATTTATCCAGTTGGGTTCTCTAAAAATGTAGATTCAAATATTAGTTGAATTTATTTTGAATGCTAGTGCATGTACTTACACGATTATAATAAATATAAATATTGATCGATATCGAATCAATTCCTTTCAAGTGAAGATATTTATCAAATTTTATTTAAAAAAAAATATTTTCGAAATTCTGCAAGACCTGATTATATTTTATTTTGATCAAACACTATTCTACAAGACTTACTTTATGATGATTGAAGTATACATAATTAAGATTCAGTTATAATTATATTTAATTATATTTGTCTTAAAAAGTAGTTTTTTTACAAGTTCTTTATTTAAATGGTTTAAACAGATTTTTTTTGTTTTTCATTTGCTTTTATAGGCTTATAATTACTGATTATTTTGATCTCATAATTTTTTAGATGTGAAGCCAACTTTCTTGTTAGCTTGTAAGGATTTCGTTCAGACTATTCCCATTTCTGATGGTATAAAAGACTTTATAAAAAGTTTTTACACAAATGGAAAAAAATATAATCAAAATAATTCTAAAATCTATTTATTGATGGAATATGAACATAACGTGAAAAATGTTAAAAATACTAATATTTCTGATAAAGGTTTCTTACTCGGCAATACCTGTTTGCTAACTCTCTTCAGCAGACATGACTTTCACTATTTATCTTTTATGCAAACGCTACATGTACATTATAATATCTAAAACTAACAAAGGTAGAAAAGATAACACAACTGCTGGTGCCCTAGACAGGAAGTTCACAATTTAAAAAAAATACTTGTTCAAAAATATATATGGCAATAAAAAAAAGTTTTCGAAAATCAATGAACAGACGTTTCGGAAACTGTGCGATCCATTCTCAGCCCAGAACATATGTTATAATTGTTAAAAGATTAGAAAAAGCATTTTATAAAAAAATATAATCGTATATATATACATATATATATATATATATATATATATATATATAAATATACTCGTATACATATAGCAACTTTCGATTTTTTGTTCAACGTTGAAACATTCTTGAATTATAATATAACAATTATATTAATTATATAGAAGATAAACAATTATGAAAAATCTAATTCTAAAAAAGTGATATATAAATTTAAAGACATTGTTTAATGAAAAAAAATCAATACTAGTGGTGTATGGCAACGTGCCTTCAAGTAAATTGCTGGAACTTTCCGTACCGTAACGAAATGTTCGAAGAATGTTAAATGTTTTCAAATAGATTTTCTACTATTTACTAGAATTATATAAACTGAATAACAAAGTTAAAATTATTTATTCAACGATAAAAGTGAGCTCTACCCAGAATTAAAATTAAAATCTGAATTATTTTCGATATACAAAAAAATTTAAACTATTTTGAAAAAAATCGAAAGCAATTGTTTTGTCAACACAAGCAGAAAGTTTATTATTCAAATCATATAAATCGGATGCTTAGTTTTCTAAAAAAAAAATTAGTTCCGCATCTTCGAAATGGCTAGACTTGCCTTTGCCAAAAACTAATCACCACTTCTACCAATCGTTACAAATTGAATTTTTTTTTTTGGATCATTCAAATCGGATACTCGGTACTCTCAAAAACTCGATTCCTATTTTCTGCAATCTTTGCTTAGTACCTCCGTAACGGCTGGAGTTGCCTTTGCCAATAACTAATCAACACATCTCCCTATCAATAGGAATCGAATGCTTTTTGAACCATTCAAATCGATTGAACCGTGCACCCGAAAACGTGGACATCTATTTTGTCTGAATGTTATCTTGCCAAAATGATCAGAAACCACTGAAACGTGAAAATGCAAAATTTTGGCTTTTGATTTTTGGCCCATTTGGGAAGTTCAAAATAAAATGATAAACGAAAAAATCAATAGTAAAATTATGTAGATGGGCGCGCCCGTAGGTAAGCGGTTAAGAGCGACGGGACCTGTATCAGAGGTCCCGGGTTCGATACCCACTTCGAGCAGCCTGTTGTCAGGCAGCAGTGACAACGATTTTCACTTGGAAATATGTTTCCAAGAGAAAATAGCCCTCACCCGGCACTGCTGCACCAATAAAAATAGTCAGCCCTATTAGAATAATTCTAATAACAAAATCATCAAATATGGATGGATTAGCCATTGGGTTACCATTTAAAAGAAAACGAAGTAAGAAGTTTCAGCCCAACAGCTCATAGGACGTAAGGTTCTGATTGCTGTTAAATATATATATATATATATATATATATATATATATATATATATGTATTAGTCGCATAATTAACAATTTGTAGGAGGAACAAGCCATGTCTTATAGAAACAACGTGGTTTTTACAAGATGATTCAGGATCAAATTCTGGAAAATTCTCGTTGGTTGGAAGAAAGGTGAGTTTTCTAAATGTGAAGCGGGATTCAACTTTTAGTTTATTATTTTATTGCCATTTTGAGTAAATCATAATTTTGTGTGTAGTTCGTTCATATTTATAAAAATGCATATTGAAATTTTATTGATTTGGAATTCAAAATTGTATTTATAATTAACATATTCTATTCCATAAATTAGAAGGGTTCACTCTGTTCATATAACTAGCTGCGTATATAGGTTGGTCGCCTCTGACCACCGACCGAAAAATTCTAAATTATCACCGTTGTCAGATTACCAGAGCCCACATCAGGCCGAAATTCAGAGCATGCCATACTTTATCAGCCTCGTCATCGATATGTTTACAAACTAGACAAAAAACCGTCATTCCAAATAGAAGAAAAACACTTGCTCTACAATAACATAGCTGGCTGTGTATTTCATACAAACATAGCTTTGCTATATTGATAAGATAACAGCGATATCCATGCAGGAGCATTTAATATCAAACATCGAACGTGAATGAAAGTATATAGACATATTATCCGTCAGAAAATAACAAAGAACAAATTAAAAAAGAATCAAACGTAAGCAGTGCGGGTGAATTACAAATATGCATTTATAAAAACTTGAAATCCGTAGTCAGTATAACATTGTGCTCGTACGCTTACACGTCAATGTGGAATGTGTTAGTTTCCTCAAGGAATCCCTATCTGAGACTAAGATTTAATGAAAATTTTAATTGATTTATATTATTAATTCGATCGATTCCAAGTGTGTTTATTTTTCAAATATGTGGTGTTTATTGTAAACAAAATACTACAGACGATGCTACTATGACGTTCACATGAGTTGATTATGGATACGGAGCATGAGAATGTGTTAAACAGGATACGAACTCAAACGGAGAATGCCGATCCGAAAGCCGACAATGTTGAATGTCGATGGACTGTTTTCATGGGCATTTTTTTCATTCATGTAATGTATTGTTGTTTTTAAAATTCATAATTAAATCGCCATAAAATGTTTACAGTTATATTCAAAGATAACTATTGAGATAAATTAATTGTGAAAACGATATGTTTTCTTGACTATTTCTTTTTTTTAACATAAAATGGCCATGATTCACTTATTCTGGTAATGAAGTAAGCTATAAAATTATGGTCTGGTATTATGGATATTATATAAACAAAATGCATCCGAAAATTCTGTTTTTATGCACAAATCTATGTAAAAGTAGTTGGTTTTGGTATTTTGCCTTGAGGCAAGTTACATGAACTCCCGATATGTGTAAATAATCGACTTAATCAATAAAATATAAATTAATTTATGATTGATTAAGAGTATTCCGAGTGGATTTATTACACATAATTGAAAACATGTTAACTCGGAGTATTTTCTAAAAGGAAAATTTCAAAAATCAATAATTTTTATAATTGAACCAGTTTCCATAGGACTTTAATGGTTTAGTATGTTCATTAAGACCAAGTACTCTCGATATACCGAGTAAATTGTCTAATTTTAATTTTTAACGTCAAAAAAACTACTATTTTTTATAATTAAATTACTTGTCGTAAGGCCGTAATATTTCAGTACGTTCTATAAGTCCATGATATATATCGCCAAAAAAAGTTCTATAAAAATCGGCTTCAATTTTTTTCAACAATTAATTACAAGAAAACGGCTCGGTAGATTTTTACCTAAAACTAATCAGTATCATTCCCAACTAATATCTTTCGAACAGTTATTGATTTTTTAAAATCGGTTCGGTAGTTTGAGGTTAAATGTGGACGAAAAGTTTAACACGTTTTTTCAAATTACAAAGAAACGGCTCGGCAGACCGTCTCACAAAACTGGCATACGATAGTCCTCATTGAGATACATCAAATGGCTTTTAAATTTTGATCAAAGGTCTAATTTTGACAAATGCCAAAAAAACGATACTAATTTTTGCAAACTTTGAAGAATTTTGAAAATTAAACGGCTTGTCGTAGGGCCGTAATATTTTAGTATGATCTACAAGACTATGGTATCTCCCGTCAAAAAAAAAATCATAAAAATTGTTGTATTTTTTTTTAAACTTTATTACAAGAAAAAGGCCTGGCCGATCTTTACCAAAAACTAATCAGCACGATTCCCAACCAATATCTATCGAATGGTTTTTGAATTTTCAAAATCGATTCAGAATTGCGGGCTAAAACGTGGACGAATTTTTTTTCACTTTTCTGCAATTTACAAAGAAACGGTCCGGCAGATCGTCGCACAAAAGTCAGAAACGCTAGTTCTCATCGAGATACATCGATCGGCTTTTAAATTTTTGAAATCGGTTCATCCGTTTTACGGCAAAAAATCTGTTCACACACACATAATTTTTCCAAATTTGGTCTCATTCGATTCAGAATGGCTTGAAACGTCGAGAAAACATAAAATTAGCGAGTCGGATTTTCTGATGAAAACAGAATTCTCTTTCGGGAAGTTAATTAATTGCCAAAATCCTTATTACTGTATTTACTATATTTTAACCCTTTTCACTCGCGAATTCCGAGATTTATATGAATTTTGCTGCCGGTCCGGCAAGGAAAGGGTTAAATGTGACATACTTAAAACCGTAAAGTAGACCATTGCTACTTGATATTTCCAATGCACAAATCTATGTAAAATTAATTGCCAAAATTCTTATTAATGTATTTAGTATAATATTTAAACCCTTTTAACTCGCGAGTTCCGAGATTTATATGAATTTTGCTGCCGGACCGTCGGCATCCGAGTGGAAAGGGTTAAATGTGACATACTTAGGACCGTAAAATAGACCATTGCTACTTGATATTGTCAATGCTACTAAATACTGTCAAAATGCCTTTTATTTGCAATGCTATCAGGCGTTCTACACATAAATTGCAACTTCTCTCATATGTTATCAAGACACATCTCAAATAAGCAGTTATGTTAACATCGTTTTTTTGTGCGTTTTTTATCTCAAACGCCTGACTGCACAGCAACCGCACAGCAACCGCACAGCATTTCGTCAGTTTTTAGTGCCACTTTTTATGAAAACTGCCACATAACATAGCCTTGGCATAACATTGGTCTATTTTGCGGCAGAATATTAGTTGATGAAAGTTAAAATGTTTATTGTTCAACGAAGTTGATGGGCCGATTCTGCCGTAAAATAGACCCATGCTATGACAAAGTTTCGTTCAAATTGTCATACAAAATGCCACTAAATCAGGCGTTTTACAAATAAAATGCGACCCCACTCATATGTTATCAAGCCATATCTTAAAAATTCGTTTATGAAAACATGGTTTTTTGACATTTGTGCGTTTTTTAACTTCCCGTAGGGTAAGTTATAATAATCGCAAAAAAATCGAAAATGAAAATTTTTATATATTTTTACGTTTCAGAGGTGTCTGAATATATTGGCATACCTCAGAAAAAATGGATGTATATGTGTGTATGTGTGTGTGTGTGCGTGTGTGCGTGCGTGTATGTGTGTTCGGATACAAATTTTCGTTGACGATTTCGGGAACACGGATGAAGCGATTTGAATAATTCAAAAAACATTCGATTCGTATTGATAAGGAGACGTGCTGATTAGTTTTTGGCGAAGGCAGGTCTAGCCGTTAGAGGGCGGCGCGGCGCTTACGCGTTTTGATAATTTGTCTCTAATATACAGTTAAAGCAGTACGATTGCTTTGAAAAAAATTTCAGAATTTCCAAAATATTTCAAAATACACTTTTCTTCAAAAAGTCTTTTTTTTTAAAAAAAGTAAATTTTTGTCAAAAATTTATAGTTTCTCAAAAATCTAATTTTTCAGAGTAAATTTTTTTCAAAATTGTTAATCTGTTTAAAAAAAAAATTTTTTTTGGTACGGGAAGTTTCAGCAATTTGCCTTAAGGCACGATGCCATGAGCCCCACTAGTTAGTTTAGGTTTCCTATCTAAAACGCCTGACTGCACAGCAACCACATAGGATTTTAAATTTGATAGTACCACTTTATATGAAAACTGCTACTCTACATACTTTCAGCAACAATGGTCTATTTTACGGCCCTTTAGCATATAATACGTTTAATTTTTTTGACGTAAAATATTTGTTCACAAGGGGAACCTCTGGTTTACACTTATGGGATTTTGGTAAAACTTTGCCTGGTGATAGTGTCGATAGTCAAACCGAAAGCATTAAAATATTATAGGCCTATGAGAAGTGGTTTAATTATAAAAAATAATTAAAATTGCGAAATAATTTAAAATGAGCGCAGAGCATTTTGTGTTGATATGTATAGTTAGCCAAGTGGTTATATATGAAAATTGAAAAAAATTAAATGTGCAGAGTTCAAAGAAAATTTGCTTACGCGATTAAATGACAAATAGGTTATCTATCAATCTAGCTTAATTCATAGTTTTCAAATCATTCAAAATTTGTTGTTCAAATCTGAAAATTATAGCACACACGATAATAAAACTAATGCAATAAATAAAATATAAATATATTTAATACTTGAATGTAATATCTAACAATTATCATTTTTTGCGTAAATTAATAGTTCCTCAAAATACTTGAATAGTGCTACTAATTTAAGATTTAGTAATAAGATTATGCAAGTAAAACAGTAAGCTCATCCTTGAATATTTGAGTAAAAATACTAACTATTTACTGACTCTTTGTAAACAAAGTTGCACTAAAATCAAAAGATCGTACGAAAATAAAAAATATTTTGTGAATAGTTGATTGATGCATGATTATGCATTGACTATTTTTTATATAAATAATCTAGCACTCAAACAAAAAATAAGACTATTTCAGATACTCTATAAAATTGCCATACCTTTTCCGTGTCACGGAGCGAATGAATTTACTTATTTTCCGAAACTGCTTTTGAGTATTTTATGATATAATAATGATTGCAATGAAATACCAAATTACACATTTGTCTAATTTTGATAATTATTTCCATATAAAATAAAATTATAAGCAAACCTCCAACTACAACTATTGAAATTTCTCATCATGTGTAGATATATCATGATTTAGATATTGCCATTATTAAACATATAACGAATTTATTTATAGTTAGTAACATTTATATATCAGATCGCAGAAAGATAGTCTGGTAGCATTTTTTATTAAAAATTTCCGATGTTGTCAAAAAACACGAAGTGTGTTCAAATACAAATATATCAAATCATTTTTTAAGCGTTGAATTACTTGTTATTGTTGTTATATCAGGTATATGACAAATGAGATGCACGACTGTCCTCGGAGGTAGACAAAAATAATATACCAATAAAAAAATACAGACAAATCAATTCTAATATACATAAAAATAAACAACGAACTAAACATATATAATATTTTCTTAACATTTATACTTGCATTCTTCAGTACTTCATAAAACATAGAAAATATATTCTTACAATTTAAGCGAAGTAAAAAACATTTCGTTGACGTTATTATAGTTTAATGAAAAATGTTAGGAATTTGTAAGAACGTTTTAATATAAGGTTGTCAAATATCTCCCTTCCGCCTTTTTGTATTAGAAACCAAGAGCAAAAAAGCGGAAGGGAGATATTTGACAACCTAATATTTGTAGTCAGCTATGATTTTACGCGGATTTTTATTCACCAAGTTTCACCTGTGTTTGGAAAACTATTTAATATAAAACTAATAAAATTCTTTAATACAAACATTAAAATTGCTGGTTCTTCAGCTGACATGTGTTGGTAATAATTTATACAAAGTTGCTAATAATAAGTTTAATGAACTATGGTGCTTGATAAAACTTGTTTACATTTTTTACAAGGCAAAATACTTTCTTACGACATTTGAACCAGCAATGTTTTTATATCAGCTGTATCATGATATTAAATGCAGCTCATGGCAGGTGTTTAATTAGAAGAATTTGTTTTTAATAATATGAATCGGGTTACAAGTGCATTTGTTGAATGAAATTAAATTAAGGCCAAAAATATTTAAGACGTATATTATATATTGAAGATTACTTAAATTGCGAAAAATAAGGCGTTGAATTCAAAAGCGTTTTAACTAACGGAATAAAATGAAATGGTTGCTAAAAATTTCGGAATAGAGATAAAGATTTCCTTCAGAGCCCGTTTTTATCGTAAAATAGACCAATGTTATAGCAAGGATATGTTATGTAGCAGTTTTAATATAAAGTGGAACTAAAAACTGTCAAAATCATATGTGGTGCTATCAGGCGTTATAGATAGAAAACGTGACCTAGAAAATGCACAAATGTCATAAAAATGATGTTAAATAACTGAATCCTTGAGGCTTGATAACATATTGGTGAAGTAGCATTTTATGTATTAAACCCCTGATCACACAGCAAATACATGACATTTTTACAGTATTTAGTAGCATTTTGTATGAAAACCGGAACGAAACATAGCCTTGCCATAACATTGGTCTATTTCACGGCAGAATCGGCCTATTATTTCGTTGTTTGGAAATTGTACTCTTTCTTCAGCTCATGGCAGATATTTAATTAGAAGAACTTGTTTTTAGTAATATGAATCGAGTTACAAAGCTCATTTGCTGATTATGAATGATATTTAATTAAGGCCAAAAATGTTTAAGATGTATAATAAATGTTGAAGATTACCTTTAATCACGAAAATTAAGGGTAATTGAAAATGTATAAGTTTTAATATAGAATTTTTCTTTCAAAAGCGTCTTAACGTTAGCGGAATGAAATGGAATGGTTACCAAAAATGCTGAAACAGTTTTTTTGCTGGGGTTGTTTTTGTCGTAAAATAGACAAGGTTATGTTATGTAGCAGTTTTTATATAAAGTGTAACTAAAAACTGAGTAACTAAACAGTGTAACTAAAAAAAAGTGTAACTAGAAAATGCACAAATGTCAAAAAAAACGATGTCACATGACTGAATCTTTGAGATATGGCTTGATAATATATTAGTGAAGTTGCATTTTATGTGTAAAACCCTTGATCACACAGCAAATACATGACATTTTGACAGCATTTTGTATGAAAACTAATAACAACATAGCCTTGCCATAACATTGGTCTATTTCACTGCAGAATGGGCCTATTAGTTCGTTGTTTGGAAATCGTACTTTTTCTTCGTAATTGTTAAGCAAAGACCTTGGAATCACTTGACTCTGATAGTAATTAAATGGGTAGTTCTGCCTCAAGGCAGGTCCATGAGCTGAGTTAAACTCCAACTAGATTTAGGAAAAAATAGTGTGCGAGATTTCCCATTGTCGTTTCAGTGCTCGAGTTGAGATATTTTCAATTGAAAACATATTTTTGATTCATATTTTCAAGTGAAAATGGGCACAGCCAGTGGTGTTGTCGAGCCGGAACGCGCCGGAACGTCGTTCCGGCAAATCAGTTTTGGGAAGGAACGCGTTCCGGCAAGAAAAAATATAAAAAAATAGCTACATACAATCGAAAATGATTTAATAAGTAAATTTTATAAACTATTATTCAACTAATTTTTATTAAATATATGTGCACACAATGGGTTTTGTAATAATTTTGGTTTCTTTCCTTTTCGAACGGAACCGGAAAAAAACATGAGAACCGGGTTTTGAACCGCTTTATGAACCAGTTTTTAAATTTTAGCGTTCCGACAAAAAATATAAGCACAACACCACTGGTTTTATCAAAGTAGTTTTTAATTTAGTTACAAATTGAGGTGTTTGAACTAAAATATTAATTACGATACAGTAGTGTATTTCAAATTTCACATATGTTACTTTAAGACCGAAAAGTGTCTGATGCCCGATTATTTCGGATATAAGTTGGACTTGTTTCGAACATAGCGGGCGTTAGTCGAATAAAATAAATAATTTAAGACATTCATATAATGGAAATTGATTGTAGCGAAAAAAGCAATTCTATAAATACAAAAGCATAAGAACTGCAAAAAAATGTAATATTTTAATAATTGGATTGTAAATCCAATTTACAATGTACTTGTAAATTTTTACAATCCAACATTTTTTGGTAATTTTTTTAAATCATTGTTTTATTGACATTTATTTATTGGTAAATTAGTTGACAATTTATAGCAAAAGAGTTACCCTGATATTTCAATAGACTTATTGTCTAAATTTCGGCCTACAAATTGAGATTTGTATGCATATTCATAGAAACTTTGATCTTTTAAAAAGCTGATGAAGGTGCTGTGGAATTGATGATCACTCAATTATTAATTAACCTGGTAGTAGATTAAAAAATTGGACTCCTAGACTAGTAATTCCCAACGTGGGGCACACGCCCCACAGAAAAATCAATTTTTAAATCCAAAGGGGGGAGGCAAATTAAAAAATTTCACGACTTTAACCCACTTGCTTTAGGTGATTTGAAAGTAATTTGTAAATACTGTTAAAAAATCGTTAAATATATTATGATCATTGTTTAGTTTAAATGAGCACAAGATGCATGTGCAAATCATATAATTTTTCCATATATATTTCCATAGCTTAGGTAAATAAGCATCCCTTTTTAGGTCTAATGCAAACTTTCTCAATATTACGGATTATAGAGAAATTCCAAATTATGTATGTATCAGTCTGTTTATTTATAAATTGCCATCCCTTCCTGACAGCGGTATAATAATTTTTATATTATATTTTTAAATTTAGAATTTTTAGAATTCAGTAAGTTGCGAGAATAAGAACATCTTAAGAAAATCAGCTCGCACAAGTTACTGAAACATTTCATAAAATTTATAGTTCTATGTCTATTGTCACACAGTGCACACATTGGTTTAAAAGTGCAGTAATTAATTTTCCATGAAGTGATAACGGCAAAGGCAGCAGTAAGGTGTAATCGATGCCTTAACGGATATTTTGGATATTTTAGATATTTAATACCGAGATAAAAATTCTTATAGAAGAAATAATATTTATAAATTAAATCTTATGTTCATTCGCATGTCTTATACGCTAACACCTACATCATAGGTTCCTATTCGTGTATTTTTATAGCCTTACGTATGCCTATACGTTGCATTTTATACTACACGCCTTACATCTATACCATACGCTATATTTCATCATATACTTTCAAATCCCTACATTGTATATCGAAAACACCTAACCTATATCTACTATATATCCTATTACCTATAATTTTTCTTACACGCTACATTAACCCTACCGAGAATCGAACCCAGGCCCGCCGCGTGGAACGCGACGACGTTAACCACTACGCCACCGTAACGCTACAATCAACCGTCTTTTTTCGCGTGTCGTCGCGCCACCTTAGTATTAATTACCTAATTAATTAGAAAATGACCAGCGGAAACAACAGTGCGTCCCATATTATATTATTAATGGGGGTACCCGATAGGGTAGTGGTTAAGGTGCGCGACCGCCACGCGGAAGTCCCGGGTTCAATTCCCGGTATAGACAATAGATAGGTAGAGATAATACATAGGGCGTAAGGTAAAATATAGGTGAATATAAAAATTAGACAGTAGTATTTATAAGAAGTAAAAGGTATGTAGGTATATAATAAGTTAATGACGGTATAGGTATCTCACACGGTATGATAGATAATAGATATCTATCTATGATATACAATAATATAGTATAGTATGATAGGTAATAAGTTAATTATCATATTAATAGGTTAAGTCTTATAAAGTATTGTAATAAATCTTGAGTACTTTTCTATCATAATAAACACCTGTAGGAATTAATGAATACAAATAATACCAGAATAAATATAATTAATATTATTGAAGAATATAAATTATATTCATACTTGTACAATTTAATGTATAAACTAGGTGTATATAATAGAGTTAATTATATAAAAAGTCAATATATTAGATTTATGAGTTCTTATCGAAATATATCAAATTTTTTGAACCAGTTTATGAACCCGATTTTAAATTTTAGCGTTCCGGCAAAAAAAATATTAGCACAACACCACTGGGCACAGCTACTGCTCGATGTCAGGTTCTCCAGAGCTCTCACTCAAAGTTTCGATAATTACCTTTTTCTAATATCGAGTTGTTTACTTTAATAAATAATTATAAATAACATTTAAATTTTGTGAAAAAATATGATAAAATAAAGGAACTATTAATTGCTCTCAAGATTAAAAGTATTGTAGGCAATTCTTGAACAAAGTGGGAAACTATCCTATTTAAAAGACTAAAATCAGACAGATTAGTGTATATATATATATATATATATATATATATATATATATGCAATTCTGAATATGTTTGAATATTTCAGTTTATAAAGCCGACTGCCCAATATTCATACGGTGTTCTGTTAATGAGTTTTTACGATGCAGGTGAAACTATCTCTACCGCCATACAGGCTCCATTGTTTCATACAGCAGCATTTTTACTGTTCGGTAAGAGTAATGATTATGATTTAACTTTAACAGTAGCAGTATGAATTAGCAGTAACCAAGACATATTTTTAATTTGCCTCTTTAACTTCCAGTAAAGTTATTGTAATCGTCTGAAACTCGAAAATGAAAATCACTTATATACTTCAAATAAATAATTTTAACTTTGCAATTTAGTTTATATAATTCTTATAAATATTAGACAATGACCTTCATTTTAAATCGCATTGATTAAGTTTTATTTATTTACTTTTTATGTGAAGATATATAAACGTCGTCGTACAATTTATAAGCTCTTATATTTTATCTATAACACACGAATAATAAAAGCAACAGTATTTATAATAATCTATTTGAAAACATCTACTCCTCCTAGATCTAATACTCCTAGAATATATCAATACGGTAGGGAAGTTCCAGCAATTTGCCTTAAAGCGGAATACTGTTTATTTTATTTAAATATGACGTAAAAGTAACAAGAATAAAATATTTTTGTTATATTTTGTTTTCTAGAATGCATAAAAATGATATTGAAGTACTTTCTGATAATTATTTTCTGCGTAGATACTTTCTAAGTGGGTTCCAATTAAAATTTTGGTAGTAGAAGAAAAAATTTAAATCGAATGTTGGAGATTAAAAATTATTTCAAACAATCGAAAAATATATACTTACTTTCTAAAGCACCAATAAATAATTTAGCATAATTAGTTGTTATGAATACTATTGTTACCTGTTTTCCAATAATTACATTTTATCTAAAGGGTTTGCTCTCGCACGTCTTAAGCTAGATCAACTAGAAAGTTGAAAATTATATATCGGATTTTTTTTCTAAATATCTTTAGAATGCATATCATATAAATCGTTTATGGTGCGGCCGATATTGTATGTCAAAACCATCGTAAGAATTTTATTTAGCTACATTTGCCATATTACGTTCACATCGGTTAAGCACACAATAAAGCATGTTTGTCTAAGAATATTTTACAACATATATATATAGAATTAGGTAATAGTGATTATATTACAATTGGGAGATATGAATATAATTATCGTACATATTCTTTAAACTATAATGATGATTAGATGGCAAAGATTTTCAATCAACCAGTAACAACCTTATCTATCTTGTAAGTTAACATTTACCTTATTTTATCAAACATTTTTTTGTTTAGTTTGATTGCTAATGTTTACTTTAAATCTTTCCCATTCCATTTTTAATAGAATTGTTGTATTTTTATCTAGTGCCATTAGCTCGTTCGGCTGCTCCACGATGGGGTGCTCATGTTCGCACGGTGCCATTGCTGGGGGTTGCTTTGCTCTGTGCGGGTTTGGGGCTTAGTGCACTCTTGAGCGTCAGTCGCTCAGCGGCTTATATCGCTTGTTATGGATTGCTTGGGGGTATGTATTTAAATGTACACAAATTAGTCTGTATTATATAAACTTCCATCTTCAATTATAGATTGCTGAGAAACTGATTTTGTTTAGGATACATTAACCCTTCCGCCACGGTAGTGCTTTTCGCAGGAGCGTCATTGCTGTACGGGAACAGCTTTGCCGCTCAGTTGCACTACTGAACGGACAGATAGAATAATATTTTAAGATATTCCTATCATTATCAATAAAAATGTAATGAAAAATTAAAAAATACGCATATAATGAACTAGAAATTACATTAAAAGATTAGAATAATACTTTGAACTCATAGTGATAAAGCTTAAAGCAAAAGCAAACACAATATGTCGTCTATGAACGATATCCGTACACAGCACGTCATGTGGAAGTCGTCCAGGGACAACATCCGTAGCGAAAGGGTTAATAATCTATATTCAGCAAACTAGTGGGGCGCATGGCATCGTGCCTTAAGGCAAATTGCTGGAACTTCCAGTACTAATAATTATTTTCTTTTAAAAATATTAACATTTTTGAAAAAATTTCACTTTGAAAAAATTAGATTTTTGAGAAACTATAAAATTTTGACAAGAATTTAAGTTTTTGGAAACAAAACTTTTTGAAAAAAAAAGTTTTCTTTATTTTGAAATATTTTGAAAATTCTGAACTTTTTTCAAAGCAATCGTACTGCTCTAACTGCATAGAGACGAAATATCGAAGCGCGTAAGCGCCGCATCGCCATCTAACAGATAAACATTGGTACGGAACCGAAAGGAATGTAAACAAAATTTATACTAACTGTTAAAATCTCTATAAAATATCAGATAATTTGATGTGCATATGTCTAATGATCATTTTTGGCCGCCAATGGCATTTTTTTTACTTTTTTCACTAGATCTCTGAAACCGCTTCATCTTGAGTTACCGTTTGTGGCACTTTTTTAATCAGCACGTCTCCTTATCAACAGCAATCGAATGTTTTCTGAATAATCGAAATCGGTTGAACCGTGTTCTCGAAATCGTCGACGAAAATTTGTATCCGCACTCACACAAACACACATACATCAATTTTTTCCAAGATATGCCAAAATGTTCAGAAACACTGAAACGTTTTCGATTTTTTTGCGATTACTATAACTTACCCTACGGAAAGTTAATAACCTACTTTTACTATACAGAATTATCATCTTCATAAGTTTACTTAATAATTTACCCGACACTTAACGGTAATAAATAGTTTAATACTTTAAATGAGAAACAATGATTTGAAATGGGTTTTAAGAATAAAAAATCATGTAAATATTTGCTGTGTGAGTTATTTTTTTTACAATCCTAAGTGCAGTGCAGTATCAAATAGAAAATAAATTTTGAAAATAATTGTGACAAATGATAAATTTGATATGAAAATAACATAAATTCATTCGCTAAAGATTATTCTGATTAAAATTTATTAGAATGGATAAGGATACTATAGTTTCGTAATAAATATTTCTGCAACTCAACAAAGAATTTAAGTAAAAATTATTTTTAACACTATACTTACCAAGTACCTACAAGTCAAAATGCCATTTGCTACTGTTTGTAACACAACACATTTTTGGCAATGACAATGGGCAATTCTTGGAATATGCATTTAACGTATTGTTCGCTTTTGTTTCTAAATGTTTTTTTTCATATTTTTTCCATGGCCGAACATTCCGTGCGGCATGAATTGTCGGTAGGTTTAACGTTAAACGTTTAAAATAATGAATTTTCCAACAAGTTATATTTTTAATTGGCTGTACATGTTTGAAACATCAAATTGCAGGCGCCGGCGCCAGTGTTGTTGTTGCGCACGTCGACTTCACAATTAACCGGCTTTTTGCCGGATATCCAGGTCTAGTTCAAGGCTTGTGTCATGCTGGTCAAGCTGCAGGCCAATTTGCAATGCCACACCTCACTTTAGCTGCCCTCCAAAGATGCGGACAAAGAGGAACTCATGCTGTCTTGACAGGCATAATGATGAATATGGTAGCAGCTATACTATTGATGACACTCAAAGATAACAAACAAGAACAAACTCAAATTAATGTGAAGAGGCAAGTAATTGATGGTTAGAGATCTTCATATTATATACTTGATATACCCAGGGCCGGTCCTGCCTTGCATGCAAAAATGCGGGCGCACGCCTTAGGGGGCGCCAAAACGAGATTCGGAAATGAAATTTATAATATATTATTCACTTTTTTAATATAAAATCTAGAATACTTAAAAGATTATAATAAACAATCTAACCTAATGGATAAAAAGACACAAAAAGCATATTCAGTTTACAATGTCATATCAGTAGAAACAATTCATTACTCTGCAAATTAGTAAATTATTGTTCTGCTTATTGTTTAATGCACTTATTAAATTCTTCTCGTTCGAAGTTAATGTAGATGCGAAAAACAAATTATCTAGTGTTCAAACCCGTATGCGCAAACCTACGAAAGTTTAAATTATTGTACATTATTGACGAAAAATTACTAGCTGAATTAGTTTGAACGAAACTTGTTAAAAAAAATAGATACAAATTATAATAGAAAAACAAGGAAAATCGGAAGTGCATAGAAAATGGCTTATTAAGATCGAGAAACTAAATAGTAACTTTTGTTTTTGTTGAAAATGTTTCGCATCTGATGAACTTTGAACATACGTTGAAGACATACGTGGTTAGATTTATGGAAATTAAGCAAATATGAAAAATGAAAGCAAAATGTACTACAAACAAGAATCTTGAGCTTTTTTTATACCTATTGCTGTCCATACTAATTTTAATTATTAATTAAGCAGAAATAATACAGATATAAATATAATTGTGTTTTGTTTTCAATATAGTAAAGAAAATATGTAATTTCTTTGCATCTTTTAATCAAATACGTTAAAAATTTAACTTTAAAACAACAATCTGATATTTTGAATCAGATGGGAAAGTAAATATGAATACAATTCGGTGCAATAATATGAATACAATAAGAAGTTTACGATGCAATTTTGGATATTGTAAATATTGAAAAAAAAAAATTAAAATACAATTTAGAAAATCCAACATGAAAACAGTGTTCTGTTTAAAAATGATATAAGTAAAATGTTTCAAAATCTGTTAATATGTTAAAAATACTTGAAAATGTAAAATATTTGATTATGGTCAACCCGCAAATCGCTTCGATTTTCTAAATAAAATTAGAATCAATGTATTTTATAAGCTTTTAGATTATATTTAATTTTTTGTGTACTAAATCCAGAATGATTATCCCCTTCGACTCGAGTGCCGAAAATTTGCGAGTGGAAAGTGTTAAAATTCAATTTAAAGAATTTACATAAATATTTATATAATTTTTATGATAAATGTTAAAACAGTTAAAATTATTGCGGGGGGCGCTAGAACAAATCTTGCATGCGGGCGCTGAGGACTCCAGGACCGGCCCTGGATATACCTATAAATGTATGATTGTGAGAAATTATTTAAATAGAAACTATTTCTTATGCTCGTTTTAATTTAATGTTGACTTATTACTCATCACATATGTCCTTTAAAATCATCTGGGTATGTGGCCGCCTGCGTGCGAGTATTTTTTGGCCACCCTTGAAAATAACATAATAGGAAAATATCAATCACGTTCTCACAAAAAATCGACTTGTAATTTTTATGTTTTCTCTAAGTTTTTAGCCATTCTGAATCGTTTGAGACCAAATTTGAAAAAAAAGTGCATACGTGAGCCGATTTTTGAAAAACGGTTAAATCGATTTCAGACACTTATAAGTCATTTGATGTAACTAGATAACGACTATCGTCCGTCAGTTTTATACAACAATTGTCCAAGCCGTTTCTAATCATCAATAAAGTGTACAATATTTCATATACTTTATAGACAATAATCTTGCATCGTTTTTAAACATTCAGAAACTGTTTGAATGATATCATTTGGGAATCGTTCTGATTAGTTTTAAGAGATCGGTCAGATCGTTTCTTCATATTTAATTGTCAAATATTTTTTTACGATTGTATTTATAAAACTCGAAAGAGATCACGATCTCAAATTTAACTTAATATTTCGTCCTTACAACAAGTCGTTTTAATTTTCAAAATGTTATTAAAGTTTGAAAAATGAGCAGCACTATTTTACGCGAGGCAAAATATCATCTTTAGTCTACGTTTTCTTAGAAATGCGCAATCCTATTTGAAAATTCGATAAAATTTGATAAGTACTCATGCTGGTTAATTTTGCCTCACGATCGGCCGAGCCGTTTCTTTAAAATTCGTGAATCGATTTTGAAAATTCAAAAACCATTACAAAGGTACTATTTGAAAATCGTGCTGATTAATGTCAATGATCGGTCGAGTCGTTTCTCAGTTACTGATTAAAAATTTTTTTGGCGATGTTGAATCCTGTTCTTAATGAACATACTACACGTTTTTTCTTGTTCAATAATATTTAATTTTTAAACCATTTATAAAAAATAACATGTTTAAAATTTGTACAAAATTGAATAATCTGCGATAGCTTTTCACATTGCAATGCACTCATGAATTAATATATTTTTTATAGTTACGTCGATTATTCACACATGTTGAAAAAATCATGCATCTTGCTTTAAGGCAAAGTTGCCATTTACACCAAGTTAATACACTTATTAATAATTTGGAAACAAAGCTTTCATTAGCCGCTTTTTGATTCGATCTCGCTTTCAATACGGCCGTCTTCAGCTGTTTTTGACTACGGTCGTCTTTTATCTCAGCGGATTTTCGATACGGCAGTGAATGAATTCAGCGGACTTTTAGTTTGGCCGCCTCTTAATCCAGCGATCTTTCAGTTGGGCCGCCTTTTAATTCATTGGACTTTCAATGCGACCGCTTTTTATGTATGGCCGCTTTTTGTGTATGGCCGCCTTTGAATTTTTAACTTCCCGTAGGGCAAGTTATAGTAATCGCAAAAAAATCGAAAATGAAAATTTTTATATATCTTTACGTTTCAGAGGTTTCTGAACATTTTGGCATACCTTAGAAAAAATGGATGTATGTGTGTGTGTGTGTGTGTGTGTGTGTATGTGTGTGTGTGTATGTATGTATGTGTGTGTATGTATGTGCGGATACAAATTTTCGTCGACGATTTCGGGAACACGGATCAACCGATTTGAATAATTCAAAAAACATTCGATCCGTATTGATAAGGAGACGTGCTGATTAGTTTTTGGCAAAGGCAGGTCAAGCCGTTCCGAAGATACGGGGCAAAAAGTTCCGAAAACGGTAACTCAGTTTTTAGGAGAACGGAGCGTCCGATTTTAATAATTCAAAAAACATTTTATTTGTATTGACAAGGTGAAGAATCGATACAACTTTCATTATGGTAGGTCCAGCGGTTTCGGAGATATAGAGGAAAAAGTAAAAAAATGAGCCATTTGGCGGTCAAAAATGATCATTAGACATATGCACATCAAATTATCAGACATTTTATAGAGATTTTAACAATAAGTATACATTTTGTTAACATTCCTATCGGTTCCGTACCAATGCTTATGCGTTAGACAAAGACGCGGCGCTTACGCGCTTTATATTTTGTCCCTATGTAGTTAAAGCAGTACGATTGCTTTGAAAAAAAAGTTCAGATCTTCCACAATATGTCAAAATAAAGAAAAAAAAAATTTTTTTCAAAAAAAAAAAAATTTTTTTTAAAAAAATTAAAAAAAAAAAATTTTTTTTTTTCAAAAAAAACTAATTTTTTGTCCAATTTATAGTTTCTCAAAAATCTTATTTTTTCAAAGTATTTTTTTTTCAAAAATGTTAATCGTTTAAAAAAAAAATAATAATTTTTGGTACGGGAAGTTCCAGCAATTTGCCTTAAGGCACGATGCCCTAATTGCCTTAAGACAGAATTCCACTTACAGCTAGTTCTTTTTTTGATTTGACCGCCTCTCGGTGCACGCTCTGCACGCTGGCCAGGCACGGCCCTGTTTATTATTCATGCGACAATTTGTGATTTATGTTTTATTTAATTACATTCTAGAATTTATGAAAGATAGTAAAACAGATTTATATTTATTGAAACTTTAATTGCTTGATCATAATCCAGTGATTCTGAACCAGAAAATACTTCGTTTCCTGCGATTTCAAATGCATTTTCACCTGAGGAACAGCTTACTGAAAGATGTTGGCGTTGTCCATCGGATGGAGCAAATTCGCAACCACTGTCACCGCCTTTGATTCGACGGTCCTCTTGTGGCTTTGATATTTTACAAAGTATTCCAGAAGAAAGCGAAGCAAGTGATTCTGATGATTATGACGACCTCAACGCTACCACGATAATACCGCTGCAAAATGGTTAGTAAAATTTAAAATGTATAACATATTTAAGTCGCAGCCTTTAAATAAAACTTTTTATTGTTCAAGGGATATCTGATAAAATTATAGAGTGGCATAATTATTAATTCGAAATATGAAAAATACAGAATTTTTAGGAATGTCTCTAATCTACAATATTTTGTAGATTTTATGCATTAAAACGAAGTATTAAGATTTTTACAATCTAGCAAATTGATAAAGTAATTTAATTCTCACAATCAGGATGGGTAGCATTATTGCTCTTGTTATATCGAAACCTTTTAAAATTACAAAATTTAGTTTAAAATAAAGAAATTTGGCAGTTGAATTAATTTTACTATCATGGTAGGGTAGTACATACTTATATGTATCTTTTTTATATTTTTAGGCCACATAGGTGCCGGTGAAAATGTGCAATCAATTAAGCATCACGCAACTATATTAGATCTGTCAGTTTTGTCCAGTGCTAAAACAGACATCACAATTAAAAAAATTCTACCTAGAGTACGCTTTCCAAAAGCTGTGCAAGTTAAAAGCTCTCTCGACGTGTTTAGAAAAGTAGGCTATATTCATAATATTCAGAATGATATAGTTACAATTAGGATTTACAATATTTTGGTAAAAATCGAATTAAATAGCAGATTGATATCCTTACACAATTTGAATTAAAATTAGTGGTGCATGGCATCTGAAGGCAATTTGCGGGACCTTCCCGTACCATAAATGAAATATTCATTATTCGTATTTTATAGACAAAATATAAGTGATTAAGTGATTATAAATTGGATAATGACATTTATATATCTGCTCTTTACCAGTGATGGACCTTGTCACATATTTTAAGAATTATAAATTGAGTTTTTTAAAATTTTAGGGAAGTATTAATTCAGTTTAATTGCAAAGTTAAAATTATTAATTTCAAGTAAATAAGTATGTTTTAAAGTCTTAGCTGGAATTTAAATCAAAATCTGAATCATTTTTCATATCAAGTTTTTTTGTGAAATTAAAAAAAAAATTCTTTCCCCAAAAACCAATAGTTTCTTCACACTGTCAACACAACCAAAATGAATCTTTGAATCATAGAAATCAGATAACACGTTCTCTCAAAAAAAAAAAAACAATATTTTTGCACATTTAGCTGCGTATCTGTCTTTGCCAAAAACTAATTACCACTTTTCCCTACCATCAAAAAGGATGTCTGTTTTCTCAAAAACTTAATTTATTTTTTCTGAACTCTTTGCATCGTATCTCCGAATCAGTTGAACCTGGTTTTGACAAATAAGCACGACTTCCTAACAGTAGGAATCGAATGTTTTTTGAATTATTTAAGTCGCTGGTACGCCCGAAAACGTTGACGAAAAATTGCATCCATACATTACATACACACATTAATTTTTTCCTAGGTATGCCAAAATGTTGAGAAATCTTCGAAACGTAAAGATGTGCAATATTTTTCATTTTAGATTTCCGGACGATTACAATAACACCCTACGAGAAGTTAATTACACAAATTAAACTATAGTTCTAAAAACTTGATCAAAATAACTTAACACTATTGAAATCATTTTTCAAAAATATTAAAATCAATTGAAAAATTAAAAGTATAAATACATAAACTAATTCCAGGTAGAATTGTATCCTTGTATATTGCTATCAACATGTGAACTGCTACTACCACTTTTACATTCCACCTTGACACCACTTTATGCCAGAACTGTCTTAAATGACTTGACTGACTCCGAAGCAGTATTCTTGATGTCTTTGGCTTCATTTTCATGGCTGTGCTTAGTTTTTGGTGCACCATGGCTAGCAGCATGTAGACCTATGAGAATGAGATTTCTTTTCGCAATTGGGATATTCCTAAAAACTATTGGTTTGACAGGTATGCATCTGAAATAAGAAAGTTAGATATAAGAAGATTTTCTAATATAACGTTTAGTCTATTGCATTCAAGAATCGCTTTATATTGTTTAATTATAAGTACGATTTTTTATCTGTTTACAAGTAAAAAATCTATTTCAATGACTTTTCAATTAGGGACTTTTGTATTTTGTCATGAAATCGAGAGTTTCTGATGCATATCGTGAAGTTTGATATTTATTCTATTATTTTTTATTCATACTTATTACGTTGCCATTTAAGGTCCTACTTTAGTAATCTTGTCCAAAAGAGTATGATGTTCAAAATAGTGTGATTGGACTAATTTATAAGTGTTACATTATATTCAGTGGTGTTGTCGAGTCGGAACGCGCCGGAACGTCGTTCCGGCATATCTATTTTTGGCCCGAAAGGCGCTCCGGCAAAACAAAAATTAAAAATTTGCTGTTTTTTATATTTTTTGGAGAAATGCAAGCGGCAAATGGACCGTACGTTATTCATCCTTGGCATAATTTATTGACATATCCAAATAGGCCTACGCCTAATGATAATAATTTTTGTACATTATACATTTGTTGTAAACTAATGTTCTGATGTTGGTTTCCAGTATTAGTAGATGTTTTTAACTTTATTAGTTTATTACATTGATGCCAAGAAAAATGACGACAGATTTTCATCTAAAATGCGCTTTGCTGGAAATTTCCCATCTTATTGTTAGTGTAAGAAGTTGTTTATTGACAGACAATTCCTGTCAAGCCTCATTAATAGTAGAACTATATAAGACTACATACAGAAAATGATTTGATAAGTGAATGAATATAAAAATATTTTTTGATAAGTAATATACATATATAAAAGAAGAGAACCATTTGAACTCGAACTGAACCGAAACAAATATGAGAACCGATTTTTGAACCGCCCTTTTAATTTTAGCGTTCCGGTTAATGAAATATTAGCACAACGCCACTGATTATATCATATCATAAATGATTTAAAGTAATTATTTAGTAGTACACTATAGAATTTTTAATTATTATAGGAGTAATGTTTGCCAAAACCCATGACGTGATGACATTATCCAGTGTCATATTTGGTATAGGAAACGGCGGCACGACAGCTACCACTAGGCCCTTAATCCGGCTATGCATAGGTGACTACAATTTCAATAAATTCGAAGGAGCTATAGATACCATGAGTGGGTTACTAATCATTGGTTTTGGCATATTCATCAGCATATTTTTACAGGACAAGGCGCTAATCAAAAAATGTTTTAGTGTATTATGCGCTGCTGAAATCGTTAGTATGATTTTCGTCGTGATTTTGCCATGTTTAGTGAAAGAATGTGCTAAATGCTGTCATGCGAATAAGAACCAATGTGTCTAGTCTTATCACGTCTTTACAGAAATTTTTACCTATTAGTATTATCTGTTTTGATCAATATTAAATATAAACTTCATCATATAATTACAAAGGTAATTATGTAAATTATGTCTTTATTTTTGATAGCCATATAGTATATTTTTGTATAAATTCTGCAAATTTAGGTTTTAATATTGATAAACATAATATATATATATATATATATATACATATATAATGATATTGATATTTAATTGTAATTTCTTAACTTTTCGTAGAGTAAGTTTATAATAAATTAAATTATATGAATTTTTTTGCATATTTTCACGTTTCAGAGGTTACTTAAACGTGAAGATGAACATTTTAGCATACCTCAGACAAAATGGATATGTGTGTGTTTGTGTATGTGTGTATATTTGGAGACAATTTTTTGTCGACGATTTTGGGCGTGCGGATTATCCGATTTGAATGGTTCAAAAAACATTCTATTTTTATTGATGAGGAGATGTGCGAGCAAGTCACGGTAACGGCACAAGGAGCTTGACTAAGTCAAAGTAATGGTACAACGAATTCCAAGTAAAGGTAATGGTACAATGAGTTCGACTAAGTAAAAGGAATGGTGCAACGAGTTTGAACCAGGCGAGCAATGGTACAATGAGTTCAACCAACGCGTGGCAGTGGTATAAAGAGTTCGACCAAGTCAAATAGCACAAGGTTTGATTAAATCAAAGCAGTGGCACAAAGAATTCGACCAAGTCAAAGCCATTCTCACATACTATTGTAAGACAAGAGAGTTTAAGACACTAAGTTATTCAAACAATACAGCCATGCATAGGAGCATGTGAAGGTAAAAGATTGAAACATTCAAAATATACAAGAGTTCAAATCATTCCAAGAAGAAAAAAACTGCTGATCCCTAAGGTCATTCTATCAAAGACGAAAATTCAAAATAACATTGAAGAGAATTTTTTCTCATAGTTGCTTACAGCAACTATCATTGATAACATTGTTCATATAAATAATTTATTTTAATAATTGATTACATTTATTTGCAAGTTAATCCGCTCCAATATCCAATAGTTCCTTCCGCTGCTTTCGCAATGGAACCTATCGGTTGCTGGTCTTTCACATACCTTTATACACCGGAACTGGCGCTTGAACTTCTGCCAAATACATAAAAAACAACGATATATTTATTAAATATTTATTATATATTAAATATTTACATATTTATTAAATATTTATCTGCATTACAGATATATTCTTTGTGAAGAAAATTTGAAATACTACCAATGAGTAGTATTTTAAAATTTTATTTATTATCTTAGTCACAACAATTACTGAATGCTTCCGTACACAAAACGTATAACACCGTCTGTTGACGTTGTGGAATAAGGCATGCACGGAATCACATCAGTTCGAATTTGGGACCCCAGATATGCTCCTCTCGATCTCGATCGAGATGAGAGATACGCGCGAGAATCCCGCATCATCCCCTAATAAACCCCGCAGCATTTCTGAACAGAGGTGAGGGGGGATTATAGGGAGGTGTGGGGTTCGCGAACCCGCGCCCCTGTGGTCCCACCCCCGAATATTTTTAAATCACTATATAAAAATACCCCTTTTCTTTTTTTTGTCGTGTTCTTATTCTATTGGCTGCTGGAGTGAATAGCCTGCATTAGCCTCACTTCCATTAGATTCTTTTTTTTTTATTTATTTTTGATATACATCATAAGGCCAGATGACATTCTTACAATTGTTCACTACAAATTCTTATTGAATCATTAACTTATAAATTAATTTTAGTATTATTAATAAAATTTAATATATATTTATAAATTTTTAAATTATTACTAGCTACTAATGATTGTACATTGATTGGGAAAATAACATTTTTTTGAGTAAATTTATTATAAATGATTTTCTTTCGTTTTGGAATAAGTTGCATTCCCAAAACAGGTGATCTATTGTTTCCTCTCCGCTTCCGCAATCGCATGCTGAGTCCGTATGATTCTTATTCTTTTCAAGTGGTTCTTGCAGAAGATAACCGAGATGAAAATTCTACTTTCTTCCTCGTTTTCAAACCATGTATTTTGCGATACATTATTATTTGTTAATGCGTATGTAATGCCTTTTGTTTTTGTCGATTCTGCAAAGAATGTTTGCCATCTTTCTATACACTGTAGTTTGATTACGTTAATTAATTCTAAGGATGGAATTTTGTCACAATCTTTGCGGTTATGGCAAGCTTCTTTTGCTAACGCATCTACTATCTCGTTACCATTTATATTTGCGTGTCCTTTAAGTCATACTAAAATCATTGACTTTTCTCCTACATTTCTTTTGTTGAGATTGTTTATAATTTCATATATCAATATATTTGTATGCTTGCTTGGATGGTTTATTGCGATTAGGCTCGATTTGCTATCACTGAAAATGATCGATTTATTTACATTTTTGTCTCTAACATATTTTGTTGCTACATGTAATGCCATCAGCTCCGCTATAAAGATGGAGACAAATTTTGGTAATTTAATTTTTTTTCCTATATTTGTGATTAGGTATATATATTGCACATCCAGTTCCATCTTCCATTTTTGAACCATCTGTATATATGTGAAGGCGATCGGGCCATTTTGAGTTTACTTTATTTTCAAATACCCAATTTTTTATTTGTTTATTTTTGATAGATTCTTCTATTAAGTTGGCCTCTGTTTTGGCGTTGGAATTTTTATATGAATAATATTGTGAAAATTGATAATAAGACTTGATTTCGCAAATTTTTACATATTTCTCATACGGTTTTAGGTCATAAAAGCTCGTTATTAAAGGGGGAGTAGGTCTGTTTGTCCAATATGGTTTAGATATATGTAATCTTGCCAATTCTTCTAGTTGTCTTGGAATATTATGGCAAGCGTTATTCAATTTTTTAACTAAAAATCTTTTAGCCAATAAACGTCTTTTTATATCTGGCGGTGTTTCACCTGCTTCACTCACAATCAGTAGAGCGTTTATTGGGGTAGAACGGATGGCTCCTAGACAGATCCTAACGGCTGAGTATTGTAATTTGTCTAGTTGATATTTTTCTTTTTGCCTCAAAGCACCATAAATGAAGCATCCGTAATGTAGCTGTGACCTTATCATATTTTTATATAGTAACAGACATGCTCCTGAGTGAGCACCCCATTTGGTACTGGTTACTTTACGAATGATGTTTAGCCCTTTTTCGCATTTTGTGTTAAGTTCCTGGATATGATGATTAAATGTCATCTTTGTATCAAATGTTATGCCCAAAAGTTTTATTTTATTTTTTATCGTGATTTCTTTATTGTTTATTTTTGTATTGTCTGTACTACTAGGATAACGATGTTTTGTGAATATTGTAGCTGCATACTTGTCCTGAGATATATTTAAATTATTTAGGATTAACCATTTTTTAATTTCTTTAATTCCATCATTCATTTTTGCTATACACGATGTTAAAGTCGGTCTTGATATGTATATATAAATATCGTCTGCGTATTGCATTTTTTTAATGCTTGTGTGAAGAATATTATGAAAATCTGCGGTGCAAATATTAAATAATAAAGGACTAAGTATAGAGGCTTGTGCTATTCCTTTGCATGCAACTCTTGGTCTTATCAATCCGTCAACTTGTCTTAAGTATATATTTCTTTGCGATATTGTTAACAGAATTATGTTAATTAGTTTTTAGTGGAATATTTATATTACTTAATTTTGTATGCAGTATATTATGGTCTATATTATCATATGCTTTATCAATGTCTATTGATAATAATAATAAATAATGATTCATTGAGTTGTGTATGTGTATGTCATTGGTCAGTGTGCTCAGTAAATCCAGAGTTTCTATTCCTCCTGAATCCAAACAGCGCGTGGTTAAATATTCGTTTATTTTCTACGTACCATTCTATACGTTCTTTCATAATTCTTTCAAAAGTTTTAAAAATACACGAAAGCAATAATCTTCTTTAATTCATTCAATCTTTCAATGTAGACTCTAACATTCCGCAATCTAGATTGTGTGAATTGTGCAGATGAGATCGGGACCCTGGCGCGAAGTTTTGCTTTCCTAATCCTATCTACCTTGAAGAATTGCGACAATTTTGTTCTTGGCAATTCTGTACTTTTTCATCATAATTTTCAGTATCTAACTAATTCAAATGATATGAAATGCAAATATTTTGAGCCGGTTTGAACACTACACTATTCTTTGAGCACTCGAGAGTGCACTTGACTGGATTTTCAAGTCTTAGGAATAATAATCCCTAGAATATAAGTATATAATTACAATATAACAATGGTCATGCGATATACATAACAAACATATACAAACAAATTAAGCATATACAATACGGTAAATGTGCATATAAATAAAATAAAACTCAATGGTAAATTTTTCACTTACCATTGTGTTTTGGTAAATACTTTTACATACTTTTAAATTTTCACTATAAATTTTCATATAAATATGAATATTGAGTACTGTATAAAGAGTAATAAATAGCAAATAGTGAATTCAATTTTCAATATTCAATTTTCAATAGCCAATAGTATTTAGTTCTTAGTTAATAGTGATAAGTGAATAGTTATTGTCAATAGTTAATAGTTAATAGTTATAGTTTTTTTTTTAATTACAATATCTGTTACCAGGGCCGTGCCTGGGTACGTGGCCGCCTGCGTGCGAGCATATAAATGCCGCCCTTAAAAATAGCATAATAGGAAAATATTTAATATGCTCTCACAAAAAAAGTCGACTTTTCAAGTCTTTCTGAATCGTTTGAGACCAAATTTTTAAAAAAAGTGTGTACATGAGCCCAGTGGCGCATTAAGCTTTCTGCCGCCCTAGGCCCTATCCGTTCAGGCGCCCTTTTTAATAGACAAAATTTTACTTTTTTAATTAAACAATTTATCTTATAATATGTAGATATACTTTTTAACTTTGCTTTGGGTAAGTTATAGTAATTGCAAAAGAATCGAAAATGTTTTTTTTTATATTCAGGTTTCAAGGCCCTCTGAAC